CAGTTACAGTGGTCTCGACAATCTCCGGCGTCCCTGTCACCGTCATCCACACTAGCACGAGTCTCATCGTAGCTACTATTCCTTCCACTGTCCAAATCAAGTAAGTTTATCTAATCAGCTTATCTAAAAGGTTATACTCACAGACTTTAGCGTTACACCTACAGAGACCAAGTCTATTGAAACATGGGTCTATTCTACCTCAAGTACATTGTATCCAGTCACGGTAGTCTCGACAGTCTCCGGGGTCCCTGTGACTATCGTCAAAACCAGCACGAGCCTCATCGTGGCTACTCTTCCTACCACAATCGTTGCCCACACTACCCAGACTGCTACTGAGTATCAAACCACCAAGGTTTACGAAACGGAGTCTACCTACGAGACTGCTTACACTACCGTTAGTGCTGGCTCAACAATTGTCCTCAGTATGTCCTTCAAGTTTCGAATAATGAATTATACTAACTATATTTTAGCTGAAACCAACACAAACACCATCCTGGCCACTCAGACCTACACTGTTACCTCCACAAATGAAGCACCTACAACAAAGGCCACAGTCAATATCCCTATCACTCTTTCCACTAACGTGCCTTTTACTGAAGTTGTCACGGTCCCATCTGAAAAGACTGCAACCACCATTGGCGGCACTGTTTATAGTACCGTCCCCGTGCCGGTATCTTCCATCGTCACCGCTCCTTCTGGCACAACTTTCGTTTCCGTACCCGGGACCACGGTGACGAATGCCCCGCCTCGTCCAACTACAGCTCCACCCGCAACTACCTCTGCACCTACCCAAGTCAGTTCCAACATCGCAGCAGCACCCACGAACAACCCAATTGCCTTCATTGTCGCTGGTGCAGCGGCTCTTCTTGCCTTCGCATAATTTTTCTTTGCCTGAAAATAATGTTGAGATTAATTTGGCGGAAATAGATATTTTGTTCACATATCCTCAGCACATGAATTTACGAATTGGGTGCTGCATACACTCATTACTAGCATAGTGTTTTCTATTTGGGTGCATGAAGGAACTTAGGAGGATTGAAAGGTGGGATGGGGTTACTGGGGCACCTAATAATACCTGTTTTTGGTGCTACATTTGTGTTCATAATGACAACATGGATAGGACAGGGAAATTAATTCTAGTGTATATATTTATGGGATAGAAGAAAACGAGTTATTAAATAGGTATACCCTGAGTTTTCAGAGCATGAGTGAACTACATATTTCTATTTAGAATAGTGCACACTACTATTTTCAACTCTGAAATATTGTAATTCAATTAGTAGCTTAGGGTGTAATATGTAATGTTTCAGCTGCTAAGCCGGGAATCCCTGAAGTTGCTATCAAATACTTATTTTAAACCTAAAGGATTTTGTTTCGAGTGTGGCTCCTAAGGGTGGTCTCATTTAGTAACCTTTATGCCCGAATTTCTATTAAGGATGCTTCCTTATTAGCACCTACCTAGGTGGAATAGAAAGGTCCAAGCCTTGGCTCGTCGCGGCTAGAACTAAAATTCAGAGAGTTTCCCTTTTTGCGTCCCTCTGTTAACATAATAATAAATAACTATTAGTAGGTGCTTCTCTTTATGCCTTTGATATCACATAGGAGCCAATCTGTTTTCTATATATGTTTGTACATCGATAGGCAAACAATATCTGAGACATGCTGATAACTTCAGGCGGATATGTAATGTATCCACCCGGATCCCGGGCGGTTACATACTCCGTAAACGTGTAGAGCAAAGAGGACAACACCAACGAGACACAAAATATATTTGGTTACACCTTGGTGATGATTTATGCTATCAATACCGATTAGACTGCTACAATGGCCAACAATGGGGGCGCAAGGCCAAAAGTATTCGCCATCTCCCGATATCTACCCTTTGCGTCCTCAACGACCACGACACAGGCATGTGCGTACCTGTTCGCCGTGTGCCTCTTCTCGATATCCTTCCTCGTCTTCCTGAACAGCAGCGTATCATTCGTGGTTACCGACCTCATTGGAGTCAAAGATGGCGTGGGTGATATCGTGGGCACGTTGGGGTTTGTGGATGAGTTGGTTGCGTTGTTCGCGTGCCCTTTTTGGGGAATTCTTTCCGACAGGCTCGGGGTGAGGACTGTGTGCACAGTGGGATACATTATCGTTGGTCTGTCACTGGTTTTGTTTGTGCAAGCTCGCAATGTGTATCCGCAGCTTATGCTGGCCAGAGTATTGTTTAGCATTGGGGGTGCCGCGACGTGAGTATTCGCCCTGGATGACCGGGAGATATCCTCAGGAAGATGCTAAATGCGGATGTAGAGCAACCATGGTGACTGCAATTCTGCCCTCAATGACAGGCAACAATCACAAATCTGGGCTTGCAACTACTAGTCATGACGATCCCACTTCCATGCCACGACATCGTCCGCGGCAGAGCATATCCCCGTCTCTCGATTCCGAACTCACGATCACTCCCTCCAATTTCAATGAACAGCCGAATGCGATAGCTACAAATGGAAATGGACATGGACATGGAAATAGCGAACATACCGAAACCAAGACTGCCTCGAGCCCGCCACGACTGGCTGGATTAGTGGGCGTATTCACCGGCTGCGGAGCTGTGGTGGCTTTACTTGTCTTCCTTCCTCTGCCTACCCGCTTCTCTCGATTGGAAGGCATATCACAAGGACAAGCTGTTGCTGATAGCTTCTACGTCGTTGGGACCATCGCTATTCTCGTCGCTGGCTCGTGCTTTGTCGGACTTCGAGGATTACAGGGCGAAGAGGATAAGGGTTGGCGTCTGCTCCTTGGGCGTACAACCACCCACGAATACCAAGCTGTATCATCACACCCAGAAGCTGAGGCGGAATCAAGTGGCCAGGAAGTACGATTTCTCCCATACTGGCGATTATTGCTCGATTCGACGATTCTGGGTTTCAAGGACGCCCAGATAGGTTTAGGTTATCTAGGAGGTTTCGTTGCCCGGGCTTCCTCCGTAGGGATATCTCTGTTTATTCCACTCTATATCAATGCCTATTTCATGCGGAACGGGTTCTGCCAAGGTTCGCCCCATGATCCTTCACCAGAGCTGAAGGAAGAATGCAGAGCAGCATACATACTCTCAGCAGAGTTGACAGGCGCTTCACAACTAATTGCTCTCCTATGCGCTCCTGTCTTTGGATACCTGTCAGACCGGTATCGAAGATTCAATCTCCCAATGCTAGCCGCAAGTTTTTTTGGAATCGCTGGGTATACGGCGTTTGCGCGCCTCGTCAGTCCAGAACCGAAAAATATTGATGGGAGAGGGGGGAGTCCTATTGTCTTCCTCATCGTTGCTCTAATCGGCATCAGCCAGATTGGTGCTATTGTTTGTAGTCTTGGCTTACTTGGGCGCGGTGTACTTGGTGATGAGGGAGGATATAATCTCTCCTCTCAACTACAAGGTTCTCGCACTACGCAAACGAGTTCAATAGCTCCTGATGCCGACGAACTTACATCGCTTGTTGGGTCTACCGGCCCCGAGCCGAGAAGCCACCTAAAGGGGTCCATTGCAGGTGTTTATTCGCTATCAGGAGGTGCTGCTATCTTGTTGCTTACGAAGGTTGGGGGCACACTGTTTGATACGTTATCACCTGGTGCCCCGTTCTACATGATGGCTATATTCAACGCTGTATTGTTGGTCATTGGCGTTGGAGCTGGAATTTATCGCGAGATCCGGACGCGGAAGACGTTGAGCTGAGAAAGACGGCATTATTATCCGAGGATTGATACATACCATACACATTGCTAAGATCTATTCTTATCAGCAGATTGACACGCCATATCATTTATCACCACATCCACGACCTAGTCATTAATTATCGGTGCTTGGGGGAAAAAGAAGACTCTTCACTCTGTTTATTTATTTTGCTCTATTCAGAACTCGGTATTCTTTATCGGGTCCACATCGAACTAAGAAGGAGAGAAGGTGGGGTTCTCCATTTTGGTAAAAATACTTATAACATTACCCATCTCCAGCCACCATCCGGCGCTAAACTCGGCGAAAGACCCCCTCCATAACCCGCCAATGACCCGTGGCTTGTCTAGTTCGATACAATTAACCACGTTCTTAATGTCCAACACTTTAGACTAGGTAGGATGTGCCTATCGTCCGGTGAAGGAGGGACTATACACCACGAGAAGTATAAGGAGGACGAGGAATGACCTGACGGTTCCCAATAGATCGAAAGATCTCATTATAGAATGATGATACTGAGGATAAAGGGGACAAGGAGGGCGAGGAAGATTCTTACGCTTCCTCGTACTTGATGAAACACGCTTGGGCTATAGATCTACAGATTCTTTAGATAATGCCTGGCATTTTCAATTAGGTACATGTGCGAACATGCACCATGGAAGACCCTCGAAGGGATAGAAAGAGTTGGCATTATATGTGGCCTAAGTATAATAGCTTGATGAATAAGTATAATACAACCTTATTATGCCCACTATTCTTTGCCGTATATAAGATGTGTCCTCTTGGCACATTACACCGCCTTGAGCATGTGGATGTGGTGGCATGATAGTGTAGGCCTATAGTGTTCAAAGATGATGGCGATAGACACGTGGAAGGTATGATGTGTTGTTTAAAGATCCTTAAAGTCGCGGTTGTGCAACGAATACGCATATGAATAATTGTAGTTTTCAAGCCAGTGAATAGGAAACGAGTAGAGAACATCTTGCAAGTTGAGACATTTGAATAGGGTGCGATGTGCAACGAGGTTTCTAGGTAGCATAGGAACTCGAGTCCTGAGAGAGAGGCGGGAGTACACGTGTTTCCTGCCGCCCGAAACCTGCCTCCAGACAAGCCTTGTACTTAAATATCAAAATAAGTAAATATCCGTTACCGAAGTACAAGGGCATGACACTTGGTCAAGTGGCTCGGGTCCAATTGTACTTACGGGGTCACCAAGGACGATAGGATTAATGGGAAACAAACGACAAAATAACAAAGCGACAAGACGACAAAACGACAAGAGATATAGGCATTCGACACCGGGCCGAACTCTTTTGCTTCCCATGAATATAAATTCACTTTTTTTAAATTGCCCTTTTGATTTTATTTTGATTTTCTAGTGTTACACTTTGTTGGTCCCTGTTTGTTCTGGCCATCGTGGGTGGAAGCGAAATAGAGGCGGTGACGGTGATGGTGAAGAGTTACGTGACCTGGGCCCGCTGTTGTAAGAGCTCTTTTGTTTACTTTTAAGACGTCGAACCTAGATCAAGTCTTAACTTGCTCGTCCTTTAGCTTTGGGTTCTGCTATTTGTAATAGAACGCCTTTATGTATTTTTGAGCCAGTACGGGCAAGTGCAGAAGGTGGGCAATGAATTGGAGAGAGAGCAAGCCTGGAAATAACTTGAGCGATATTGTTATTCCCAGCCATGCCCTAGTGCTTGGCTAAATATATACAATTGCTACCACCTCCGCTCTACAATACCATAAACATAAGTAAACTGCTATCTGAACCCTCTCGAACGACGCCACCCGGAAGCCTCACTTGCTGGCCTCGAATTAGATTATACTCTCTGTAAAAGTTAGGAAGTAAACCCTAGGAACTAGAGGGCTTGTAGGAGGTAGGCCAAGAATCATAAAGAAACCACAAGGTTCACACTTTAAGAAAAAAGGGTATCATGAGGAGATGCTGGAGGAAAAGAGAAAGGCTCATCTTGCTAGATGAGTATGCTCACTTCATAGTATAATATTTCCTCGATGTTTATTCATAATACTAAGTACCTAGTTTGTACGCATGTGTCATGTGACCCACCCCCCTATTTCCACATACTGCGCTAACAGTACCCCCACATTAACATCCACGCAACACGACCATAAATTTCAAACTGAGGCTGAACTCTAAAAAAGACCTTAAAAATATGCCCTCATGTAGATTTGTATATTGATATACCGTTAACGAGGCTGTTACAAGTGAAATCGATACGAAGAACATACAGGATGATGTAAACCGTCGGGCTAAGTTTTGCCTCATGGGAGAGAGATATGGAGGATTTATCCCCCTACCCACCCATCTCCTCTCCTCCATAGAACGCCCGCTTCGAATCCCCTCAAAAACAACCTTCCCGTCGCCTCGCCCTCCTCCCCTGTCTCGTCTGCCCCCTTGTGTCCACAGTTTTAAGCCTAGGCGTAACCTCAGCAACAGCAACACTCACAGGCGCCTCTGGTGACACCGCCTGCACTGTCAGTTCCCCTGTCAGGCCACTACGATTGAGGCGTAGAGGTTGTGGGCGAGCCTGTGCAGAGGTTCCGTTAGGATGGTTTTGAGGATCAACAGTATGAACGTTATTCAGGTTGATATAGTCGGGATTGAGATGACTGGAACGTTGGAGGCGGCGGGATTGGATCCCATTGTCAATTTTGGTTCTGCCGTTGGTGCTGGCACTGTTGGTTGGGAGGGAGATAGGTGGATTTGGAGAAGGAGCTCGAGGGATGGCGTCCTTCTGGTTTGCCCAGCGGGTGTAGTGGAGGGCGGCTGTTAGGCGTTTGAGGATCGGCCGTGTTGAGGGTGCTGGTGATATTGGCTGCGGTGATCGTTTTGTAGCTGTCTTCTTTTCGGGTGGGCTAGCCGTTATTGTATCTCGCGTTGGCGTCTCTGCTACCATAGAGGGGGGCGAACACTCAATCTGGGGTTCCAAAATAGTACGGCTACGCACTTTTTGTCCCTCTCCACTCCTACTCCTAACACCCGCAGAACTAACTTCTCCCGCAATACTAGTACCACCAGCATCCACGGTGCCAACCCAACTCTTCCTCACCTTCCATCCGCTTTTCTGTTCTTCATGCTGAGCGATTTCGGGTATGTCAGCTGGTTCCGCATCCATTTCCGAAGTATCACTATCCTCCTCCTCCTGTAGAGACACAGGACAATGAAAAGGCCGACCAGAGGTATAGCCGAAGTCTTTGATATCGGATGATGTTGTTCGTGGCGCCGTGGTAGTGGAATGTTGACTTGATGTAGGTGATGCTTGAGCCATCTGACTGGGAACGGACGTCGGTAGGATATATTTCGATTCGAGTGCTCGAAGTATCTTGAGCAACTAAATCAGACCAACAAGTCTTCAAATGTCAGGCACTTTTTAAAGCACTCAGTCATTTACCTAGAATATGTATCTCCGTTCTCGACCTGAGAACTTCCTGCCTTGCCCGTTTTGCAGATAGAGGCACGTCACTACAAAACAACAAAGCGAGACTGCACTCAAAGCAAGGGAACAACAAGTCAACGCGCTCGAAGTCAAAACTTGCGACGATGAAATTATCATATGTATTGAAGACAACTATTTATCGAGGATATAGAATGACGTTTGTGATTCTCATGACGTGTGGACTATACTAGTAAATGCAGACGGCTGGAACCGAAAAGCGGGAACCAAACTGGGAGGCACTTAACGCTCGTTGCGAAGGAAGTCTAGGGGAGGTTATGACGAGTAACTTGAAAACTAGGGGGAGTGGTGTACCAATGTTAAGAAAATGAGGATAGGACATTTGTCGTATGATTGCATAGGGGAGATTAACTGAAGGGATGGTGGTTTGTGGTTTGTTTGGAGCAATAGGTATGAAGAATTAGCCCAAAAGGTGCCATAAGAGTAGTAAATCGAGAAAACGCGTCAAAGATTTCCGTTGGAGGCCGTAAGTAAGTTATCGTACGCATATCATAGCTTTTCCGTTTCCCCCGCTCAGAAATAACCCATAATTTACTTAAATTTCCTTCAACACGCTCCTCAACTCCTGCGCTACGGCGTCACCAACCTCCGTCGTGCTATTCGAGCCCCCAATGTCTTTCGTACGGACGTTCTTCTCGATAGTTCTGCGGACAGCTTCCTCGACTGCTTTGGATTCGGCAGGGAGTCCTAGCGAGTATTGGAGCATCATGGCAATGGAGAGAATGGTTCCGACGGGGTTGACGATTCCTTGGCCGGAAATATCTGGTGCGGAGCCTGTATTCCAATTATAAGTTTTCTGCTTAACAGACTCTGCGATGTGATATTGGAGTGCGGGAAGGAAAAAAAGGGAACGGGTTAGAGCATACCGTGAATAGGTTCATAAATACCATTACACTTCCCCTTGCCATCTGGCAAACCGCTCAAACTGGCACTGGGCAAAAGCCCAATACTTCCTGGGATAACACTCGCCTCATCACTAATAATATCGCCAAACAAATTGCTTGTAACCACAATCCCATTTAGCGCGCGGGGATTCTTAACCATCAACATAGCAGCGCTGTCAATAAGATGATGTCCGAGTTTCAGCTGCGGGAAGTCCTTCGCCATGACTTCGCTCACGACCTTCCTCCACAGTCTGCTTGATGCGAGGACGTTCGCCTTATCGAGACTCCAGACTGGCAAGGGGGGGTCGTGTTGCAGTGCCAGGTGGGCGGCGAGCCGGGTAACCCGCTCAACTTCTGGGCGGGAATAAGCCTCTGTGTCCCATGCAGTTCCATCGCCGTCGTCTTCTTTCCTCTCGCCGAAGTAAATCCCTCCAGTCAGTTCGCGGATGATGTTGAAGTCCGTTCCTCGGCATACGTCCGCCTTCAGGGGCGAGATATCAACCAGGGATTCGGAGGCAAAGTTGCATGGTCGGAGGTTTCCATAGGTACCCATCTCCTTGCGCAAGGCCAGGATGCCTTGCTCTGGTCTGACCTTTCCAGTGCCCCATTTTGGACCACCGATCGCACCGAGGAGGACGGCGTCGGCTGCCTTTGCGGCCTCGAGGGCTTTTGCAGTCAGAGGTTCGCCGGTTGCGTCGATAGAGCACTATTTGTTTCGGGATATATATTAGCAAGGGCTTTCGGCAGTAATAGCTCATATAGCATAGCTTAGAGATGGGTAAGTAGATAAATAGAAGGGTGAATCCTACACCACCAAGGAGATGTTCCTGGAAATTGAATTTCCCAGCACTAGGCCGGCATTCCTCAATTACTTTCAAGATCTGTCAACGCCATCAAGTCAGCTTCCCGTTTCCATTGCATTCGATCCCGTTCTTGCTTTCTCACCTTAACGGCCTCGGCCACGACCTGTTTATTCCATTAGCTGCTGCAACTCCTACAATTGGACGACGGCGCGAGCTTACCTCTGGTCCGCAATGATCTCCACCAAATACGACGATATTGTGAGTTGCCATTTTGTGTTGTTGGTGTTTGGTGTTGAACTTGGAAGGGAATAAAAGTGCGAGATAAGTGTATATGGTATATATGTTGGATGCTGTTGGATTTCGAGCCCCGCACTTCCGGTTTTCGGAGCGCCAACCGCGAGTGCGAGGAAGTCAGCCGCGGAGCGTTCATGAAAATAACCCCGCGTTTTCGTCCCAGCTCTCTCGGCCGCCGTTAAGTTGGTGGTGATAGAGCAACTACCCGAGTTGCAAAGTACCTCAGTCAAAAATCTAGAAACCGTAATTCTAATAAAAAAGAGAATGCAGGTTAAGCACATTGCAAAATATCTCTTGAACCGCTTCTACTTCCTACAGAATCATGTTGCCAACGATCTACCCCAGCAAAATAAGCAAATCGCTTCAAAAGCACCAAGCTTCTGTGGTCCAATGGTTAGGATTCCACCCTTCCAAGGCTGACAACAGCCAAGCAAGGTGGAGGTTCGTGTTCCACGGCAGTTGCAATACAAAATATTTCTTTTTGTTTTTTTGTCCTTGGAAATGGTGAATGGTGGTTATTATTTTTGCAATTTTTTAGTTTGTGGTTTTTTACGAGAGCTTCGCTTCTTGTCTCTAGGTGGGTGAGATAAGGTATGCAGGGGAGGAATTGATCACCGTCTAATCTCCCTTACAGCAGAACAGCGTTCCTCAATTTCCGTAGCATGCACATCTGGATCACTAGGTCTGATTATAGCTAGTCAAAATTCTTTTTATTTCTTATGGAAGACATACATGTCTACATACATATTTCCTAAACCTTCTTCCACGGCGGGTAAGTAATAATGTAACGCTATGCAACCCTAAGCAGAATATTTATCTACACAAGAAGGGTATCAAAGACAGAGCGTCGGAAATACAAATGAAATTCCGTTCATGCAATATAATGTGCTGTGAAATTTGTGGCGAGCCTCCTCCTGTACTGGCCGGCCGCCTGCCGGGTATAATAATGTTTCTCGTGGTGTGGTATGCGGAGGTGTGCTGGTGAGGGGTAGCTGATGCTGATGTATGCTGGTAGGTTATGTTTTGATGCTGTGATATTCCAACAAGATGCAGATTCTATGTGGGAGGTCATGGGAGCCACTTGCACTAGTGGCCATTCCCAATGTTGTACGTCGGATTCAGATGCTGAAGGGCTATAATAGGACGGCATTGTGGTCAGGAAATACAAAGATCGTTTCATCGAAAAGACTTGAACGATTTGTGTGCTAATGGAGAAGAGCCCATGTGTGTAGTAGGGTTCGCTTTGGCGGTCTCGCGAAGACGGCCACCACGCATGTTCGGAGTATTGGCACAGAAGGCACAAATATATACGGGAGGAAGGCCTCGACGATCAATACCGACGCACTCCGCATGAAGCCAGTTGTCGCAAGATTCGCTAGGACGGTTAGTATTGTTCTGCTCCTCTAAATAGTAAATAAGACCTACCACTGGATCATGAAGCCGTCATTATCCGGATTGTTACAGACGCATCTCGTTGTGCCGCTCCGCGAGCTGGAAGGGGTAGCCCCATCGGGGTCTGTTATAGTTGTCGGCGATATATTGGTGGAAGAGCTGTAGTTGATGTGCCTTGAGTTACCACGGACACCGCCAGAGGAGTAACGGTGGTGACGAGGAGTCCGAGATTTCATCATCTGTCGCTGCTTCCGACTCTCCATTAACCTCTTCAGCTCGAGCGTTGCATCCCCCGAGCCATCGTCTTCGTCTACCACGGTTTCAGCCTCGCTTTCTACGCTCTCGAATTGTAACGACTGTTGGCTTGACGACTCGGACTGGCTATAGCCGCTAGTACTACGTCTCCTCACATCCGCACCGCGGAAGGATGTCTCGAATGTGGCGAGCTTTGGCCCTTTCCCTTGCGGGGGCAACGTGAAAGAGGTGTTTCGGCTTGGTACTATAATAGGTTCATCGTCGCTAGAAGATTCGGTCGAAGTCGATTCCCAATTTTCATTCGATGTTGACCGCCCACCTCTGGACCTCGGCGGCTTGTCTTGTATTATCACAGTCTCCGTTCTGGCCCTGCCTTTGGAATCTATGGTGAACCTTACCTCTGTTCGAGCTCTCGGTGGGGGTAGTTCGGGGATTGAGGAAAGACTCGGGGGTCGCTGTTGCTTTACAGGAGAGATTCGACCTGTTCGAGACCTTGGTCGATCTTTTCACGGTTTAGTAATGCTCACCAAAAATAGGTGAAAGACATACCCTGAATTCTTTTGCCCCTAACCTCACTAACACTGCGGTATAGCCCAGGTCGTGCTGATCCCTTCACCGGCGAGCTTACGGTCCCTCTATCATATAGGCGGGATTTGCCGCCATCTCGGTAGCTGCGAGATCTACGAAGCTCTTCCTGGTCTCTGGATGCTTCCCTTAATTGATGTTGGTAAGGCTCGAGAGCATGGCTTGTGGCAGGACGGGGCGGCGGTAGCGTAGCATCCTCAAAGGCAGAAGGCATGCTAATGGAATTGCTTCGGCTATACAGGAGACCCGGGTCTACCGCACCATCTAGAGGACCAGCCGAGAACGGATCATCGGCGGCGCTTGTGTTATGGAAATCGAACGGGGCCATAGAAATCGGTATATCCCCACCCGGCATGGAGATTTTTGGAGCAAGGGGTCGTTGGCGCTTGGAGGAAACCTGCTTTGGGTGATTTGACGACATGTTCACGGAATCTTGAAATATTTGATTACTTCGTCCCCAATCTAGAGAATTGCTGATCCGGTGGCCTCCGGTATTGAACATTGCGTCGTCAGCCGCAAAATCGATATCCATGCCGTTCATACTAGTGTCAGTGTCCCAGAACGGTTTCGTGCCACCAAATGCTGCCGCGGTGGCTGGAGCTGACATAGGGTAATTGAACATCTCCGTCGATGACGAAGCAAAAGCCATCATGCTGGCCTGAGTTGGGGTTTGTGAAGAGCCATAGTGGCCGTCTTGAGACTCATTTTGCATCGTATTGGTCTGAATCTTGGGTGCAAGTTTCCTGGACCCCTTCGATGCCGTTGGAGGAGGAGTAGCTGTTTGTCCACTAAAAGCTTCATCCAAGCGCTTCTTTGGCTTTCTCGGGGTCACCTTCTTCCTTGAGCTGTCATCGAATCGGTTATAGTTGGCTGAATATGGTCTTGGAGATGGTGGTAGTTCATTCGATGGAGACGCTCCTTGTACGTTGGGGTGCGGCGACAGCTGGTGGGCATCAGTTCCGAATTCAGCTGAGAGATCCGCTGGGTTCGATAAGGGCAGCTTCTGGCCGTTGACGATCAAGGGGCGAGGTGTCGAGACGTCGACGAAGGAGTGATGTTGGGCGCTAGTCAATCGTCCTGGGGTGGAGTTGAAGACAGAATATTCCTCTGCAAACTGAGGGGTCCAACCACTACGGTCCTCGAAACTTGTATTATTATTCCTTGGTGTCTGGAAAGTTGGGCTGGGGAAATGGGGGGATATCGGAGTCTTCGTGGGGGTCGGTGGTTGGGCGTTTGGATTCCCAAAGCTATCAAGAAAAGTATTAGCCTCAGCACCGAAAATCATAGCCTCTTCCTCTAATGTTAAAACATACCTGTATGTCGGTTGGTCCCAACTCATAGCAAAGGTAACTTGCAAGACGGGGCAGATGGCTCAAGGCAGGTTGCCTGGCGCCTGCACAATAATTATGGCGGTAAACCTCTGGCTATCGCTCCCTTTTCCTCAACCACCTTCCACCCTCTTTCCACTGCCTGATATATCTCCCTAGCTCTCGATTTTCTTATGGTAGTGTGTCACTTAGCTCGGGTATTTCGAGAATGAGGGCTCCAGGACACGGTGGGGTTTCGTGCAAACAGTCCGAAGTATATTTAGCACATGGCAACTATGCATAAACGACAATTATCGTGGTTCTGAGCAGTGCATCGGTCAGTACTGTAAGTATCCCAGCAGCAGAGTTGGTTTGCGGACAGGACAGGACAGCACAGGACATACCGGAAATGAAATATCATCAAGCTTGTTTTTCAACTGACGTTGGAGGAGCTGAGGCCCACGGTGGTAATCACCAGTCTTGGTGGTAGCGCTGGTTCAACTGGTTGGGGTTGCAAACAAGCAAGGGCGAGGGCCTGGACTGGGGCTGGCTAGGGATTCGGCAGCTGTCTCCAAGTATCTCACGACCGGGCAAGCCGAATTAGGACTCCAGAGGACTGCTACGGAGGATGTCTGAAGGAAATATTATACAGATACAGTGTTCAAAGGATTCGAGGCGCTCGGGGGAAAGATGGTGGCGGAGGGCACGCGGTCTGGCTGGAGTTGCAATGCAAACAAAACGGGTGGTTCTCGTTCCTGTTCCTGGTATGTACGAAGTATGACATGAAGGAGCGTTCCCTCCGTGGTACCAGGATTGTAAAAAGTCGTAGCGGGGCCTGAGTCCGCACAGGCACAGGCACAGAAAACGGGGACTCGGGGCTTCAGGTGCGAGCAATTGCTGCTGTGCAAATGGTGCCCGGCGGTGGATATAAATATGGATATGGATAAGCGGCAAAATTATGGAGAAGGTTCATTTCCAGGAGTCAGGTTAGGCGTTGAACAATGTTGTGGTGTTGTGTTGTGATCCGGGTTGAGGTTGTGTCTCGGGCAACAAAGAAAAGGCTGGAGACGATGGGTGGAGAGGCGTGGGCTGAGATTAACGGCGTCTGAGCCAGGAGTGGCGTCTACAGGGCAAAGGGAAAAGGGCAAATGGCAAAAAAGGCAAAATACCGAGTACAAAGTAGTGGGGAGCTGAGCTTAAGGAGATAAGCAAGCTGTTGGTACGAGTACTCGGACAGTTTGGCTTGCAGTTGCAGACGGCAGGGCAGGAAACAAGGAGAGATGGGGAGATGGGGGACCTGGCGCCAGGACAGAGCCATCGGCCGGGAGAAAGACATGATTTGATGTGATTTAAGCGGTTGAACAGAAGAATAATAGGTCGTTGCTAGGAGAGTCGGCGAGTCGGGGCGAAAGTCGAAGGTTAGTGGCTCCGTCTTATCATAATCGCTTGGATGGAGTCATAATACGATCTACGAAGTCATAGGTCGGAAAAGGCAGGCAGTTACAGTACTTAGTGGCGGTCTATCACGTACGGAGTACCTTGGTGCCTACCTAGGTACTTATTTACTTATATTTATTCAGTCGTGCTTCTCCGATGTCGAGCTTCTCAGCTTTATATACAGCAACCTGCCGAGAAACAATAAACATCAATAGAAACAGAGAATGTACGCTAATTTACGCCCACGTACTCCGTATATTATTCCTCGATGCACCAATCCATACGGACCTGGTACCTACGTACGAAGTAGTATTCTACTCTATTCCCTTCCGTCCCTCTTCTGCCGGCGGCGGTCCAAGCCCAAGCCCATAGCTATCGTCCTAGCAAAACCCGGTCTAGAGTTTGGACGATCTCTGCCTTTTAGTACGGAGTAGGTAGTGCTCACTCACGTACTCACTCACTCAACTATTCCCCTTCGGTTGAGTTTCTGCATCTGCAGCTGCATCTACCATGTATGTGTCTCTCAAAACCAATGTGTACCTGCGTACGGTGTACCCCGTGCATGAATAGGTATGTATCGCCTTTGACAGCTTTCGCTATATCTGGGATTGGGACCTGCATACTTCGTACATACCTAGGTATCTAGGTAGTAATAAGGAGACCACAGCCACCGTTTGATGAGTGAGCCTGACCAATCCATCGCTTTTTAAAGTATCGTGGAAACGCAAGAACAATTTCCGTCCGCCAGCCCTCTTGCGCCACAAACCCTCTTCTAGATAAAGGGCCAACAAGAAAAACATTCGATAGGTGTCGCAAATGGCTTCTTTGCTCCCGCAGAAGCACACCTTCAACGCCATTCCGCCAGCCAAAGCCAGCCAAGCTCTCACGCATTCATCAAGGCGCCCAATCAATGGTTGTCCTGAGGAGCCAATGCCAACTGTCCCCATAGCCCTGTGGACATCCTCCGGTGCGTCCAATCACCTTCCCGCTTTCCCCATTACTTGAACACTTTTCAAACTCCAACTCTTCAGTAGTCTCCTTGAATCTTCAGCAATAACACGCAATACCTCGATCCTTCTGGTTAGCACAGGGCAGGACAACACAGCATGCGTCAGAGAAGGCCTTAACTGTTGCCAATCTAATAGCTAGCATAAAGTCGCCCCTAATCAATCGAAACCCTGCTGGCACCTCACGCCTAGGAGTGGATCTCCGCGAATAAGACTCCTCCCAACTGCTTCAACTTCTATCACCGCGCGGGGAATCAAGTGGAATCCTCCATGCGACGGAAAGGCGACTCGAGTGTCATTTTGCGAGCAAATCGACGGTGCTCAGCCACACTGCTGATCTTTACGATGCATCAAGATCCGAACCACTCGTTGGCCTACATAAACGCTTACTGATATGCTGTCCCACCACGATTGTTGGTTTCAAACTGACCAAAAATAGGAAAGTGCATCTTCATCTTATCTCTAGCCCTCGCTACGGGTATTGTACATAACCTTACCCCTTTTTTCGAACTTCAAGTTCCGTTTCGCCTTGTGTGTTAATCAGCTCTCGCCTCCTTTCCCACCCTTCCACAATCGCAATCCCAGACGGCATTGGCTTCCCCGCCTACTCAGGATCTAAGACTAGGGTCCCTCTTATGCCCTCATAAAAGGGGTTTAAGTAAACCCTATATGTTGCAGGAGAAAAACTTCCCCAAACCTACAAACACATGACACTAGTTTTCCATAAAGTCACATGATCTAAACATACCCAACCATCCCCTTCATCCAATTCTATCCCCCCATTTATCACTCCGTATACATATACTCACTCCGTCCACCTACGTTCCATTACTACTCAAACTCCAAACTATCCCGAAAATCTATAGCACACATGTACCTAAGGATTTAACCTTCCCCGCTACCCGAGCAATCCCTCCTTCTCACCTCCTTACCCAGAGTTGCATTGCAGGCGATCACCCGGCTCTCCCTCCCTCAACAGACATACATGCAACCACTACACCCCCCCCCCCCCCAAGCTTAATCTAGCACACATCTCAGATCGGGGATCGACGTATCCATCCGCATGCGCCTGACGCGTGCCTCAGCATAACAGTTTCCAACGAGGCGCGCGCGAGCCCGAGGGGGGGATCGCCATGCCTCAAACAAGCCGCGCCCATAAAGCCCTGCTGTGGTAACGTTAGAATAGCGGCGGTCGGTCGATGGCGAACACACAATTTGAGTGCGTTCCACCTGGGCACGGCCGTAGTGGCAGCCGTCGGACTTCCGGTTTCTGGGTACAGGCTGATCGGCCGTGAGAGCCTAAGAGAGTAATAGTTCGGATGTTATGAAGTGGAGGTGATGGAGATGGGATCAGCAGTCCCGAAGTATCAGAGAATTACTACTTATTACCTATAGACTATAAGTACGGAAACGTATATGGGGCTTCTTAACCAATTATAGCTATTTGTTTGGTTACTTCGCTGGTTGGGATATAAAACTTCTTATAGTACAGAAGTTTCAATACCGAGGCTAAAGTCAAAGCCAAATGCGTTTGACGTAACTCTAATACGAAAGCCAAAACAAGTTACAGCTTCATTTGGAATTCCCTTCCACCAGTAAACGGTGTAACAAACATTTCACATCTGACAAACACTCAATCTCAATATTCATCAAAAAAAGACTTAACTCATTATTATCGCTATCGCTATCTGGCTACTGCTAACTTTGGCTATCTATCTACTTTGGAACGAACGGTAGGGGGGGTATATAAACCTTCCGGTTTCTCGACAGGAAACTACTCTGCCATGCAAATATTTGTCGTATCAATAAGACTTGAAAAAAGGAAAAATATATAATTAAGAGATCATTTCAATCAATGCTGCCCCTATTTCCCCTTCCAGTCTTTCTCACTGCCACACACCCTAACGCGCCGCCGTGTTTGTGCGTTTTTCATGAAAATCATCAAATATTCCAGTCAAAAGTCGCCCATAAAAAGGATTTTGCGCCGGCTAGGGGATATCATGCCACCACCGCCATGCAATTTCAAATAGACATAGGAAAACAAAATCAAAAAGTGTGGACAGTGTATGTCTTGTGTGTGTTGGTTTATCCTCCTCTTTCCATGGGGGAAGGACTGTCTCTTATACACATCTAGATGTGTATAAGAGACAGGTGTATGTCTTGTGTGTGTTGGTTTATCCTCCTCTTTCCATGGGGGAAGGACGCTCTCTTCCTTCCTCGCCATGCCGCTTATCATTATGCGCGAATCAAAACAAAAAAAAAACCCCCGCTTGCGTATCCCATCGGAAAGGATCAATCAACCGCCATTTTATTCCTAGCCAACCAAGACTCCCGTCATGATGATGCGATGACAAAAGGGGAAGAGATGGGACTCATCATTCGTTGGAGTGGAATTTCGAGCGAAGTAATCAAAAAACGTGAAAAGAGAACATTATATCATGCCGGCAACGCCCTCTAAAGGATTGATGGTTTTGGGCTGGTGCTGGTGCTGGTGTTGATGTTGTGATTGTTGCTGCTGATGGCTTCCCGGCATTGGTGTATTTGTCACCGAATTGCTAGGAGTCATTTGCGGCGTCATTGGTGGCTCGACCTTTGGTTTGGCCATCGTAGAAGCGGCTAAAGCACGAGTGTGAGACGACTCGCGCCGTCGTTTGGGCGCATCCTTAATCTTCGGATGTGTATGGCACTTTAAAAGCAATTGTCAGCAAAATGAATCGGACTCGGGCGAGACCTTCACCAAGACTTACCTTGTATGCGTGTCTGAACCAAGTGGTTCCCTTCTTCTTACTGCTCACGAGCGCAACCCACTCGTTACAGCTACCGCACAGACCTTCCCAGACATCTGGATTCCCATCCATGCGTCGCGTCTCTTGCGGCTCTTGAAATGGGCTACCGGTGGCAGCGCTGATACCATGGGTGAAACTTTTATCGTACCAGAAAGCGCTATTCTTTAGGACGAGCCATCGTCCTGGTTTGCAAATGCCACACCAGCCTTCGCGCTTGTTCCCGTGACCACGGACCCACCGAGGAGTGTAGAGGTCACCATCGAAGCGGAGTTCCTGCTCGTGTGGTATCAGATCAGGGTCGCTTGGGTTCATATCCTCTGGAGGCGGTGGGACTTGTTCCTCGTGCAGAGATGCGTATAGATCAGGAGGGTCGCTTAGATCGGTGTAGTGCGAATGCAACGAATGAGGGTCGGCATTGCTTTGTAGCATCCGGAATAGGCCATGTGACAACAGCGGAGGGGGGTTCTCAAAGTGATTTGGTTCATGATAGTTGTGAGATGGGAGTAGCATGCTGTTTCTATGAAAAGCTGTGTTGTTTGCCAGAAGGTAAGGGTGTTGCTGTGTTTGTAGATTGGTCATATTCAAAGGGAGCGGAGCGTTTGGTAGCGTTGGAGAGGAGTGTCTGGATGACATTCTCGGGGGGTGGGGATTGAAGACCTCATGTGTCTGGTGATAGATAAAAGGAGAGGGACGCCGATTCGGGAGGGGGGCGTAAGATCCTGTTGACCATCTCTTGCTCCGGGTACTATCCATGGTGTACGGCGCGGAGCGCATGCTTGGGCGGGGAGAAGGAGAAGCGCGGCCTCTGCTCTGCGTTCGAACGAGCTCTGAGCGGTTTTGAGGAGTCATTCTGGGGGAGGCGACAGGAGAGAGCTGCGTAGAGGACATCAATGAATTGCGGTTTGAAGGCGGTGGATATTCGGAGCTGAAGGAAGGCGCTTCTGATAGTGTTGCAGAGAAGTCTTCATAGGAAGGCATCTCTGAAAGCGCGCCAGTCGTCGACATGGTGAAGGACGATCCAGACATACGCCGAGAGCTGTACGATTGATCCAGGCTTAGACGGTCGCTTTCCATTCCAGGTCCCGAGAATCGTAGGTCCAGAATCGGCGCGGTCTCGTCTGTTGAGAATGCCTGGCCCATATTCATGTCTGTATCTAGACCTTGCAAATCAATCCCGTCATCGCATGGCTTTGACCGCCATTCATCTGGGATCCGAGTCAGATGGTAATTCTCGTTGTGCCCTTCGCTTTCGTCGTATAAGAACTTACTTTCTCCAGCCGTTGTAGAGGGGTAGAAGTCTTGTTGTACAAAAGGCTGTGGCAGTCCATCATTGACGGGTTGCATGGGCATGGTCGATGAGTCCCAAGCTGGCAGGGACGCAAACTCTTCGGGGAGAGTATAGTTGAAAGCCGATTCATGTATCGTTGCTGGTCTAGGCCGTGATACCGGAGCGGTGGGCGAAGACCACATTCCTAACCCAACTGGTTCCGCCTTGACTGACACCTCGGTGGGGTTCATGGTGACGGAGGGGAAGGAGCGAGCAGGATAGTCTCTTCTGAACTTGTTATTTGGATTAAATGTAAAGGAGGGAATTTGTATTTGTTGGCGCCTGGGGTTTGAGTTAGTACCGATTCCTCATGAGGGTTCTGGCGGGATATCTCACAGTTGCGCCTGGTTGGAGTTATCCATGGCGAAGGGTCGTCCACGTTTATCGATTAAAGTGTAGGGCTGGGGGCATTGGTGTTAGTGAGGATGTTACTTGTGAAGAGTTGCGTAGACAACGAGGGCATATATCCGGCGACTGGGATCCGGTATACTTGTAAAAAAAAAGCAAGAGTGATATGACATACCAGGCGTGATAAGATCGGAGGATGTGCAACTCAATATGTAATAGTGGTCTAAGGCGTCCTAGTCTTGTAAGGAATGCGTAAAGTTTCGGCGGTGTCCCCGAGAAACGAAATTGGATGGGGGAGGCTTCGACGTCGAGGGAGTGGCTTTGAGTTACTGAATCGGTAGGCTCACGGGGGGGGGAGGGGCGGTGGGAAATGAGTGTAGTGAGTTGCGCTATGCAAAAGTATAGAAACAAACTCGTTTGGGGATCGGCGCGGCCTGGCTGGCTTGATGTAGATGAGAGCCAGCTCCCAGTATATAGGTTAGAGGAAAGCGAAATTAAATGGCCGTAAAGGAGCGACTGGCCGAATGGAATAGGAAGTGCTGCGATTGGGAAGAGTCGGCAGAAGATGTGGAAAAGGGAGGGGCAGTGCAGACAGACACCCTAGAGGTATAAGAGAAGAAGGACTTTCGTTAACAGCCCTGTCCGGGTTCGGGATGTCGCTCGACGACCCATGCCGGGAGCCCTGATACAAAGCCAAACTGCAGAAAACTTGTGTGGGTTGAGGTTAAGAAAAGATATCCGGGTGGAACATGGCTTGGCAGCTCCCAGGGGACGGTGTGTGCAGCTGGAATCCACGATGCAGCGGTCGAAACCCGCGCCGGGGGTAGGAAGGGGGGGGGGCTTGATGGGGGATCGGGTTTCTCGGTCACCAGAAGATAGATGACTTTGCGAGAGCTGTACGTAGTAAGGCAAGGCCCTAGGCAGAGTGGATGGGATGTTGGACCAGAGGGGCCATGCGTATCCAATTCATCCGGACCAGTCTAGAAGGGGGTGGCTGGACGGTGTCTCATGCGACGCCACCACACTATATCGAACCTTATCTGGGGTAAGCCGGGCTTACAAGAGCTGGCGGCGGGGAGTATATCCAGCAGGTGTCTTTCGAGAGCCTCGAGAAACCACACGATCTGTCCTCCGGATGTGGCTCCAGGGACAGCGCTGCTGATCTCCACGGGGGGCGAGATTTGGAGATTTGTAACGGTCGAGGACTTACTGATAAAAAGTAAGCAGCCTGAAATCGGGCGAGGGCTGCTGGGGCCAATAAGGCCGTCTGGCAGTGGTAGCAGCGGTGACAGGCGAGTCTTCTGAGGGCCGCTGGTGGTGCGCCGAACTGGGCGATCAGGGATTGCGTTTGGTCGCAAGATCGGGCTCTGTTTGAGGATCTTCCACCCCGAAGAACGAGAAGGGGAGGGCGGACAGCCAGAGGGCGAGGGAGGGATCTCCCCGGGTGTTACGACCTGGACCGGCTGGACTGGACTGGACTGGATTGATAGGGCCATCGAACCAACAGCAACCACAGCCTTTCTCCGTACGAGGCATAACAGCGCAAATATCGATAACAGAAGCCTGGTTGTGCTGCCCCTCTCGTCGCCGCGGTATCTGTGGCATTCAACACGCCGGCAATGTATGTACGTGGGGCTTGCCTGGAAACAGGACTTGGGTTTGGACCTGAGAGCTGCTCGCTTGGTCTGCACTGGCAGCTGGCGTGAACGGCATGAGTTGGGCGCATCGAGAAGGATTCTGGATATGTGGTAGAGAAACACGGCAATGTTGGGATATGGGGGGGGTGGGCAGGGTTAGGGGAGCTGGGAAAGCTGGGCAGCTCGCGAAAGTTTCAAGTTAGAGGCTGCGAGGCGTGAGATGGAAGTTAAGTGGTAAGATAGGTTGCATTCTGGGTGCATCGTGTTGCAACTTGTGATATGTAGGGAGTAGGTCAGGTAGGCATTGGAGGGAGGGACCAAAGGGGGTGTTGACCGTGGATTGATGATGTTGGCCGAGGCGACTTGAGACTGGAGGCTGGAGACTGGAGACTACAGTAGCGAGAGGTTAAGAGGCGTGAGGTCAGGAGGTGTCGTAGGCGGTCTTAGGTCTGAGGGGGGGGGTAAGCGAGGTGTTTGAGAGGCGTGCTCTGAAACAATGCACCGTGGGTTGGCATCCAGGGGCCGCTCGCGAGGGCAGCGAATGGCGATGAGATCATGAGATGACCGCCCTCTGTGTGACAAGAACGAGTACTAGAGACTCCCTTACCTACAGTAGGTAGAGTGCGAGAGGACTACGGTGTAAAGGTACACGCTACATTATTTTCGTACCACTCGGGGGGGGGGGGGCCTGACCAACCTGACCTGACGGCTGAAGCTAGGGGCCTTTTCTTAAGGGCTAGGCGTCTGGAGGGCGTCTGTACTGTCAGGTAAGGTAAGGATAAGGATTAAGGATTAAGGATATGTAAGGCACCGGGGGACTGCCGAGGTAGAGTACATACAGAGTACATTGTGTACTGTAAGTCCCTATGAATAACTCCAAACTGTACTACCCCGTACGAGGTACAGATTCCGTCCACCGGGCTAGAGCTGGGCCTAAAGTAGCACTGTACCACTGCAATAATAGCACTGTAATAATAGTAATAGCCACTGTACAGTACAGTAGCACCACTTCTGCCACAGTTCTTCCTCCGTACGTACGCACTCGCTCGCTCAGTGGCTCACACTGGTCCCTACTGGTGACATACTCCGGACTTGCTGACACGGCACCACGTAATCTGCAAACCTCCGTCCGCCAACGGTCAACCACTGGTCCGGTCGTAGTGCCAAACCTCGTCCCAAGCTTCCATCCATCAGAACTCGCAATTCGCAACTCGCAGCCTAAGAACTCAAATCACCAGTGGCTGCTACTGCCCACTGACCAGCCCCAGGTGATCTGGAAGAAAACACCCTCTCGCAAATCACAAGTCACAGCCTCCCCGGGTAAGGACATAGCGGGCCTGTCCTCGCCCCCTGGCCCGCATCTTCCCACGCTCTCTCGCGCTGCTCTCTCGAGTCGGCACTCTGCAGCACTCTGCTTGGAACACCCGCCCGAACATAAAACTGCAGCATTTCACAAAAGTTAAAGTTAGTTCTCGAATCCTCCTGGAACGAGCAGCGCGCACACGCTCAGCGAAACTGCTTGTGTAGTCTGTACTGCCCCTCGCGCGTTTTGCGCACCCCACGCCGCGCGCCCTGGACCTCCACAACCGTGGTACAGTACATGTACAGCACGGCACCAAACGCCTCTCCCACTCCCAGGTTTGCGGATGGGCTATTTTTGGCCGGCTGTCAGAGAGAACCGTCAGAGAGAACCGCTTGCTGCTTGCTGCTGGCCGCTGCCCATGCCCATTCCCAGGGTACCAGACGCGGGTACGCAAGAGTTCGGACGTCGCCAGAGGATTCAGAACAACCCTCCTATCTCCCTACCTGCGAGTCAGTCTGCGAGTCTGCGACTTCCCTACCTCCCGGACTCCCTGGTTGCCATAATGCTGCATATTAAGATTGAAATTGCCACCAAAACAAAATCTGGTGACCAAACACCAATCCGTCCACGGTCCCCGATGCGCTAGAAATGGTGCCCAGGTACGGTCGTGATCTTGGCTCCGTTTCTGCGGGGAATTTTGCTGGGCCGGGTGGAGGTACCTGGCAGCCTCGCATTAATCGCCGCTCAATCTGGGAGACTGGAAGGCCAAGGGACGCCCAGGGATCCTCAATCGAACAATCAAAAAGTCAATAATAGAAACTCATAATCCCATCCGACACCAATCACGCCCCTTCGGTTGAAATGATTGTCCGCTAGCTCCACGCGGCCCCGTCACGTACCCAGCAGCTATCGTCCAAAACGCCATCATCACCACCCGGGATATCTCATCTCATCGTAAATCATGTTTCCTTCGATGACGCCAGCATGAGCTCTAGTGTATCCAATATTCATGCGGCGGAAATAAAATAAAACCCTTTCTGTAGAATACCGAGTCACCGACATCGCTTGCGTGTGTAAAAACCACTTTTCCATTCCTTCTTAAGGGATAGATGCCGGAGAGCTGAATCTATTTCGAGTGACTTCCGATTTTGCCATGAAGAGATCAGAGCTCCACCAAAACTCCCCTGACAATCGATACATTTCTTCTCTCCCAAAAAAAGGTTTACCTCTTCTTATTCCTTGTTGATCTTGCGCCATACATCCGCTTCTGCTGCTGCGATCTTCGCACCGGCCTGCTGGGCCATCCTTCCTAGTGAATTCCACATGCTATCAGATTCCATCCCGTCTCCTTTCCCCGAGCTGGACGCATTATTGGCCTCATTTCCCGGTCTTTGGTCGTTTGTAAGCTCTGATGCATAAACATTCTGCTGGTAACCCGATGCTTGCTCAGCGCTGCGTTGAGGATATCCACCTCCGTCCGTGGGTAGCGAAATGGGGTATGCTGATGACGCAGTGTTTGATGTAGACATGGAAGATGCTGGCGGCTGACCACCAAAAGCGGAACCAGGAGGCGCAAACGACATCTGAGGAGGATAGGGCTGTGGCATCGACTGAGTCGCTGGAGGCCCTGCCATCTGATGTGGCGGATGATACACTTCACCAGCCTTAGGGGGTGGAGGAGGAGGCACGTGCTGGCTGCTGAACGGAGTGGGCACAGCACCAGGTTGCGGCGCTGGCGGACCCTCGGTGTCGCCGTGGAAATTCGATGGCCATTGCGGCGGCGGCAGTCCTCCAGTTGGCGCGGGGACCGCGGCAGCGCCTGGTCTTGCGGATGGGTATGTTGACGTTGATGTTGATGAAGATGATGATGATGATGATAATGTGGTCGTTGAGGCGGCCACAGGATTGGGACCACCAGAGGAATCCTTATAAGATCCAGGCGCAGCCGTTTGGGGGGTTACTCCAGAAGCCTTCGATGCAGTATCGACTCGCGTGTACACCGGAATACCCGACATCTCGAGAATCTCTTGATGTCAACAAGTTTCCTATTGCGTGTCGATGTTTCGTGTTTCGAAGTCCGTTCTAGCTGACGAGCAGTTGGGGGCTGGAGGATTGACTCGACCCAAGTAAGAGTGAGAACGTACGAGTAATCACACGGTGTGACGGTGACTAGAGCTCGCGCGAGTGTTTTGGATGTCAAGTTCGTTTTGCCTATTTTGGGGTTGCTGAGTAGGGAAGCCAGATTTCGAGTTTGAGGCGTGGACACTGACGGTCCTGGAACATCTCGGTCGTCTCTGTTTGTCTCATATCCTAAGCAGTGCGCGCAGTACCCGCCCCGCGATGACGTACAAAGAAGTTGTACCTGATTCGTGGCGTCTCTCGTTTCCTCGCCAAGAGAGCCGGCCCACGTGATTATATATCGCAACAGCAGCTTTACGAGTAACCAAGGTACCTAGGTTCAAGTAGATCGTCCATAGTTGTCAAACAGCCTGGTATGGTCTGGTATTGTATATGATCTTTTGCCATAATTGCAATCTACAAGATCAATCGTTTGAGTAGTAGGTAGGTTTTGTTTTTATTTATTTTTAGAGTGTATTTATTTTAGTTATAACGTAGGTAGGTTTGTGCCAGATACCGAAGCCCCTCTCGACAGCGATCTCGTAATGTTATCTTTTTATATTCAAATAAAACCCCATTGAACGCCTCGAAAATGCACCCAGTACACCAATCCGCGTAGATCCATCTACCCACACATATCTCACCTATCCACGCTGTCTTAAGAACCCAGCAAGGTAGCCAGCAAATGCCTTCCTATCCGTGGAGGTCGTCATATGCTTTATAAAGTCGGATCCATCAATACCCAAGGAGGGGAAGAATGAGGTCTGCAGGTGCTGGAGGAACATGTCGCCCGTTTTGGTATAGATCGTTTGCTCCAAACCGGCGATTTCGTTCAGGACTTGCTTGACTTGAGCATCAGAAACAGGGCGGAATTGTGGGTTTTGGAGGACTTCCCAGCAGATGGGATGGAATCGCTCAATAAGAAACCTGTCGAAGCCCGGGAATGCGGGGGAGGGTGGAAGCGTGGATGGCGTTGGTTGAGGAGAGAGAGTTGCGATGCTTGGCCCGCCCCAGAGATCAGCCATGCGGGCGAGAACTGAAAATGCAAGACGACTAGCCGGGAGATTCCCCGTCCCGTTGCTCACCGTCCTTGCTAGAGTTGTGACGGATGAAATCAAAGACTCGAAAAAGCCTTGGTTTAGGTCGCTGACCAAAACCGACCCAAGACCTTCGTTCAGGATGATCTGCACAAATGTTAGATATTCTCGTCGAAGCTCGGCAAGCTGAATCTCGTCATCGGTCCCGGTGATCGGTTCATTTAGGCCTGCAAACACCCTTTGGAGTAGTGGGGTAAGCAGGGAGTCTAGGACTGAATATATGTCTTTCTTGAAGCCAAAGATGACCTGGTCCAATAAACGAAGGAACATAGCCATTTCATCTTTGGACGAGCTTTGAGATAAGAGTCCATCAATCCAGCGCGGAAGGAGCGGCAACATCCCAATCCCTAAGACTCCCATAAGTCTGGAGAATGAAGCTCTAGCTGCCGTTCGAATATCAAAAGAGGATCGAAGTGCTTCGAGAGCAATCAGGATGGCTTCTGCTGCTCGGCCAAACTCTTCCACCAATTCCTTAGGATGGGCAGCACGATGCGTTGCAGCGGTGCCCGGGCTCCAGTCAGAGTAACCATGCGCTAAAGTTCCCAGAGCCATAATAACGTGATGAATTTGCAAGATTGCTTGTGCGTCGCCTGATTTCGCTATAGGGAGGGTACGCTCAACCTCGGAGAATAGAGGCTCCATGATGGTCCTGGCGTACAAGACCTGCTTTTCAATAGGAGTTGATGATGTTGACGAGATGCAACCAATCGCCTCATAGAGGTAGAGCTGCCCGTTGAAAGTCGCGTCAGCAGAATGATCGCTCTCATCAGATGACATGTCATCATCGCCACCACCTTCACTCGGAAGCTCAGCCTTAATAGGAAGCAAGTCGCTGATGGACTGGATTACAGTCTCCGCAACATTTCCCACGTGTGCACGGAGGTGCTTCACAAACCGATGAAATAAGTACCAGGACCGCGTCCGGACCCTGATATGGTTGTGGTGCACTAGTCTAACAAAGTCCTCGAGGACTTTAGGTATGTATGCTGCCTGGTTTTCGAAAAATGAGCAGTATCGGACGGAGATTTCCATATACTGGAGTTGAATGGCAGGATGAGCGAACGAGGCAACCCCTTTATCCGTCAGTACGTCGAATCAGATACATGCACTTTCGAAGCTTACCTGATTCGATCATCTTCGAGATCATGATGATCAATCGCTCAGCGGCTACGCCCGATGGCTGGCTTTTAGCATAGAGTCCTCCGTTTGGAACAGCAAGCTCTCCAAATAGATACATCTCATGAAGTGCCAAGTCGAGATCTCTCCAGTCCATTTGAGCACCCTGGCTATCAAAGGATTGGAAAGTGTTTCCCACAACATTGCTTAGAACGTCAATGTAAAGTCCTTCATCAACTGCGGCAACTGCCTTTTGAAGGATTTGCAATCTTTTCCTCAAATCGTGGAATTCTGCCTCATCTGTTTGTTCATCCTCGTTGCCCCAATTAGACGTTTCATCGTATCTCATCTTCTGAATAATAGAATTGAGAATAGGTGACAGCATGGAGGAATATGCAGGTGGAAGTGGTTTGGCTTTACGCAAGAATGTGAGAAGATCGGTGAGAGATGGTATGACGGTAGAGCAAATTTCATCATATTCGTCGGAAAAGAAGCGTAGGAGGGAAGGGAGGAATGTTTGAATGAGTTGCTCGGCTCGTGCTCGAGTCTCGGCCTGGGCCTGATTATCGTCGAGGACTTTCACGATATCGAAAACCACGTTGTTGACTAGCTTTGCAACAGCCTCTGCGAGATCAGTATCATAGCTCGATGTTGGCCGTAAATCATGCAGTGCTGGACTTGTAATAAGTTGAGAAATAACATCCCCCAGATTCAAGAAGACAATCATATCCATCTTATCAGACCCTTTCATCTTTTTAGCCACAATCTCTGTGAATGTGTCAATGGCTGCATCCCGCACCTTGTCTTCTCGGTGGGATGGATTTGTACGACCAGCAAGCCCAAAAAGGAGATTCAGGGTATCTTGGTTGACAATTAACGAGATGTCAATCCAGCTAACCCACTTGCCAATCATCTTCAGGTTCATTTCGACAATGCTGTCATTCCGATCCGCCCATTGTGCCAGAATCTCTTGCCAAGAAGTAGCGATCTTCTGAACATCCCGTGCTCGCAGAATATCCTTCAAATAGGTGTTGCGTTTTGTTTCATCCGCGGTCCGGGTAACAAGAACATCGGCGATTTCATCATGAATTGAGCCCAAGATTCGTAAGTAGAGAACAATGCCCACAATGTTATCCCTTGACACATTATTTTGAAGACTGGTCAATGCCAGAAAGTCATCCACAAATGTTTCCCAGCCTTCTTTATACATCGAGATAAAGAGGAATGTTAAAGTCTGAGTGAGCTTATTCTGGAGACTCGGTGGGTCTATGTCATTCTGGCTGCCAGATCCATAGATATGCCTTATGTATTCCAAGAGCGTCACCTTCAAATGGTTTAAGTTTTGGCTATCCAACTGTTGTGTCTGAATGGCATTGTTGACAACGTCTAGGGATACTAGCCGAACGACTTCGGAACATTTTGGGATTCGTGTGAAGAGGGTTAGGCACGCTTCGCGACCAGACGGGTCAGACCGTAGCTGATTGAGGAAATCGAAGGCTTGCTGTTTGACGCTCTGGTCGGCGGTTGGGTTCCATGCAATCTCAATGGCATTTTCGACCTGGCAGAGGTTAGACAGTTGGCATAAAATTGTGGTGTTGCGGGCATTAGCAACACGTCACCGACGGTGCGGTTAACTTACCTGGGCGTCCATGACTACCGGATTGCAGATGCCCTGGGTTAGAGGGTACCTGCGACTCCTCGGGATACTAAGTTCACTACTATGTAAATGGCAGCAAGTGGTGTTGTCGCATAGACTTGAACATGCGTCAGGCGCGCTATGAAGCCATAGAAGGCATAATTTCTTCAGAGGTGATAAAAAGTCTTTGTGCGAGTATTGGAGGTCGCCGACTCGCTGACCAAACTAGGATGAGCTGTACTTAGGCTATCTGATAATATTAGATCTGCAAAGAGAATCTGCTGTCGGGTTCAGAGTGTCGAATCGCTAGAGAGCTTTGTGGTAGTTTGAAGATCGAAGGTTGACCAAGACAGAGCACCCCGCCGTTAAAGGCGCTGCCCACAGTTTTGCTGCAAGGATGTCCACAGCACCTGAGTAGGGCACGTGCAGCCAATTGTCTCTCTTCCACATAAGTCGCGTGTCCTGTAACCACTGGACACCTACGAAGTACTGGACATCTTAAACCTAGGTGAAGGTAAATTAGGGTATTGCTAAATGTTCATTCATGGACAGCCGGCTGCAATCATAATATTCCTTTCACAAAGAAAGCTGCGAGGCTTTGATGCCGTGTCAAGCTTTTGTTGACCACCACAACCTACCTAGGTACAAACAGCGGCATCAGAGGTACTCCAGACGCAGCGAATTATTTTCTACATTTATCAGTTGCGGAGAGAGGCTACTTTAGCTACCTAACCTCAAACCATCTAAACCCGAAAATCCGAGTCCTCGCACCTGTTGTCTACTCTTGTTCTACCCTGCTAACCAACATATTGTCCCCAGCTCTTCCCTTTATATTTCTATATAACAGGCCGGCTCTATGTCTATGCATACATTTCTCTGCCCTCAAGATCAAGATGAAGTGGCCTTGCGCTGTTCAAACATGCGATCTGCCAGCAGGAAGGGCACTCTATTGCATATGTGAAATGTGCGATCAGCACTTTTACGGAAAGCATATTATCTCTGAACAACATACTTGTCCTACAGGCGAAGTTTGTATCTCCAAGCACCAAAATATTGCACAATAGATCTCTGACTAAAAATGCTAGGATATTCAAGCGATATACTCATCTAGAGATCCTGCTCGGCTTAAAAACTTGAACTTGACAAGGCGAACAGCCAACGAGGCCATGACCTCAGGCTTGTTATAGACAATCAACTGTGTTGCCCTGGGTGCGCGTGCAGAAGCTTTACGTGAAGGGCATAGATGTACAGTCAGACTCCCTGCAGCCGAAGAAGCTTATTTCAATTTTGATGTCCTTGGTGGCTGCAACTATCACGCCTCAATTGTCTTTGAAGATGGTAAAACGTGGTTAGCAAGATTCAGACTACCCAATCATAGTTCCCCGCTACTACAGGAGAGAAATTTTGATCGGCGGAGTGAGTTTGCAACGTACCGCTTCCTTGCGGGGACTACTGCACCAGTCTCCGCAGCACACGATGTCGCAGATGATGGGGATCCTACCAATCCTGTTGGAGCTGGGTATATCTTGCTTGAAAAACTGCCTGGAAGTCCGTTGACTTGGCATGAAGCGAGTGAGTTGCAAAAGCAGAAATTCTCCCGACAGTTAGCAGATATCTACATCAACCTTAAACAACATTCCTTCCCAGAGCTAGGTCGTCTACAGCTCTCGCCGTCTGGGGCGCCGGAAGTTGGGCCAGCTTTTTTTGATTACGATTGTAATGGGGCAATACTTCCGTTTGGTCCATTCAATAATTCGAATGACTATTACACAACATTGATTGAGCGGCGAATTCAACGTATTAAAGATGGCGAGATAGCAACATCTGCACCTGCCGACCTATACCTAGTATACATGACATTGCTTCACCATCTCCCATCCAATGACTCTGGTCCCTTTTTCCTCCGTCATATCGATTCAAGAGATTCGAATTTCTTGGTTGACGATGAGTACAACATTACAGGTATTATCGATTGGGAATTGGCTACTATAACTTCAAAAGTTTCCGCATTCCAGTCCCCACTCCTCATGTACGATCTGGGGCGAGCTGTATCGTATGGGTGTTTCCACTGCGAGCCAAGATGAGAGCCGTCTTGCTCGAATCTTACTGGAAGAGGATAGAGACAATGAGCTTTCCATGATAGTAGCCCAAAAGATGCACTTCAGGGTTGATATATGTATCGAGGCTGATCCTCATAATCGTGAGAATTTCGTTAGTGTTTTCACTGGGTGGTGGAAGGCTGCGTACGGGATGGAAATATTTGATTGGAGTGTATGGCGCAAGGAGGCAATGATCGAATATGGCGATGGGGGTCTACTTGAGATTTAGCGTTTGCAGCCCGGCCATACTCACACCCTATGGCATAATTCAAGTTTGCCATCCCTACGCCTCCCCATCTCCCCAGAATTCTAACAAAAGGCTCATCTTCTCTGCGCCGTGCCCGAGGAGTCTCGGGTCCCTCGCGACTATAGAGTACTGCATACGAAGCGCGACGACGGGCGTTCACGGAAAAGCACAGCAGTTAACCTCATATCACATCCTACCGGGGTGTTATGAGATTGCGACTAGTTTCGTGTTTCCATATGGCCTTTTTCGAGGCCGGTAGTAGCGGCTGTTTCTGTCCTTACGATAATGAGCATGTTGCTATTTGTGGCTATTTTATTTCCTTTGGCGATCTTGGTATCTGAGATGGCGCACCGATAATTCTCCTGCCCGTCCATGGAAGGGTACAACTTAAAAACAGTTGCAATGTTGCATGGCGTTTGCTGATAAATACATCGGGGATATCTATCTAGAGTTAGCTTGCAGATGATGGAGAACTACGACATATCCTCAGATATTGCGATTGTTGCATCGTCACGTGTGCCCGCGCATGTCCAAATTCAGTTGTTAGTACTTACATTCGGATCACCACTTCCTTCTCACATATGGCAACCCATGTATTGCTAGGAGCCAAGCAAGTAATCCTCGAATTATAGGCTCGGTGTGTCGTAGACTGTCCAGCTCATGCAAGTCACGAATATCTCAAGTGGGATACACCATCAGATCATCTACCGGACATAGGATTTAAGAATTGGACTTGCCCTCAGTATCGCAACTTCCAGGGGCCAGTTCGCGTCATCAGCCATGATACCTGCAAGATAAGGCAGCGCAGGTCGATGATAGCTCACTAGTATGCACCAATAATAAGTCCATGGCACTGTTGTTACAAGAATATGTGCAGGACCTATTGAATTGCTGCCAAATTATCGTCGCCAAGCACCCTTCCTCTTCCAGATGTGGTTGATCTCTTCCGCTCTTAACTCCAAGTAACGGCAGTCTTCCGAGCAATTGACAGCGTTGATGAAATATCTGCGGCGGATGACGATATTAGCCAACCTATAGTGAAGTTAGCAAGTCAATCATCCAGGAACGGCTTGCAAGCACAATGGATGGAGGTTCAAGTGCTTGCGGTTTCCTTCTCATCCCCTATAAGTACCCGTGGAAGTCGATATGAAAGTTCGACCAAGCTGTTGGGATTTCTCAGGCTTTCATTTATACCAGAACACTAAGTTTGTACCGGTAAAATGTCAACTGCTTTAACCAAACAAATTGACCTTCGAGTCCGTTCGGGGGGCGTCGTGAGAGCAGATGATCCTTCAGGCGACTCCACATCAGATGGGTCCTCGACTGATCTCAGTGACGATAAAACCGATGGAAAGACTCCACGGGCCAAGACCACCGAAGTCGGTACGACAATTGCGCCCCTTGGAGTCCCTGCAAATGAGAAAAGATTTTGGTGGCAGCGTCGGAAATCCTATGATACTGGTGCTATTGCGACTCAACCATCAGTTTTTGACGATCCTGATTCCGCCAAACAGTACCAGCCACCGGCCACTTGGGAAAATATTTCTCGATTCGACCCTTCCGCGCGATGGACCTGGGGGGAGGAGCATAAACTGATTAGGAAGATTGACTTAAAAATCATGGTCAGTCTACACACAATCCGCTCAGCTGACGATGCTTGATATTGACCACATATAGATTTGGGCTTGTGTCATGTTCATGGCTCTTGAGCTTGACCGTGCAAACATCAAGCAAGCCTTAACTGATAACTTTCTGAAAGACCTTCACATGAACACAAATGGTATGTATACAAGCTTCATTTACGTTCCGTAAACTTGTTAAGGTTTCTAGATTATAACCTCGGAAATTCCGTCTTCAAACTCTCGTTCTTATGCGCTGAGCTGCCGTCTCAGCTTGTCTCGAAATGGATCGGACCAGATCGATGGATACCGGCCCAAATGGTTATTTGGTCCATCGTCGCCGCTGCCCAATTTTGGTTGAGCGGCCGAACAAGCTTCTTGACCTGCAGGGCTTTACTTGGAATAATTCAGGGTGGTTTTATTCCAGACGTGGGTCCCTAGCTTCCGACATTGAATAGTTGCTAAATTTTTTCGAAGATTATCCTATACCTTTCATACTTCTATAAGCATCACGAACTTACTATCCGACTCGGGTTTTTCTGGACTGCCTATTCGATAGCGGATATAATAGCTGCATTTTTGGCCTCCGGACTGCTTCGTTTAAGAGGTGTATACAGCTACGCTGGCTGGCGCTGGATGTTCTTGATCGAGGTGAGAATTTACAGCCCAGCTTGTAAAGGATTTTCATTCCTAACAACCCCTTAGGGGTTATTAACCATGGTGGTCGGCCTTTTTTCCTTTGTCCTCATGCCACCAAGTCCGACGCAGACTGCAAGTAAGCTTCGAGGAAAGAAAGGCTGGTTTACTGAGCGGTATGTTTTTGGTCTGATAGGTTGCTCCCTTTCACTAACAATGTGTTTAGAGAAGAAATTATAATGGTCAACCGTATAATCCGAGAAGATCCAAACAAGGGCAGCATGCATAACAGGCAGCCTATCACGCCAAAGCTTCTCTGGAAAAGCATGTGCGATTATGACCTCTGGCCACTTTATATTCTGGGCCTCACATTTCAGATCCCAGAGACAACACCCGCCGATTATTTGACCCTAACTCTCAAAGGTCTCGGCTTCGACACCTTGAAGACGAATCTACTTGTTATTCCATCAGTAATCGGCAAAATAATCACCATGCTGATTCTCACGTACTCTGCAGAGATATTTGGCGAGCTGACTTTCCATGCCGCTGCCTCCCAGGTCTGGGCTTTGCCAGCCCTTGTTTTCCTCTACGTCGTGGATATAAACAAGATCAACAAATGGAACGCTTTCGGCCTTATGACTTTCCTCCTCAGCTACCCCTCAGGTAAGCCAGGCCTCTTCATTCAATTCACTGATCATCACCACTAACAAACAAATTAGCCCACCCCATCCAGGTCGCCTGGAACTCGCGCAACTCAAATGGAGTACGCTCCCGCACCGTTTCTGCCGCCCTCTACAACATGTTTGTGCAAGCTTGTGGGGTCATAGCCTCGAATATATATCGCGCTGATGATGCCCCGCGCTACAAACGGGGCAATGGCGTCTTGCTAGCTATTTGTATTATGAACATGGGACTTTATGCTTTGACGAAGGGTTACTACATTTGGAGGAATAAGTCCAGGGATAAGAAGTGGAATTCTATGACCGAGGACGAACGATTGAATTATCTTGCTACAACGAAGGAGGAGGGAAATAAAAGATTAGACTTCAGGTTTGCGCATTAGATGACTAGATCTTAGAAATAGTTTGAAGCATAGGTTAGAGTTAGTGAATTGGACAGTTTCACGTGATACAACCCTCGTTTTCCATCCCAAGTGGAGGTGTTGGGTGCGCTATCTATTGGCATAGACCATTTGACTGTGGGCGATTCAGATCTCTATCAAGCTCCCAGACTCATACCTCGAGAATGCAATGCAATTTTAAAGTCCCACCTTATGGCCGGCTATGGCAGAGTGAAGGTGGCCCATCTTCTACCCACAGGTAGGACTGGTATGAGATTTCGGCATGTACCATATACATCAGAAGTTTCTACCAATACCTAAACGCCGTTTTACTCACTTCACAATTCCAATGGATGAAGCACACCATTTCCCCGTAATATCAACTCGTAAGCTTCAACCAATAGCGATGCATAACGGAGAACTGGTCCGCCACCATTTCATCGGAAGTGGAGCTGAAAGAGAGAGGGCTAGATTATCACGCCTTTCCAGGGGTGTGAGCAAAGTACGGCAAGGACACGAACGAGATTACGTATCTTTAGGTGGGTTCTAAGAGTGAGGCTTCTCTAACCTAGTTGTATTCCAACACTCATTGCCGTAAGCTGTCAAAGCAATTTTCGGCACTTAGCGCCATAAACTGCCCCAAGGCAAGAGCCGCCATGGAGCCAACGCCGCGAGTCAAAACGGCGAAAAGGATGATTGAATTGGAATGTGAAGATGCGAGCATTGCCGCGGAATCTAATAAGCGGACGATCGTGACTTACTTGGTGCTTACCGAATGCACCACCAACGGGTGAGCGTATTTGATATTTTATAGACGATGCGGACGATAGGACGAGTTGGACGAGGTGCTAGGGCGGTTGATGAAGATGCTACGTATCTTGCCGTTCATCGACAGAGAGTATATTGCACTCCACTACAAAAGTAATCGCTTAGTTATGCCGTGGTAGTATTTTTCGATCTTTGAAAGGTACTTGGCTGCGGAATAGCATCCTTTTACCCTTTTCTGGAAGTATATCACGCGATTGAGACTGCTGACATCTAGTGCGTACGGTTTGTGTTCTTCCAAATCTCAAATGCTAATGTATAAACATAAGACCAACGTGGAGCCCATTTGACTTACAACGCTGCCCCCGCAGAGCCTGCCCCGCCCCCGAACGAACGACCGATAAGCAGAACGGATTGAAATTCTTCCCCAGCCTCGAAAAAATAGATCAACAAGCACAACCTTCCTTTGATGCATTATCTCTTGGTCCAGTCAAGTTCACTCTGGACTGTTCTTCTGTTCTCCCAGTATTGGACTGCGCGGCTCCTGGGCCCCTGGCACCCTTCAATGATGTCTCTGGGATGGCATTCGCGATAGCTGTGAACACTTCCGTTACGTTCGTTCCATTCTTGGCACTAGTCTCGAAGAACAATAGGCCCTCCTCCTCCGCATATGACTTGGCTTCAGCAGTCGATACCTTCCTAGCATCTCCATCATTGTCCTCTCCTTCGGCATTATCATTATCTTCATCATCGCCCAGGGGATTGTTTGATCCACCGTTTTCGTTTGTTAAATCGAGCTTGTTGCCTACTAGTGCGATAACAATTCCTGGTGATGCTTGCCTTTGCAACTCTGCCACCCAGTGCTTCGCTTTAATAAGCGATGTAGGCTTTGTGAGATCGTAAACCACGAGGGCCGATTGGGCGTTTCGATAATACATGGGAGCAAGTGATGCGAAACGTTCCTGTCCCGCAGTATCCCATATCTCGAATTTAATCGTCCGCGTAGGTAAATTACATTTTTGTGTAAGGAAGGCAGCTAAATATAATATCAGCCAGAATATCCAAATTGTGTAAGGGACTTGGGCCATACCTCCGATAGTAGGTTCCTTGTTCTCTTGGAAGTCGTTGTTCACGAATCGCAGCACCAGGGATGACTATACGGCACTTAGCATATTTGCAACAGTGTACGTGCAAAATAACTAACCTTTCCTACAGCAGCTTCACCCAGAAGAACAAGTTTGACGCTGCTGCTCGGCTTGGGCCCAGTTGCCTCCGCCATCGTAGGCGGATCTTAGTTGATTGTGAGAGTTAATGCGATGGTGTTGGGCAAGTAGTGTAGCGCGACTGGAGCTCTGGGGATATCGCAGGGTAATATGATAGAGGTCGGCCGAGGATTTGGATTTGGGAAATTCTGCAGGTTTGAAGCTACTGGTGCTCTAGGTATCTTGAGGATATGATGGAGTTGTTGAAGGTTGAGATGTCCAACTGTTGTGCCTGTTCATGGTCCGTGATGACGACCGCGGTCACAATTCTTAAAGCGGTTAGCGTCCATTTTTATCTGCTGTATCGGAACAATTCCTCAGAGCCCCGACATTTTCTGAAAATATTTCGAGCATCAGCAAAAGAGAAAAGCATAAAGATCCACGTCAAAACGACGATATCCACAATGGCCAAAAGAAAGGCCGACGCTCTTGCTCAAGCGCAGCATGGGAATGGTAGCAAAAAGGTTAAGCACGCAGCTGCTTCCCCAGTAGCAAAGCGAAGCTTGCTGGACGATAGCGACCCTGGTAGTAGCAGCGAGGATGAATCCGTTGGAGGGGTCCAACTTCAGGAGCCAGAACTCAAGATCAACAAGGAGTTTGCAAATCGGTTTGAGCACAACAAAAAGCGGGAGGAGTTACATCAGTGTCAGTTTGCACCTAAATTTATTCACCCGTTTTCTAATGCGATTAATAGTGGAGGAGAAATACAAAAAGGACGCAAAACCGGCGAATGGCAAATTGTATGGGGACAAGTATGATGAAGACTCCGAATCGTCCGACGATGAAGACGAAGATGATGAGGGATTTCTTGCTACGGAAGATCTAGACGCAGAGATTTCGGCAACCCTTCAAGCCATACGAAACAAAGATCCCCGCCTTTACGATGAGAAGGTTACCTTTTATAAGCCCATTGAAGAGGATGGAGAGGAAGATGATAAACCAACCAAGAAGGAAAAGCCCATGTATTTAAGCGACTATCACCGGGCAAATTTGCTCAAAGGCGACACTGGCGAGGAGGAAGAGCCTGCACCAAGAACGTTTGCACAAGAGCAAGATGATTTAAAGCAGACGATCGTCAAGGAAATGCATGAGGCAGCTGAAGGCAGTTCAGATTCAGAGGATGAAGATGGAGGATTCCTGATACCAAAGTCCAAGCCGGAGCCGTCGACTAGCAAAGTGCACCCCTCGAGAGCGGCCAAGGTCAAAGTCACCGTGGATGTGAAAACCGCGGATAAAGAACCCGAAACCTTTCTGTCTAATTTCATGCAGGCGCGAGCTTGGGTACCGACTGATGGGACGCGATTCCAACCGCTAGAATCGGACGATGACGAGGAGGATGAGATGGCGGACAAGTTTGAGATTGCCTATAACCTTCGATTCGAAAATCCTGCCGGTAGCAATGAGGTGCTCAAGTCATACGCAAGAGATATAGTAGCAACCAAGTCCGTTCGCCGGGAAGAACCTAACACTAGGAAAAAGCAGAGAGATGCTCAAAGAGAGAAAAAGGAGGCTGAGAAGAGCGAAAGAGAAACGGAAAAGGCAAGGCTGAGACAATTGAAAATCGGAGAGATGGAAGAGAAACTCCAGAAGATTAAGAAAGCGGCGGGAATTAAGGGGAAGACACTGCAGGAACAAGAGTGGACGAAGTTCTTAGACGAGAACTGGGATGACGACAAGTGGGAAAGCGAAATGAATAGTCGTTTTGGAGAAGAGTATTACGCCGAGCAGGAAGCCGGTTCGGACGAAGATATGGATGGTCAAGATGGAAAAGAAGCTAGCAAAAAGAAGAAGATCAAGAAGCCTAAATGGGATGATGATATCGACATCAAAGACTTAATCCCCGAGTTCGAGGACGAAGAGAAGTCTCAGAAGAAGCCAGAATTTACCTTATCTGACTTGGATGAGCAAGATGAAGACTCCAATGGCGATGAAGATGCCACTGCGCCAAGAAAGAAGAAGACAAGCAAGGCTCGCCTGCAAGAGAAGCAAGCTAAGAAGAAGGCCGCCCGGCTTGAACGCAAAACGATCGAAGACCTTGTCGACAGTCGCCTCGATATGGACATCTCCCTGAAATCCAAACAACCATCCTTCTTCCGCTATCGAGAGACATCGCCAACATCCTTTGGTCTCACGGCAAGGGACATCCTCATGGCGCCCGACGCATCGCTGAATGAGTTCGCGGGGCTGAAGAAGATGGCAGCGTTCCGCGACCCCGACAAGAAGCGCAAGGATAAGAAGCATTTGGGGAAGAAGGCGAGACTGAGACAATGGAGGCGGGAGACCTTTGGAAATGAGGACGGCCCGGAAGTGGTAATTGGTGCCAATGCCGCCAGCGTTGGAGAGGCGGCAGCTGAGGGTGATAATGTTGATATCGTGGAGGGCAAGAAGAAGAAGAGGCGGTCGAAGAAGAACAAGCCGCGTGCTGAGGAGGCCACTGCTTGAGTTCAAGTAGCTTAGATATCATGAATTCCATATTCTCCTATACTTGACGGCCCCTTCTTTGTCCATTTTATAGCCCGGGAAACCATACGTTGAGTTAATATATCGGATACCCATGCATAAGCCTGTTGTCCATCATTGTATACAACATCGAACTCAGAACCTACAACGGCATTGAAAGGAAACATTGCCTTTCCTTACCCTGCCAATTAAAGTCAATGTAGGCCATACGCGAATCCATATCTCAACATCTATATCCCCTTAAATTCCATTGATAGACGCTGCCTCAATACGCTTATTCTAACGAGAAATATAAGGGAGATATTAGTAGGGGTGTGCTGCTCTACAGCTCATTGGCTGATGCAGCATGATGATATCCTAGGTTGAACTGTTGAGTTAATATCCCTCACTAATGGATTCTCGAGCACGAGTTGAGATAGGTAGATTGATTGCCGATACCATAGACAGAAGGTACTAATCTATAAAGCATCCCGTACTCTGACTGAAAAGGATTGGACCTTGCCCTAAGGAGGTCACAGGTCTTGTGGTAAATGGTGGAGGTTGAGCAAGCCATAGAATCTCCCGGCTGGGTATACCTAAATAACAAAGGGAAACGTCCCCTAGCATACATGTTCGTAATGATTCGTGCAGGCCATGCCCAGCTATATACAACCAAGCGCTTCAAGTCGCAGTTGCCCAAAAGCGGACACCATTTCGCCATCACCCCATACCTTTATATACCTCATAAATCCATACCCCGCTGATATATAAAATTAACGTCTGGGCTCGTACCCGCCCATATTCCTGTTGCCGTTCACAGGCATTCCACCCATCCCATATCCAGCTCCTGCGGCGAAAATGTCCGCCTCCTGGCCAATTTCTGGAGGGTCCATGTTAAATGGCATGAACCACGCACTGCTGCTAGGCTCTGTCATATACCCTGGCATGCCGCCCATATGCATATCCCAACCTGTACCATCGAGCATGCCGTGAGAGTTGAGAGACGAAGGATCCATTCCAGCATACGCGCCAAAAACAAGTTGGCGGTCGAGCTGGGATAGACTCCCTTGTTGGAGAGGTGGCATCATGGTTTCAGAACCGTACAAAGGGGTTTGATTGTACAAGTTTACCGGTGTCGTCGGACTCATCTGATTATAAGTTGCAGCCATTTGGTGGGCGTTGTGCATTTGCATGCGGGAAGCTGGAAGCATATTTGGAACATTCGTATTCAATGGCTCCATTTGCACCGGGCGAGTTTGTGGCGGCTTCTTAAGCTTCCTCTTCGTAGGCTTAACCAGCTCGCGATCTTGTGGCCGGAGAGGGGAGAGCGTGTGGAAAAACTCCTCGACTGTACGGTAATCGGACTTTTGCTCGAGCACCGCATCGTCCCCTTTCTCCTTGTTGATCCCCGTAATTGGGTCTTCAAAATCGGATTGGGAAACGCCGTGAGGATAACGATCGAACCAGTCTCCGTACTGAAATATACCTGAGGATGGTGTCGACTTGTTTGCTGATGGTCCTTGTCTGGCTGCATCTGCATAAACCCTAAATTGGTCCTTGAGATTTTCCGACATGAAATGGAACATTCCCCAGTATTTCTTCATCTTTGATAGGTACTTGACGTTTGTCGCAAGATTCTTCTTGGATAACGCCTCTATCGCAGCATTCTTCGAGAAAGTTCCAAAGATGTGGACAGTGCTCGAGAGAAAGGCGCAATATCCAGCAAAAGGGGCAGTGACGAAGTACGATTCAGCATCTCTTAGAATCTCAGATATCCTGTTCGCCGCCTTGAATGCCTTCGCTCCAGCCCTTGTGACAAATTCTTTTGGCATATCTGGCGGAGGTCGGCCGCCCGGGTGCCCGGGCACGCCGAACCGATTCATGAACAGTATATTTTGTTGCATGGCAACGTGAAGAAATAAGAATTGATTAGCCAGTCCTTCTGTCTCGTGCGCGTGCAAGTTCTCTTTCGTATATTGTAAAGACTCGGGTTGGGTTGTGATGAACCCTTCCGCCTGGTTTAGCAAGTCGGCATAAGTAGATTCTGGGTGCCACATGAGATGATGATCATGTTCCTTGCCGCCTAGATTAAGATAATTTATTATTCGACCCCATAATGCGATTGAGCGGATCATATAAGCCGCCACGCCCATGTTCTCCTTTGGATCAGAGAGCTGCCCGGCGCCTGGGGAAACAGGATGTGGGATATTGCCGCGTAAATCCTCTGTTGGTCCGGGCATATCTAACTGGAAGAGTTTCTCCTTAATTGGCAGTTGGACCTTGATCGAGTCTTCTTTGATGAAGCTTGGCCTATCAGTTCCCGAAGAGTTGAATCTATCCATAAGGAAGCAAGCCCACATCGTCCGTCGTCGGATTTCGCGGTCGATAAAACTTAATTCTGCAGTGCCATTGCGTTTAAGTGGATCGTAATCTAGGTCTCGGTGTAGTTGAAGAGCGTACGCCATTCGAATTGCCATTCCGCCTAATGACCAGCTTCTACCACCTTGACATGTTCCGAATTCGTGCAAACCAAGAAGCAACAAGCATGTCAAAATAGTTATGTTGGGCCACTCGTATCGTCTCATAAGTATATCTCGCGCCTCCGAGGCCCATTCTTCGCCTCTCAGAAAATTGGGGGTAGAGTTGAGCTTTGGATGTGTCGAAAAACGCGCCGATATGGCGCACACAGAGAGAATCAAAACGGGTGGCACCGTGCCACTCCTGTGGGTGGATTAGCCATTGTAGCAGTTTGAGTTTAGGGCAATACTTACTTCAACTTCCTCATAAAGCTTGGTTTGTGAAGCACATGGTATGCTTGGCCATATATATTCTCGAAAAAGACTTCTGCTAAATGCTCTTGAATTTCCTTGGGTGGCAGTGCATCAGCGCCTTCTGACAGAAGTTTGCTCTCCTCCGCCTCTTGGATCATGAGTGACGATGGCCTCGAACCCATATCTAGCTGTGAATCTGCGGGCTTCGACCACTCGTCTAGCTCTGGACCAAAAGCTTCATCAGCACCACGTTTCTTGGTAGGCGTAGTACGCGTAGGAACAGTACCAGGTATTGCTGACTTGACCGTTGCTCTTGTGACTGATGCTGCAGAAGCATCCTGCTCCTCCTTTGGTACAATCTTGATGATTCGTTCTTCCATCCTCTTTAATCTCTTGTCGAGCATTGCCATGTAGTCCGTACGAGGGGCGGCCTTCCGCGTGGTCACCTTGTAAACACATGGAATCCGTGATCTCAAACAATGTTTACACGCAGGTTTCTCCCCCGAGCACCGAATCTTCTTTCTGCGGCATGCTATGCATGCCAATGGCAGTCGCTTCCGCTCCTTGCCAGCCTTCGTCTTCAATTCGCTCCATGGTGGGTTTGGATCGTTTTTCTCCTCCTTTGTCCTATTGCCTAGATCACTTCCATCGAGCGCTCCGCCGCTGTTGAGGCCAAAATCATCGCTGTATCCTTTTTCTAACCCCCCACTACCGCGATTGCTTGAAGGACTCGCCTCATCCGACCCAGCACTCACGCTTCTGTTACTTTGCCCTTGTCCTACAGCGCCACCACCACTGAGGCCTGCGCGAGCCACACCGGGGGTCGAAGTAATGGAGTTCCGGTGGTCGGCAGGCAACGAGCCGATCGAGTTGCGATTTGAACCGTGGCCCGATAGATTATAGAGATCAGATGGGTTGTCCAACGGTGTGTCGACATGCAGTCCGTTTTCCGGCATGGTTTGGTACGAGAAGGAGAAGTCTGCAAATTGCGAGTTGCCGATTACATCAAGTTGGGGCGGGGTGGCATTGACTGCCGAGGCGTTTTGCGCTTGCGGCGTGGAACTGGTAGTGTTCTCCATCATGAACTGCTCGATATCAAGAGGCTCCGGATGCATCGGGTCCTCCGTGATCGTATCCCCGGCGGAGTTGTGGATTTGGAAATCGGCGGCATCGCGCGCTTGGTAGATTGTAGCTGTAGGGACTCGACCCGATGACATCGTCGCACAGTAAACGAACCCAGCTGCGGTATCTATTCCCTCCCAGAGATGGATTCTGCAATCGCGAGGCCCTAACTTCTTACTTCGCGTTCACATCGACCGTCTTCATCTCATCTGGGGCTCCTACTTCCATGCAGCCTTGTCGCTTCAGCTCTCTTCCAGCATGGCCGTTGGGCACAGTCGTGGTTGGATCGAGTTTCCTCCGTTTCCTGCCTGCGTTATGGCAAATATCTCGAGGGCGGGTTCTGGGCGGGACTTCTCGGGCGAGTGGATGTGGGTGCCGACGTGAAAAAGCTGGCTCAAATAAAAGATACCGCCGCTTTCAAGCTTGGGCCGAATGTCGCGTCAATAAGTTATGGCTGGTGGTGTTGGTATTGGACTTGGTCTTGGTAGGTATGTTGACGTCGGTGCAATACGGAGTCAGTGAGCGAGAATAGTCAAAAGCGTGGGTTTTGGCAGAGGCCAGAACGAGAGACAGCTTTAGCCACCCTCCTTTCTGGTAACCTTAACCTTATCTGGGCCAAGTTTATTGTGGACGATTTATTGTGGACACTCTCGTTGCAACGCGGGGGCGAACTAATAAGCACAATAATAGCATAAGTGTTCTGGGGTCAGATGCTCCAGCTGGGGAGATTCCGGGGTACAGAGAGTCAGACTGTCAGAGGCAAAACAGAAACAGAACGTCGGTGACGACGCAACGCGGATATGCACTTGTGGCAGCAGAACAGGACCTCGATACTTGGTTCCGCCGAGTCCTCCCCTAACCTATGGTATATGCTTACCACTGCACTTGCGGGCAAAGAGATGGAGAATATTGCATGTACATTACGATGTAAGGATCTCTGTAATCTCATTCTTCCGCAGCTAACATTTGGTGTACTTCGTACCCCCAATCCAAACCCCGTTGTTTGTAAGCCTTGACCAAGTGGACGACTTCCTGCCCACTCTTAAAAAAATGGAGATATATCCCAATCTAAACGACGCCCGCGGTGCTCGGAACGGTAGAGGCCCAGCGCCAGCTCAAAATGTTCCGCGATGATTGGGCCAGGATCCTTGTTGAGGTGTGATTTTGTCCGTTTATATTGCATGGGAATTCCTGGAAGTTTGCACAAAGGCGACGCCAAGGTGGGACCAAGGATCGGAGTAGGTACTTACTTCGTCCCGACTCTTGACTGGCGGTATCCAGCAGCTAGGCAAGGTGTCTTGAGCCTCCAAGAGAAGTGATGATAAGCAGATCGGTTGCACGCCACTCGACCTGAGTATGGGCAAGCAGACGCAGAAGCAGAAGCAGGGCAAGGACTGGATGCGGGCCGAAGGACTCAATCCAGGTTCAAGAGCAGAGATCGTCACACCAAAGGCCTTGCCCTTGCCGCCACTCCTGTGCCAACGGCCGAATACCCCGTATCGTACGTAGTACGAAGTGCATCGTGTGTGAGCCGGCCTGGCCATGCAAAAACCAGAGGCCCCCAACACGCCAAATCCCCAGGCCCAGCCTCATTTCGACCTTCCCGCACGCACAATACTCTGAGAGCGCATAGCTACCCCCCGGCCCAAGTAGTAGCAACACCATCTCGCTGGGCGCAGTGTCCGTGGCATTATCCATCATGGATGGAGTAGACGATTCTCAGCTCGGATCCCGTTTCATTCTCTTCATTCACCGCCAGGTTTAGAGGGAGAATACCTGGATGCACTTGTGACCAGGGACGCAGGTCGTTGGCCGCTTGCGAAGTTGCGAAGTTGCGAGCAATTAACTCGGAAGTTTTCTCACGCATCTGCAAGGATAGCCCTCCCGTCCACAGAACAGTCTTCCGTCGATCGCCTCGCTTGCGATATTCAGATCTGCCTCATTAAGCAGATGGGACGCCTGCCCTATGAACAGTCACGCTTCTTTGGGCAATATGGCGAGGCCCTGCACTGGATTGGATGGCTGTCAAACTCCCCTACAGAGTAAAGCTAACGCAGTGAGGGGGTACTGGGCGTTGGGCTTCTTTGGCTAAACCTAGAGGCTATCATCAACATGTGTCCCTGACCTCGAGCTTGACGTTTGCCTGCATCGAGGGTTACATGCGGGCAGGCCAAATTGCGCCTGAGTGCTCGATGCATTTCCATACCGCCCTGAGAACGTTGTGCGTCTGGTGTCCTATCTCGGCTGGCGATGCCTCTCTCGCGACTCGGATTTTGAAGCGGTATTTACGGGACGCAGCGTAATGTTAGACAGCGGACACAGTACCTTCTGCTTCGTGAGAAGAGTCCACCTACCGCGTGATTGTTGAATAGCCAGGGCACTACGCCGCTGCATCGGGCCCTGGATTGAATGCCCTGGGTTCCTGTGATACTGGATGACTTCTGACCGTTAATCCGGGGTAGACTTGCAAATATGCATTGAGTGCCGTCTCGCGATGGGCCATCTCAGACTGAAACTGGCGATTAGGGTTTTGAGCCGGAGTGACCCAGCCAGGGAGCTCGGTGAAATCGGCATAACTGTCGTGCTCGGTCAATCGGAAAGGGCTGATATTAATGACAATATGCATGAGGTTGGTCATGAGGAGCGCCGCCATCCAAGTTTTATGGCAAGGTACCATTCATACCACAGGGATCTTTCTCTGATGCTCTACAGAATGCAGCGGCCGTGGATATAACTGCTCCGGCTCTGTAGCACCCTGCGGATTCTAGAAGGCGGCGAAGCATTTGATGCGTCCTTGGCCAATCTAGTGCAAACAATATACAGATTGTACGGAATACTCCGTGAGTAGGCATGTCATAGACGCGATAAGCTGCACTCATAGCATTGATGGATATATCTTCACGCGGACCTTGTCGGGAAGCCTAGATCAGACACTCCGGGGATCACAAAAATGCAAATCCGGGGTTAGCATCCTCATCAGCCCCATGTAGGCGGTTCGCTCTTGAGTACCTATGGCACACGTTTGTATGTCTTTGAGATGTTGTAGCTCGGGGCTCTCAAACCCACACGAGACCGAGACGTAGGCAGGTACCACTTAGACCTTGCAATTTGGAATTCCGCGATTGCCAGCCTCTCAATCAACTTAGTGTTTGACCTTGATAGACAGCAATGTAGAAGCTTGTGGGATTTTATGAGCGAACAAAGGTTGTTTACGAAGTAGTCTCCTTTTTACTAAAGGCCCAAGGCATATATAGTTTATAAGCCTTAGGCCCCAATATTTGTATGTTATGCCTCAGGCATCAAAACCAGCTACCTCTATGACGACCCGAAGTCTGGAGAGCTTCGTGAGCTTCAATGCATTCGGTCCAGCCCTCTATCCAAATTGACGGAGGCTCAGGCACAACGATGATTCACAACCCGAAACTGGTTTGCCGAACGCTCTGAAAGAAATGGCTGAAGCTGTCGCCCAGCCTGCGCTGCAGCAGCCCGGGAGATCGCTGGGCTTAATTCCCGTCGGCTTGAAAGAGGCAGCTCTCGATTCCCCTACTTTTCGAGCAACAGCAGTACACTTTTCGGACCAGGTGGAAATAATCGAGAGATGGCTCGAGGCATATATCAAGTCTATATCGAAGCTATCTCACGATGTTTTAGCCCTCGACGAGACGTTCAATGCGTTCCTACAACGCTCAGTTCCTCCCGCAAATGTCTCCGAGGCTGTGGTGGATCATGATTACACTCTACTGGCCATGAAGAGATCCGGGGAAGCCTCAAGGGATTGGTGGTCACAGGTTATTGGTGCCATGAGGAAGATGGATGCGAACTTGGTCGAACCCATAAAGTCGTTCCTGAACGGGGAGTAAGGGGAGCTCAATCCCGGCAGAGAGATGTGTCGACTAACATTGGCAGGCTTCGAAACTTCAAAGATGCCAGACGCTACCTCGAACACTCCCAAAAATCGTTCGATGTTACCCTGGCAAGATATTTGGGCCAGTCAAAGACGAAGGAGCCATCATCACTACGAGAGGACGCATTCCAGGTGCATGAGACTCGGAAAGCTTACCTTAGAGCATCTTTGGATTTCTGCATACTTGCTCCTCAGCTGCGCTACACAATCGACAAGCTTCTCATTCACATCTCTGTAGATCAGTGGCGCGAGATGAAGCGCCACCATGAGATAACTGGTTTAAACTTGACCAAATGGGGCGGCGAAATGGATCGAGTCCGAGGCTGGAGTAAAGAGATGGAAGCCGGAGAAACTGTTTTCAGACGGGAATTACAGACTGCGAGAAGAGAGATTGCAGAAACTACTTCCCAAGCTTCCAAACCTTCTCGAGAACTGGAGGATTATAACCTTTCCACGGTCGCTTTTCTTGGTTCCAAGGGACCCTCCACAGTCAATATACATCTCCGGAAAAAGGAGGGTGAGAAATCGGGGAAGCAGAGCTGGCTATTTTTACGAACAATATCTGGGAAGCCGGCTAGGACTGCATGGGTACGACGATGGTTTTATGTCAAAAATGGAATATTCGGATGGCTCGTGCAGGGTGTTCATTCGGGTGGTGTTGAGGAAAGCGAGAAAATTGGCGTTTTGCTATGTAATGTGAAGCCAGCTGTTCAGGAAGAGCGAAGGTTTTGCTTCGAGGTTAAGACCAAAAACCGGACAATTCTACTTCAAGCGGAAACACAGGCGCAGCTGATGGAATGGCTGGAAGCTTTCGAGGTCGCGAAGAATGAGGCTCTTCAAGCCAGCGTCAATGACAACCATGCCCACCCCGGAGGCGTTGATCCCGCTTTTGCCATTACGGCTCCATCAGTTCCTGAATTTGCTGCCAAGACTTTGGATGGCCATATTGCTCACGGTAGTGATGACCTCGCCAATCCTGGTTTTGACCGTGCCGGCACCTTACCAGTTCCTGGGACTGACATGGGAAACCTGGCCTCAAGAGGCAGCTTCGACGTCACCGGCCCACGTCGTTCTGTAACCACGAGGGAAGAAGGCGAGAGTAGCCGTGACCATGCAGCAAGAATTATGCAGAAACTCGACCTACACCGAAAGACCACGACTTCTCAGACTGATAACCCCCCTCCTACGCCATCCGCTTTGGCTGGTGGTGGTATTGCTAGTCTTATATCTGCAAGTCACAACATTTTGCCCGCAAGTTATTCAAATTTTCCCATCTCGCAGGTTGGCCCTGCTCGACCACAACTGACATTGCCACAAATAACGGAATCTCATACAAGCACCCTCGCGCCGGCTACTCTGGCGAACCCGCCCGCTCCTACTAACTTAAGTAAATCCGTTGTTATTATCGGTGGAGAACGTGGTATTGGTATTGGCCGAAGCGATGCACCGGGCGGCATGCCGGGGAGCATGATGGCGAATCTTTGGGGTAGTAGCAACTGGGGATATGTCAATCGAATCGAAAGGCCGGATACGAAATCTTCGAGCTTGACAAGTCCTTCTGTCCCTCCAAGTCCAAGTGTACGGCCTCTTGAGCCATCCCCAAAATTTGATGGGGACGATAATAGCAAATCCGACACTGCCCTATCAGATGCCAAACAGATATCGATCCGCACGCCCACTACTCCTCTGGCTTCTACTCCAGTCTCTACGCATCGAAAAGCAATAAGCGTCGACCTCGAGGCAATGCGGTCGCAAATCTCTAGCCCCAAACCAGAGGTCTTTCCAAGTAACTATCCTTTGGAGCTCAAGACCCAAGAGGCTCAATTTCGCATGCTCTTCCCAGATGTACCACAAAAGGAAAAACTACTTCTTGTTTTCCGAGCAACATGGAATCCAAATGAACAGCAAGAATTCCCTGGAAGAGTTTATGTCACCCAGAAGGACTTTTATTTTTATAGTCACCATCTCGGTCTCGTCTTAATCACAGGTGTGAGCATGGATAGCGTAGTGGAAGTCACCGCTGCACCAGGCAAGGATTGTGATTTTATATTCCTTCACCTCCGTGAAGACGCCACCAAGGGAAATTTTACGAGAGTTACGATCAAGACCTTCTTAGAGCCTCTTCGGCTTTTGCAGTCTCGACTCAATTTTCTAGTTGATACATCCCAATCAGAGGAGTCATTCAATCTGGAAGATACAATGTCAACATTAATCAGAATGGAGAACGAAGATCCAACTAGAAGCCCAAGCTTAGAAAGCTGGGAGGACGTTTCAATGAACACTCCAATTGATGACGGTACCCTGTCAGGGAGACTCCGCAGGAACCGAGATTTGAGAACTTCCATTCACGTCGAGGCAGGACTTCACCTGGGTAGACGCAACAAGGAAATCACAAAATTCCAGTTGCCATCACAGCCTGTGGTATTTGAGCCAGAGGGGATGCAGCAGAAGGTTATTGAAAAACAATTCGACATTAGTGCGAAAGGCCTCTTCCACGTCATGTTTGGCGACAAGAGTGCTGTCTTTCAACTCCTCTACCATGATCGCCGCGCCCAGCGTATTGCTCAATGTCCTTGGGTGCATCTAGAGGGAGGGCACATGCGACGAGACTTCGAGTTTCAAATCGATTATGTTGATATATTTCGCCGAGCGCGTCAGGCGAACGTCGTCGATTATCAGATTATTGATGTCATGAACGACCATATTTGTTACGTCGTTTCTGACATGAAAACCCCCTGGCACCTACCGCACCGAAAAGATTTCATGGTAGTCGCTAAGATCGTCATCACGCATGTTGCAAAGTCACAGTGCAAATTAGCTATCTACACAAAAGTTGATTGGTCGAGAGCTCCTAAATTCTCAAAAGGTCTCGTCGAACGACAGGCTCTCGATGATGCATCGCTTGATGCTCTGGAGCTGGCTGATGTTGTATCTCACGAAGTGCGGAAGCTTGGACCACATAGAAACAGGACGAAGAAAGCGATCAATATATTCGGCTATGTCGGTCATCAAACCTCAGTCTCGATGTTTTCCGCTACGGAGTCTGTCAACTCAAAAAGGCCACTGATCAAACCGCGAACTCTGACAAATATGTTATTTGAGACTCTTGGGTCATTCGGCGAAAGTGCCATAACGTCCGTGATGATGTGGACATTTGCCGCTCTTCGGTCCGTATGGAAAGCCGCAAGCGCTCATAGTATAATTCTGATAGCTCTATTATTGAGCGTTCTCGTGAATGCATTCTTCACCTCGAGGGATACGTCAGACTGGTGGGCTGAGCGAAGCGCTACAAAATTTATGAATCGAATCGGCGTTGGCCCAAATCCTATCATGGGCAAGGCTATCTACATAAAGGATCTTGATGATGCCTTGAGAGCAGTGCCGACAGATTTAGTAGAGCAGGCGGGAGGTAAATGGTAAGCAAATTTACTTGCTCTTGCAATATAGTGACAGGCTGGCTAACTTGAATAGCTACGATCATTTTAGAGAGATTGCCAATATTACTGATCTAGACTCACCATATGAATCGGCGGGTGCATTCTTCTCCTCGAGTCCCGCTCGATCTACGGCTCGACGACTGCGACGAACACGGCAGCACCTTGGCACATACCGCCATGATTTGACAGTGGCCATGCGTGTAGTTAACAATATTGACCGAGAGGTTATGAGAGCCGAATGGGAAAATTGGCTTCTCGATGAGAACGGCAGGTGCAAACAGGTACTAGATTTACTACGAGACAAAGGGGCTAAGTCTTCATCAAATAAAAAGCCCCGAGAACCCCATTCTCAACAGGTCATCGAAGCGACGGAAAATGGTCAGAGAGATAAGCTCGAAGAGATGCGAAAGTGGCACGAAGAGTACTGCGGTAGTTGTAGGCTCGAACAGGATAAGTTGCTCAAAGGTGCCAAGCATTTAGCATTTATTTAACTTAAAGATGTATGGATATTACGAGCAAAGAGGACCTTTTGAGCGAGGCGTTTTGCGGGAATTGGCGTGACGACAGTTGTTTGTATACCTAGTATTGTTTTTTATATGCTCAAATCCCCTTAAGGGACTCAGGACGGGATAGAAGAAGACTTATATACCAGAACTCTAGTAGTTCCCACATTCGACATGGCATTCATTGTGAAATTAGAATATAGATAGAAACGTGCATTGTAAACTGCGCACTTGACCAACATTGATTCGCTAAGTAATTCGGGTGCTTCGCATCACTCGCTCCCATGTTGAAGGCTTAGGCATCGCCGACGTCATCGCACTGGCCGCAGCGCCGAGGTGTAGGAAGGACAAACACAACAATCCTTTCTTGACCTATGATGATGCAACTACTACCACTACAACGTACTTTATTCCTGTTTCTATTGTGATGTGTATGGCATCTGCGACCATGCCGGTACTTCAAAGGCACTAACATTCAATTCTTCCTCTCCAATTGTTCACGCCGATCGCGTTCGCAACCCAGCAACTTCAATGTTTCAAACACACCATATTAGACTCTCGAAACTGATACCGACCTGCATTCCTGAATCTGCGCCGTATCTGCAGCGACATTCCCCTTAGCCAGCAATGGCAGCCCTCCACGATGCTCTCAAAACCCTGGGGCCCCTCGAGTTCTCGGAAGCACCACTGGACAACCTGAAACCCTTCCTTTTTGAAGCCTTTAGCAATGGCCAGCTAATAGTAGACTCTGTGCCTATTCCGCCGCCCCCCGAGAATTTAATTACCTTCGATGGCCGTTCTCGCTGTTCCTCAACGGCATCTTCGGCTGCAGAAATTAAACCCTCCTCTGCGCGCTCAACTCCTCCTCCGTCGAGTGTGCAGTCGTTGCAAAATGAATGGAAGAGTGTGAAATTGAATGCTAAGGATAATCCGTTGGGAATGAGTGTATATAAGCTCGGCGGGAAGGACGGGAAGGGTTGCTGGTTTGCCAGACGAAGTGTCCACGAGGGCTTGGGGTTTACAAAGTGGAGGAAGGCTGTGGAGAGGGAGTTTCCTGAAAGCATGAAGGTTCAAGGTGGGCCAGGAGAAGGGAATATTAGGGGGATTGGTGGTGAAAAGAGAGTCGCTTATAAAAACCTTCCGGGGGTGGGGAAGATGGGAGGTGAGTGATGATATTGCTGGATTAGGCAGATATACTGACGGTTTCTAGTATACCTCCTATCTGCACAATTTCCTGGGCCGACGACGCCGAGAGATTTTGTTACTATGTTTCTGACTTCAGACCAGACGGTGGTAGACGAATCTGGAGAAGTCCTAAGACAATTCATGGTTATTTCAAAGCCGTGTATTCATCCGGATACTCCACCACGGGATGGATATATAAGGGGTCAATACGAGTCGGTCGAGTTTATCAGAGAAGTTCCCATCAAGAAAGGGCGTAAGAAGTCAGCTTCTACGGCCAATCTTTTAAACCCAGGAAATCATTCGAAAGACGCGCATATCTCAAATCTAGGCAGAGAAGCAATGCTGCGAAATGTTAAAAGGAGCAATTCATCTCTGGCTGATGCCGCAAGTGATCAAGCGGTATCTGAGACAGACCTCGGAATTGAAGGTCGCGCTCGTGGGAAGACAATATCTTACGACCGGTCAAGAAGTTCTGATCCAAAAGGAGATAATATCGATGAGGGTGAAAAGGAAGAGGAGATCGATGGTAACCCAGTAGAATGGATCATGGTAACAAGGAGCGATCCTGGAGGCAGCGTTCCACGGTTTATGATTGAACGAGGAACTCCCAGTGCAATCGTAGCGGATGCTAGCAAGCTTCTGGATTGGGCCTGTGCCAAAAACCTGGAGGATTTTGAGGACGAGGACGTATCTGAAGATGAGACTGGTGAGGAATCCGAAAACCATGAACATAAACACCATCATGAAAATGATGTGCATGATTGGCAGATGAATGGTCACTTGGCTGGTATACAAGAGGCACCTACGCCAATGGAGGAGAAAGATGCAAACCAACCGAACGCCAATGGGGGAATATATGGCGTCGTGGCGGGAGTAGCTGGAGCAGCAAGCGGATTCCTCAGTTCCCATGCCCCCCAAGTCATCCAAGACCACCTCCCAACCTCCGTTAATCAGTCTGAAGAAAGCACCCCGGAAATACCACCCCACAGAGCCTCCATATCCACTATCGGCAGCGACTCATCAGTGGGTACCTTCGCTTCGGCCCTCGAAAGACGCGAAACTGAAGGGGGAAACGAAGCCGCCTCAATACAGACGAACGACTCCCAAGCTAGTCCAGGATCCATATCTACTCATAGCAAAGAACTGGCAAGGCTCGAGGAGAAGAAGCGCAAACTCGACGAAAAGCTTACCAAAACTCGCGAGAGAGAACTCAGCAAGAAGAGCGAAGATAGCGCCAAAGAAGAAGAAGCCATTCGCAGAGCCACTGAACGCCATGAGCGCGAAATCAAAAAGCAAGAAGCGAAGTACAGAAGGGAAGTGGAGAAACTAGAAGAGAGGAAGGAGAGAGAGAGGAGAAAGGTAGAGGAGAAGAAACGCAAGATTATAGAAAAAGATGAACGTTTGAGGTTGACGAGGGAGCTGGAAGAACACAAGGCGGAACTTAATCTCCTGAGAAAGGAGAATGATATCCTCAGGACTCAGGTTGGTGAGCTGCAGGCGGAGAATACAGCACTTGCGGCCAAGTTGGGGAGGTTTGGTATGCAGGGCGACGACCTGATGAGGGAGGTTAAGCAGGAGGTGGGGAAAGGGGGGAGATTGAGGGCCAGTAGCCTAAAGAGCACGGGGAGGACGAACAGCTTTGCGACGAAGAGTGCGGGTAGTAGTGATAAGGAGAAAGAGAGTTTGAGGAAGGGCGCGTAAGCTTGCTTTTTTTTTATTAGTCGGAGCTTGAGAGGTTAGGCGTAAGTTTACGAATGAATGGGATAGACCCACGAACTTGGTTTTGTGCATGCATTCAACTATGGCACGTTAGCAATTATATCCCTAGGCATTGTCGGCGCTAGATATTTGGCCGTACGGCGTTGAGAAGGCACATGAGGTAGCTAGCAAGCTTCCTCAGATATCGGGCACATGGATGTGTACTGTCTCCTGACCTGTCCTTTAGATTCTCCTCGGACAAGGTGTATAAGAGACTGTATACTACTCTAGGCCATACCCCTTTTTATCGACTAGCAGGGTCGAACCTTTAATAAAAAGAAATCATTATACCTATGTCATGACAATTAATTCGATTAAAACATTAATGTAGTGTAATAAAAAGGCACTACCTCCCCCCTCTTCAACTTATCCAAGCAACCCCTTACAATCAAACAACAGGCGGTGTTCTCCCCCCACTACAGGCACCACTCAAACTTTCACAAGCGACTGATAAATTCGCACTTCCACTCCCAACCCAAAACACAAACGGCTTACTCTGACTAGCAGGGATAACCCAATTCTGCATCCCAACATCCCAAACACTTAGATCCCTCCTCGTAACCTCAAGCGTAACGGCCTGACTCTGGCCCGGCGCCAATGTATCAGTCTTGTCAAACGCTCGGAGCTGAATTATAGGTGTCTCATAGGGCGAATCGGACGGGTATTGCAAGAACAACATGGCAACGTCTTTCCCTGGGCGAAAGCCGGTGTTCGTTATAGTGAGCTTAACCGTGTACACTATGTCCCAGAGGGCCGGGTTTCCTCCTTGATCACCTCCTGCGGGAGGATCGGGTTGGGGCGTGGTTTGGTAGCCGGCCGGATAACTGTACTTTTTTGAGGCTGATATGCTAGAAGGGTTGTCTAGGTATGGGTACAGGTAGCGCCAGATCTTGTTGAAGCCTTGTGGCCAGGTGACTTCGGAAGGCGGAGGAATAACACTGCTGTATATCGGAGTTGAGCCCTTGGGTTGGCGGGGTGGAGGAATGGCACTGAGAGGCGTGACGGCTGTGAGGGATAGCTCGGTATGGCTAAAGGTTGTGTAGGAGAGGCCATGACCGAATGCATAGCGTGGAGTAATCTTTTGTTTGTTGAGATAGCGATAATCAATATATAACCCTTCCGAGAAAGTGTCTTGCACTTGGAAAAGTTCGAAACCGACGAGGCTGACTGATGATGGATAGTCGGATTCAGCTTTTGGGATAGAGTATGGGAGATGCCCGCTGGGGGAATAGTCCCCGAAAAGAATGTCCGTTAGGGAGTTTCCAGCTTCTTGTCCTGGTAGGTGGGCAAAGAGCACACCTTTTACGGAGGGGAGATCAATCCATTTCTCTACCAGTATGGGGCCGACTGTGTGAACTACCACTATGACCGTGGAATATTTGGCTGCTGCGGCGTTGACCAGAGCATCGCCGTTATGCCATGCTTCGAGACCACTAGCAGACCGGTCTCCATTGTTGCCTTCGACTGTCTCTTGGTTCTCTCCTGCGTCGCTGCTGATGAAAACGATAGCGATATCCCCAGCTGCCACCGTAGCACCAGAAGGGAAGGAGTCGCCGGAGTAATAGGTCACTTGTGAAGCCTTGCGTTTGATGGCATCAATAGGGGCGTCCAAGTAGGGGTAGTTTGCGGTGCCTTTACCAGTCAGTTATTGCTGGGATATCATTTTGATCGAACTTACCGCTTCCCCAGCCCATTCCAAGAACCCCTTTATTACATGCACGCTGATTGCAGGAGTTGATGCCATCTGGATTATTCTGGGCATCGGATCCGAAAACCTTCAATGTAGCAGCTGTTGATAATGGCAATGTGTTGTTGAAGTTCTTTAATAAGGTGATACCCTCTCGCGATACATTCCTTGCAACGATTGCATGGTCCGCCTGCACGTTGACATATTGATTAGTGGCGCAAGTCGGAGATATCAACGCAGCTGGGTAGCAGGGGCCGGTAGGCTGATCAGTGTTGGCGGAGAAGTTTGGTAGCGGATAGTCCTGGTCTTGTCCGAATTGGTACCATGTTGCAACTATCCGCGTAACCATATCGTTAAGCCGCTCAAGAGGAACAGTACCGTTCAAAACGCTGGTCGATAGATCGTAAGCCCAATAGGCAAGTCCGAGAAAGGGGGTGTTTCCATCGCCAGGCATGGCCATGTCTAAACCTGCAAGAGCGGAAGAGACACCTCCAATCTGGGCAAGCCAGTCGCTCATCACCTAATGGTGTTAGCAAAATCTCCAAGTGAGAAGGGTGCATTCGTACCAATCCCTGGAATCCAAATTCATCTTTCAAAATGCCATTGATCAGTTTGCTGTTCTGTGAAGCAGCACTACCATTTACTTCATTATAGCTAGTCATGATAGCTCCAGCGCCTGCTTTAATGGCATCCATAAACGGCCAGGCGTAAAGCTCGTGCAAGGTACGATCATCAATATTACTACTAAGGGCCCTCATCAATCCGTGCGGAATAATGTCCATTCTGTACATCTCTTGCTCATTCCCAACGAAATGCTTGACAGTGGCTATCACACCATTGGCTTGCATACCTTTAATGGTCTCTGCTCCGCCCCAGCCCTGAAGAACAGGATCGGCACCAAAGCCTTCCCAGTTCCTTCCTCCTCGTGGCTTTCGACCAAGCGGTCCGATCGTAGGTCCAAGTTGAATGTTGACACCCTTCCCACGAGCTTCTTCTCCTAATGCAAAGCCTCTTGCGTGCATCAAAGCCTTCGAGAATGTGGCCCCAACTGTAATACCGGCTGGGAATGCTGTAACATTGTCGGTTGCAGCTATTCCCAGGGCAGAATCCTGGAGACAGAGATTCGGGATCCCAAAACGCAGCGCCGACCCGGTATTGCCAACACAAGGGCCCATTAAAAACCCCGTTCCCGTCGTCAGATTGACCTTCTCCGCCAATGTCATATTAGCGACCACCTTCTGAGCCTTTGAATAGGCAGCGCTCCAGTCGGCTACCCATCCGCCCTTGGGTGCCGGGTAGTATGGAGGGGCATCATATCCAGCAGGTACCGGATTGCGCTTTTCCAGCATAGCATTTTCCGAGGATTGAAGTAAATTCGCTCGAATCACATCGGCTGCGAAGTCTGGCTGCGCTGTTAAGGCCAACGCAAGGGACCCAAGCCCAAACAGCGTCAAACAAAATTTAAAAATTAACATTTTGAAGGAGGTTAAAAGACTTTTGGCCGTGAGAATGTGGTTGGTCAACTTGACGGTTATAACCAGATTGTTTGCGGGAAACGAGGGGGGTTGGTTGTGATTGTGACTGCACCGCTCACGCGCTATCCAGCCAGCCCAGAAGACTTATCGTGCAAGTCTAAGACACTGCTGAAATGAACGCGGCCGGTACACGAATCTTTCGCACAGAAGAGGGTATACAAACAAGGGATGTAAACAACACTTATAAGCATGGGCATAGCGACCAACCTCCCACGGGCCGTGCCGGCAGGTGACGAGAACTCTCGAAGGTTGCATGGATATAGGGGACAACGAGTCCAAATGAGGAATCCATATATGCTCAGTGACGGCATTGGCGCCGTGTAGGAGTAATTGGGATCTACAAAGTACTTGTTTACTGGGGTGTTCCATATCTGGAATCTGGCCCCGGAGGCTGCACGCCGAAGGACGTTTCTCCGCACGCATCCTGTGTATTCCCCACAACAGCGACAGAACACGTGAGGATTTCGAAATTCTCCATGTTCCGATCACGTCTTGGTATCGAGGACTCGTGCTTCGGTTGCGAAACGAGGTTCGTAGCACGGCAGATGGAGAGAAATTGTACGAAGCAAGGCCCGGAAAGATTAGCGAGGAAGGACGAGATTAATGTCGGCACTTACCATGGTCCACTTCAAGCCTTCAACCTCCTCCTGATCATCTGATGGCCTAACCAACGACAGAAAATGGGCTTGTACCTAACCTTCGCTATAGGAGAGCACATAAAGTTATCACGTAGTATTGCAGCGATAGACTGACGCTTTAGCAGATCGTAGTGTCCTTGCCCGCTTTTCGCTCAGCACTGATCAAGGATCCGCGTGGGGAGTTCCTCAAAAGGGCGAAACCTCCGCAAGAGCAACCAAGGCTTCTTTACAGGCTAAAAGCTAGATTCAAGGTAAACGTTACCCAGCGGCATCAGGGCGACATGGCAGAAGACATTATGGCCGCGGTAAGATTTGATCATGTGCCTGTGCTTTTGCATTTTCTTCATCAACTATCCGTCCACCAACGGAGTAATAGGCCGAATTATTCTCAATTTATTTATACCTACAGCCAATGTCGTTTCCAGTCTCGCTTTACATCACCTTTGAAAAGTTATACAATACTGAGCTACGAGTTATCTTTCTAAGCTTTTAGCACTCGAGCGTCAATCCAGAGTTTTAGTTCGCCAAACCGAGGTTTGCAAGACTAACCTACCAGTTGCAAGGAAAGCAAGTTGAAGATTTCAGGGATTTTTAGTTTGGATATTAGAAGTTATCGCCCTTCTATACAATCATAAGGTAACACAACTACAGAAAGTTCGAAATTTCTAGAATTCCCCTTTCAAGCTCTTGCTGTCCCAGTCAGCCAATCTTACACGGGTCTCTAAATACTGCCGAATAATTGCTATCAACCCTTCCGACGTTGCTCTAAGTTCCGCAGAACAGGGTTTCAAAACACTCACCACGTTTCCATAGCTTAGTCCTACATCCCTTTCAGATTCCCTAAACTTAATACTCCACAAAGTTTAGATTATAGTTTTAGCGTGAGACCTTAGCATGCGTACATCTTAAGCCTTACAAAGTAAGGTTAGTACCACTAAATAAGTTATAAATCGAATATCATTGAGCTTAGTTTGGCTCTTCGTTGAACTTCGAGAGATGATATGGAGAACCGTCAGCAATAGCGGAACTGTCCATCTATATAAGCTGCAGTCAAAAGGGCCCGCCTGAAACTCCGTAACCCTGAACTATCGATGAGCACATTTTGACAGTGAAAAGCGCTCATGGGCTTCAAACACGAAAGAGCTATCAAGAATTCGCTGCTGGAATTGTTCTCCACCGCCAAGCTAGATGGGTGCACGGGGCCGAATACCTATATGTTGGGAGTACATCTCCCTCACATTTCGCTGGGTATTTCTAGATTGGACAATCATATCTATACTGACAACTGTAAACGTGATGCTGTCCCAAGTTGGCAGCTACCGATAAATTGGCAAACGTCTGGCCGATCCCAAGGATCTCCTTTTTATAGACTCCACAAAGGCCAATGGATTGAAGAGGATTGCAACTTCAACCAATTTTCCATCAATTTCTCGAATCTGAGGGCCGGCAGTATTTTCTACAGCTGTGGATAAAGCATAGCAGCAGTCCAAAATGAGGAGGACGTCCGTAACAGTGTTGGTAATGGCATGTTGATTCCACTCTAGGGCTAGTTTGCCAAGGTCCGATTTGTTGTCAAGATCACTACTAGGAGTCGCTAGTAATGTTTCTATAGAAGGAATAACTAAAATGGAATACATTGGGTCATCGGAGACTGGGCTTAAACGAGTAGGTATTCACTACGGGAATTTATATAAGTAGCGTGCCCATAATACACCACAATGAGCAGATTCCCTGATTTGTTATAATCGTCTACGAATCTTTCTATCCGTTTGTGGAACTGCTTGCGAATGTCATACTACGAAATCGTGGCGTCCATGAGATACTTTCCCACGGCGTCCGAGCATTTGCCCTTGAGGACCTGGAGAGCGACCTATTCCATCTCTTCCATAGGTGCATCGATAATCTTGTCTAGATACCTACTATCTAGGCTCTTGTTGCTCATTAGATTGGCGAATGGCTAGATATCTGCAGGAGTATTTGGTATAGTTGATGATGCGGGTAGCTATAAGTTTACATAGCCAAATCTAGCAAAGTTGACATGCGCTTTAACGAGGCAAATTCCACTCGTTTGGCTTAACTGCAAACTCGCCGAGAACGTTCATGTTAATTAATACGTTTTGTTGAAAGTGCTAGCAGGGAAATTGATCGACCAGTGTTTGGGGGTTATCGAGAAGTTCTCGATTAGGATGTGTACTAGCAAGTTAATATACATGGTGTGTAGCATTAAGAATCTGATTATCTGACAATAACCATGGTACTAGTGTTTGCCTATCTGATTATCTTATACTGCTATTTCAGATTTCCTACGTGACCTTCAACATGTCGATTTTGTATCTGTCTTCTCTTAGAAGACTCGTTGACAAATCGGTGTATGTATTTTGTTGATTGTTTTGGACTGGCTAGAAGGAGGGCTTTTTATATCAAGAGGAGGCTATCTTAGGCATTGGGTTTCCGATATGAATGACATTTTACTAGGTAGCTCCCAGCTCAGCACTAACTACAAAGGTCCATTGGGTTGCTATATACTTCTACGTTTATCCCGCCATTAGACATCTGGTTTATAAGTATAGTGCTACCCAATGAATCCAGGCATGTTTTTCAATGGCAGGATTTTGAGGGAATATCCGGAGTGGTTGTGAGATCCAGGTTTTCACTACAATTTCAAGCAATATAAATATAAATCATGCTCAAATCCCAAGTCTTCGTCAAAATAGCATCGGGTTTCTATTACACCAGTGACTCACTCTAGAGCACGCCATCACCTCACGGCTTCCGATCAACGGACCTTTAATATATCCCTACCTACCTACCTAGGTAGGTAGATAAAAGATTTTTTATACCAGGGTTAAGGTTGGACCCTGAACCTCGCGGGAATGGAATTCCTCGTCCCGGGAGTGGGGACTACTGTATATCCCAACAATCAGATACCCAGTTCTTACATACGGACCAAGGCCACGCTATATAACAGCGAGCAAATCCTAATTTATCTCGTGGCAAATGACGAGGGTAGGCGTCCAAAACCTCGATACTGTACTGCACAGCCCGGTTTTACGCGCACTGCTGTAGTCGAGTCGTCGGCTGTTGATAGGGAAGCTCTCTAACGACGGAAACATGTATTTCATTTCATGCACATTGCCTTTCCTGGCCTGTGGTGGGCCGTGTGGCGAAAAACTCGTTTCTTTCCAGCTGCGCCACGGGGATCGGACGAGGATTAAAGGCAGGATATGATCATAACCGGGATGTTGGGTACAGTACCTACTTTAAGGTATGTTGGGTATGTGCCGCTGCTCAGGGTATGCGATAACTTGAGATACCAACATCCAACATTTGGCTTGCTTCCAACAGTTGTTATGAACACGTACGAGTCCGAGATACCCAGATACCGGGTTGCTTCATGGAATAACCTTCTGTTGACGGCCTTCAGCTAGGTCAGCTCGGCTGGTTTCGATTGGCCCTATTCCTCATCGAAAACATGAAACATCGCAACTGCTTACCACGGCTGTACGAGCCCGGCGGGCGCCTAAAGGATCAAGAAGCACTCGGGTGACGCGTTTCTGGTCAAGCAAAGCCGACGACATGCGCCGGCAAGTAGAGACAGACAGGCGCGCGCACGAGCACAGAGTAAGCTGGAAGCTTGAAGGTCGGGTCACGACTGACCGAATTCAGCCTTGGCTGGTGAGCACGAAGGAGTGAGGAGGACAGGGCTGCAGTCATGCAATCCCTTATTCAGGGGATAAAGAGGCCACAGTAGCATTCTGGCTGTAGGTCAAATCTGGTATTATTGGCCCTGGAACGCAGCTTATTATCAGGTCTTTGGAAAGGATCCGGTCACAAGGCGAACACAGGAACAGGAACGGGGTCCCGTGATGGGGCGTGTGTCCGGGTCATGAGGACGAGTTCCAGTCCAACCGCGCAGGTTTGTGTTACGCGGACGGAGTACGAAGTACGAGAGAAAACAGGGAAAGGGGAACAGATTCGGGATCATTGGGGATCGGGTACATGTTTACACTGTCTTTCATCTCCAAAGAATGAACGACCGGCAGCAAAGGATTCCAACAGGGACTCTCGTCAGTAATATACCATACCTACATACCAGTATACAACTAATAAGGTACATGTAGGTGGGACGGACTCCGTACTTCGTATACAACGAGCATATCACGGGCTTCTCCGACAAGGATAAATATAGAAATGTCGCCAGCCACATGTCGACATCGGAATCTGCCCCGCCACAACACGGACGACGACTTTGCCACAATATCAACGTCGGGCTGCTGCACACCGCCACAGCTAGTGGCGCTGGCATGCCACGCAATACGGGGGCAGCGGTGCCCAAGGAGAAAAGATCAGTTTTGAGTTTTCTGGGAAGGGCCCTGTTGCGGATGTCCTTCGTAGAGTCCGGATTCTCCTCTGTTTTGCAGCATGTAGCTAGTCCTAGTAACTCTACAACTTCTGCTACTCGCAGCTGGGATGTCGTCGGGACGTTTGGGTTCGGGGCCGCGCTAGCCTCGAATGGCTTTGCGGTCGTCGCCCAATGGCCTTCCAGAAGAGCCCTGAGATCGCAAGCTCAACTTTTCGTCAAAATCAACGTCAACGAATGAGCAATTCAGGACGCCCTTTCTCCTCACCTGACTTCCTACTAACCCAGACCTCCCGCAAGGATGGGGGCATTCCCATCCTCACTCCACAGGCTCGCAGAGTTTCTTGCCTCTTCTCGTCGTCCCAGGGCCGGCCGGAAAGGCTCTTAGATGCGGGATCCAGGACCAGCCCAGCCAGCCCAGCCCCGGCTTCACTTCACGAAACGGACACTGCCAAAAGAAAGAAGGGAAAAAAAGGAAAGGGGTGCCGCATCTCCCGCGCCAGATCGTACCCCCTCGAGCCAGAATCAGGAGAGGCCCCGAAGCTATTCATGCAGGAGGGTCCTGTTCTGGTCGCGAAGAATGGCCAGGAGATCCAGTGCTGCCCCGTCCAACATCTCGAGGTTGAGCAGACTGCAACACCGGGACGATGCAGAGCCATGCAGATGCCGGCACGTTCGGTGACAGGTCCTCGATCAGAATACGATCAACGGTAGCATCAGATGCACAATATAGTAGAATGTTTCACTTCTTTTGACATGTGCTGCAACTGGGCTCTGCACTTGCATCTGCATCTGCATATTGCACCGCGCGGGCTTCTGCGGTGCTCACTACTCATGCAAGTCATCGTCCCCCGAAGGCATCACCAGCGCCAGGGCTCCTTACGGTGTTTCCTCGGCTTTCCGGTGGTATGTATGGTATTGAGGGGGGGGGGGTTCTGTTGGTTTTGTATTGCTACTTTGTACTGTTGGGATTCCGTGGGCATGGCGTGGTAATGGCATCGCATGGGCATCGCATCGCAATATGAGATCGTCAGCCCTAGGCCTTCTCTCATTGGAGGATTTCCGCTGTCATCCCAAAGAGACAGTCTCAGCAGTCCCGTCTTGGAAATCTGACTGGAGAGGCTCATTCCCGTAATCTCTGGGAACCTACTGAACGCGGCTGATGGCGTTGAAACATTTTCCGGCCATGCGAATGAAGCGTCGACGGCGAATATTGACATAACCATGGACCCTTGACACCGACTGCAACCGGCAGAAGCGCGACTGGCAGCCTACCTGTGAGTTGATATTGATGCTGCCTTGCGGATACGTCGCTACTGGACGGTGGAATGGGCAATCGGCGGGCACGCATGAATGCATTTGCGAGTAACTGGGCCGGAGGGGCAAGACCTGCTGCAGCCCTCAGCTGTTTATGGTACCGGTAAGTTTCCTCTGGCTGCCTGTTGCGCCTGCTTTTGGGCAGCTGGCTTGGCTTGGTTTCCGGTCTGTGGGTTTGAATCGAGGTCTACAAGTGCAAGTACCTTGCAGTGCAATAATGGCAGTGCCAGAGACTAGCAAGTGCAAGTGTAAGTGTAAGTGTAAGTGCAAGTGCAAGCGCAAGATGCAAGATGCAAGTGTAAGCGCAAGCGCAGGAACAAGAGCCACTGCACGTAGTACGTAGGAGGTGCAGGGCCAATATTCCCAGTGGGCAAGTTACCTAGGTAGCAAGCAAGCGGCAGTCGCACGGAGCAGTAGCCGTGCCCAAAAGCCTTCTCGTACGAGTCGCATATGTTTGATCATTACGCAGGACGACGCATTCTTTTGTCGATTAGCATATGCAGGTCGCTGCACCGCCTCGTTTGCTCGCCCGCGGCCTCCGCCCACGGCGTCGGATGCACCCTACGAGCCCCCCATCCAGCGCCCACAGCGCCCACAACACCCTACGACGCCCCTACGACGCCCCTCCCAAGGCCCTAACAGCAGCCTACCAGCACCCCAGTTGGCGGCCCTCCCAGGCCTCCTCCCCTACGCTACAGGCCTACAGGCAGACACCTCCACCAACCTGCAGCTGCCACCACCGCTACCACCGATAGGTACAGCACTGTCGCCCACTACCGCTACAGCTGCCACCACCGCTGCCCATCGCTACCGAACCGATGTCCCCGGCACCCTCGCGCAGATCAGCTGCCTGCGATGCTATATCTCCCCCCGCCATCGCCGCCCGCCGCCGTCTTCTTGTTCCTTTCCTCGTCACGATCCTCGATCGGCGCATCTTAATTCCCTTATCTCGGGACTCTCCCATATCTACTATTCCTTTTATATTCCTTGCCTTCTTCTTTGTGTTCCCCCACTTGTTTCCTCCCCTTGCTCATCGCCCCCGATTCCAACGTCAGATCAGTCTTGAGCCTGAGTCCATCGGTCCCCGTCTACTCTCGTCGCCTGATATCGTCTGGTTGTCATACATCGCAAGCAAACACACATACACACACACACACACACGTCACAACCAGACAGACAGATACCAACACATTCGATGCCTCCTCAATTACTCCCCGCCTCCGCGGCCGCCTTTGCACCTAGAGCAACCTCCGTCAATGTGGTTTTAAGTTCCAAGGTGGAGCCGTGGCTAACACAGACCCTCAAGCGCATCAACCGCATCAAGCGCCCACTCAACAGCGTGCCCCAACACCAGAGATGTTTAACGGAAACTTTATCCTCATCAACGGCTATCTGGACCCTAACTTCTCTCATGTTGCCCAAGGCTCCCGAGTCAGAGTTGCGCAAGGATTCCAACCCGCTAATCGAGGCTCTCTTCAACTATCAGCTCATCCACATCGAGGCCTACATTGTCCACGTTGATATGGTATTAAGAAACGAGGTCGCCTTCAAACTCACGCCCGACTCGATCGAATCCCTCATTGAGTATCACAAGGAGATACACTGCGTAGATATTTCCGCCAATACTTATTCCTGGTCGGAGAAAGAGTTGCAGGTCAAGAAGTTGCACGAGGAGTTCATTCAAGCTATCAACAAGTTTGTCTACCGGACTCACGTTTCCGCCCTTGAAGGACTGGAAGAGGATGGCGCTGGAGAGCTATTATGTGGGAAGAGCGAGGATGTCAAGACCAATATCATGGGTCTGTTCCTCGCACTGTTACCACCCCCACCTCGGATTGTTGATGTCGTTCGCCAACCACCATTGCTGCCCAGCTCTCCCGCAGGCGCAAATTGGTGGTCACAGCCAAGCATCCCTACGTCTGTGCCAGCGCCGGTAGATTCATGGAGGGTCCTTCCGTCAAGCCCGAGCTCCACATCGTCGTCGGATACCAACACGATATGGGCCAACATGGCACTGCACGAAATCCAGCTCCCATCTCCAACACCGTCATTCAGCCAGCCATACTCGACATCCGGTATGTTCTACAGCTCACCTCAAGTCAGCGCTCCTATTCCATCCCTTCCATTACCTAGCATGTTAGCGCAGTCTCAATGCGGCGTCAATGTTGGATATGGGGGGTTTGGATGGGACAACCGATACCAGGAATTTGCAACAACGATGTGACAACCAAGGCCCAGTACTCTAAGCAATTACTCTACTATCCAACATTATGGGTTATAGCACGGGCACCACCGATCATTACTGCTTCACTCATGACATTCCTCAACCATCACATCATGACAAAGGGCGGGCGGCAACATCAAGCAAAGTTTAGCGGCATTTGATATCACCTCTTCCATCAAGGCATTCGGGACGGCGTTTAACATCATCAACTCATCAGCGATTGAGCGACATTTTGGGGCACAACAGAACCGCCTTTTATTTTCCTTCTCCTCTCAGTACATAATCGGATCGAATTTTCCTTATCGTTTGATTTGCAGTTTAGCGTAGCGCGTTTTTGTTTTTGGTTCTGATATGATCACGACGGCCGCTAGCTCGGTATTTCCTTTCTTCTTCGAAGCATATGGCAGGACCGGGCGGGTATATTGTGAGCATTTTCAGGCCTCGACAAATATTTCTTTCACAGTTTTAAAGAAAGTACCTAAAGAAGAGGAATACGCAGCAATGCAGGACTACGGCGCGGCGCGGGATACATTTGAATTTTCTGTTTCGCAACTAACCGACCTCATCATTCGGTCTTTGCCCTCGGAGCTTTTTTCGTTTGTCGTCTGCGGTTGGATATCACCAGGTCCTTCGATACGAATTTCCTTTCCTCATGACGTCGCCGCACTTCACCAACTACACCACATAATCACCATCAGTCCTACCCTGCGACCGATAGATGGACGACTTGATGTCTCTTTCGTTTCGACATGCATGTTGGGACTGGATTTGGGTCATTTGGGTTTGGGTTTGGGAACTGGGCATATGGGTCATGATGGGTGGATATAACACGAGATATGAATGGATATGCTGGATATACAATCGGGCTGGGGACTTTTCGACATTGATTGTCGGATACGATCTTCCAGTAGAGCGCGCTTGCGCGCTGACGACTTTCGACCGCGGGCACTGAACACTAGTTGTTGCGGAGACGATACAATGGCCGGTATCATGCCTTCGCTGTGCGATAGATATGCGGAATTGTTTTCGTCGACACTGCTTTACGTTACCACACTCGCTCTCCCGACCTACTCAGCACTCTCGCCTTTGTCCATGCCATCTCTTCTCCATACACGGCTTGACTTCGGATCGACTACGATATTCCCGCAAGTCGGTGGATCCCTCTACTCGATTTCCGAAGAACAACAGCTCGGTATGGATGGATTTTGGTTTTGATATGGAACTGGTATCATTGTGTCCGAGCTAGGAAAGGTGGACGGCTAGAAAACAAGGAGGCATTAGCTCATCCCACTATATTCTCGCGCAAGGAGAACTACAACAACCTTTGATGGGATTTTGTTTTCCTCCTTGCGTGGGAGCGCCCAGTACACCGCCGAGCGGTGTCGTGGGCTTGGGATGCTGGGTTACGCAATTTTAGCTTCTTGACTGCCGAACTGGTTTTGGCAGGGTGACAAATGCAACAAATCTCTTACTATTATAAGTTTACGATTATTTTACTATTAGTCTAAACCCTAATTGCAATTGACAAAAAAAATTACTTCAAGTTTGGTTATCTTTGGTGATGGTTTGATTATGTTCACGCTATTTGCTTTACTGTCTCTTGTGCTTGTTGCTTTCTCTTGTCATGCTTGCTACTGGCGTAAGGTTAAAGCATAAATACCGACTTGCCTAAAATGGGGGTCCAATCTAGGTACTTGCGGACTATAAAATAGTCAAAACGTTTACAAAGTGGGTAAGGCCACTAACTCTAAGATGTCCAACTAAATCCTATACGAAGTACGCAATCTCAAAACGGCAAAATGCCAAGAGAAATTAAAACATACAACAGCGGGTATTCGCTGGTGGTCACCTACCCAACTACTACTAATATGCTGATCTAAGGTAATCCTCTGGATAATAGTTAAACCGGTGCTATCCGGGATACCGGGTAAGCCTCGCCGCCCTTGCCTCCATTACTACCTCAGCCTCCAAAAGGTGGGACTTGTATTTAGGACGCGTTATATTTTGCCTTGTGAATATAGATAACTGATCAACTCTCTATCTGCTTCGAGAATGAGGAGGAGAAGTAGAAGGAAATCACTGCCACTGAAGTCGCTTTGTTTGAGGTCACTCGATAGGTCTTCAAAAACGGGATGAGATTTATTGGGATCATGCCGATTACTAGGTGAGTCTCGTTGATTAGCAATGCTTGCAGGTTACTATCCGCGTGAGTTGTAAATGGTTGAAAGTAGAAATGCTCGGCGGACACGTAGGTGCCTTAGTCACGCAGGTGTCTCAGACACTTACAAAAACCTCCATTCTTTCCGGAGGGGGTTTGACGACTTTCGTTTGCGAGCCCAGAACGGTATATCCTGGACTGATTTATCAGAAGTGTGAGGGTCTTCTTCTTCTTGAATCGAGGTGGTCTAGATGTCATGGGGCGAAGTTGATGAGCCAGTGATCGAGAGTGAAGCATTTCGCAAATTTTTCTTTGGTAATCCGTAGCGTTCGCCTTAAAATAGAAGTTAGCAATCGATTATTGATCTATATTCTCTTTAAAATTTGCCTCCTGTCATTCATTTCTTCAATTATCAAAAGACGCGCAAGTCAACTAATAGAGTGTGTCCCATTCCTTCGAGAAACATAACGACATGTTTGTCGTCGCAGATTTGGATGAAAGTTTGACAGTCAACTCTCCAATGTTAAATGAAACTTATTAATCATGGAGGTAATGATATTCTCGGCAATTGGGATAATGATGGGGCTGGAGCTGGATTGGCCTTGCTCGCTCATAACAAAGTGGAGTCGAGGTGATTGTCGAAACGGTTGAAAGCAACCTGAAAACACTTTCGGTTTTATCCAGGATAACAACTTATTACTGCTGCTCTTTGACTCAAGCGTGTAAACAGTTCAAATGGAAAGGATAATATCTGGGACCTAGCTCTCCACGTCTGGCCAAAGAAGTTTTCGTTCCTGATTAGCAACCTGGACGGGATTATTATCATAGAGAGCTCCATCAATATACTTCCGTCCAGTGCATTCATTCCCAAATGGCTTGAAATAGCCCTTTGCTGCCGACGTTGCACGTCATCTATCAAGAAATATACTCAGTAATAGCGAATGAAATCAGAGTGGACTTCTTACGCCTCCCACATTTTCAGCTCTGCGTGTCCCTTCTCGGGTCGTTCAAATATATAGTCTATGAATGTTAGCGTTAGAATAGCCGATTATGTCGGAGGGAAATTTGCCCATGACATATCTAGCTCGGCATCCCGTTCCAAGCGATTATAATTCGTTACTATCACTACTCGCTAGCCAGTTTCCGTTGTTGAAACGACGGCAACCTTCCTCTGGTACCTTTCTTGCCCGTAAACTCCATCAAAGAGTTGATCCTCATAGAAGACGTGTTTCAGTGCTGTTTTAAATGGTCTACTTTTACATTTCCCGTTATGATGGAAGGTTATTAGATGCTTCAACTCGGCTATGTTGTGAGACTCCCGTGGAATAAATGCTTCGCGGTATAGATCTCCAAACTGGGTACGACATAGCTTGACAGACTAGTTCTTAACACTAAGTCCCATCGCAATTAAACCTCCAGTGCTGTTGCATATCAGACTCCTCTATTACCAGGGCAAATGAGTTCCTACCTTGTTCCCACAATCAAATCAAAGAAGTCGGCGATTTTCAATTCCCATAAATTCTTTTGAATTTCATCAACCACCATAAGTTCCAAAATACCTCTGATTCCTCCTCTGCGTTAAATAGGTACCTGTATTCACTAGTATAAGCTTGACGTAGTAGATATACTCACCCATGAAGAGTAGGGGTCCGGACTCCTGCAAGGTGGGGTTTCACAGGAATCTCCCACTTCTCGGTCCATTTCTCGTCTTTATGTAAAGGACAATGCTTCATCTCATAGGTGACCTTATTTTTTCTCGCGGGCGAATGATTTCACACGAGGTGTGCAAAGGACATGTCCGCAGCGAAGAGGGTGCTCGAATGAGCAGGGTCACCGGACTTTACACAATGCCTTGAGTGCTCTGCTATAGTTCTCTTTGTGATGAAGAAACAATCTTGGAACAGTACCTAAATAATGTCAAGCTGTGCTCTAGTAAGTTACTCCCTTCCTACCTTTAGTTTGATGCCGGACAAAATCAAGCATCACACATGGGGCGACCATATGTCCCAAGTGTTTGAAGATATCTAGCCCTGTAGTTTGTGGTATTTTGGGGTCATCTTTGATAGCTAAGGCTAGCCATAGAATGTTGCCGCCAAAGTCCTTCGGAATTGGGTTTAAGTTCCATGACAGTTGCACGAAATCAAATGGTTCATCCAGTCGATTTGAGAAATGTTCGAACTCTATAGATATGGCCGATTGGAACTCGTCGGCGTTGGACAGATCCCTTCTCCTTTGCCAAGCTTCCTTGCACCTCTTCTGCATTTTCAGGTTCAACTCGGCAACTTGGCTATCTACCAATCCACAACGTCCCTTCTGTGGAATCCTGACAACGCTGACTCAAAAGTACTGTTGAGCAATAATAAAATGCATGACGGCCCATTGCACCAAATAGCGACGTACGGATTATTACGTAGAACAAATACAACAATATCGGAGAAAGTAGAGAGCAATCGGGGGTAAGATTTCTCACAGCAAACTCCCTTCTGCATGTCTCTGCAGTATTCGCCCAGTGCATCCCTCGTTTCACAGCCTTATTCGGCTTGCGAAGTTTGCAAAGTGTGTGGGCGGATGAGGCTGTACTGGAACCTAACCTGGCCCTTGGTTTTGGAAGAGGTTGAGGATCATTATGCGTGTATTTGGCGCCCATCGGAATCTTCTCACCTCCATCCAAACCCTCCCAATCAGCATATAGCAGGGGAGATTGAGAATGGTATGTTCCGGGAGACTTATTTTTGGCCTCATGGCGACTCGAGTGACTCGACCATCCGGCAACATTGCGACAGCCTGAACTACGCATGCATTTCCAAATGGTCCCCTATCCTATTACCTCTTGACTACCTATCTTGTTGATTGTTTCATGCCCTCTTTCTCCTAAGTACACCCCTGAACATTCCGGCCGAGTCGCGGGAGACCCGAGGCCGCGGAGGCGGAGGCGGGAGCTTCCGCAGGGTCCGTGCAATCCCCGACATTGCGGGGTAGCATTGGGAGACGACGGCTGGTAGTACGAAGCCGAGGCATAGCAGAGGCATATACCCTACCTAGGAAGGTGCCTGTCTATCTACGGATACAATGTACAGAAGCAGCACGATATCGGGCTTGGTCGGGCTACCTGTCTACCTCGGTAGGTATGTTGTGTTATGTATAATATTATCTATCTGTCTATACAGTATTATGCCATTGGCCCGCCCCCCCCCTAAGGCGCCCCGGCGCACTTCTCGTCAAACGTGCACCAGAAGCTGCTAATCGCATCGTTCGAAGGCCCCCGCAGCTGCCCATCCTGCCGGTTGGTCATGCTAAACAGCTTGTTCTGGCAGTTGTCCAGGTCGTAAAAGGTACAGCAGCCGCCCTGCACGTTTAGATGTGTAACGGAGTTCTTGTAGGCCCAACCCATGTTCTGGCACGCCTCGTAATACAGCCGGAGCACGCGGACGTACCCATCGTGGTACGTTTCATACGTGGTGCCGCGACTGCTGTCCGTGTCGACGGCCATATACAGACTGATCTGCTTGTCGTTGGTGCCGGGGGGCAGCGCCTTAATAGACGGGTCGGGCTGCCGGGACCAGTCGACGTCGTAGGTGCCCCATTTGCCGTCGAACTTGACGTTCTTCATGTCTCTCGCCGTGATTCCCGCCGTCACGGCGCCCACGGTGGCCAGGCAGTCGACGTAGCCCGGGTGCTTGAGGATCTTCTGCACCACGGCGGAGTTCTTCGCCGCCTGCAGCGCCTTGGTCGACGCGAGGCCGCGCGTGCCCGTCTTGAGCGCGTTCACCACGGTCGCGGTGTTGGTGCCGGCGCCGAAGATCTTGCCCAGGAAGCCGAACGGTCCCGCCGTCTCGGTTTCGACGACCGCGTACGCCTTGCCGCTGAACTTGATCACGTAGTCGGGGATCTGCCCGTCGCGCGGTGGTGTCGGGACCGCGTCATCCCACGTGCTGACCAGCCCGTCGACCTCGTCCTGCGACAGCGCGTTGATCTCGTCGGCCGGCCATGCCTCGATGCTCGCGAGCGCCACCCAGCACCAGCCGGAGCGCGCTCGCTGCTTCTTCTGCTTCTCCGCCTTGGCCTTGCGCTCCTGGTCGCTGCCGGCCGTCTTCGTCCGCGCCTCGTACTTGGCCTTCATCTCGTTCTGCGTCTTCCGCGTCGACCGGCAGCTGTGCTTGATCCGGTCGCTGTTGATCGGGATCTCGCGGTGGTCGAACGTCTTCGGGTCGGGGCACATGTGGTTCGGGTCGTCGTCGATCCCGCAGTCCGGCGTGTAGTCGGCTTCGTTGGGGGCCTTGCCGCGGCGGGTGGCAGCCGACTGGCCGGCCGGACACCTCTTGTCGTCGTCGGCGATACATTGCGGCTTCTCGGTTTTGGCGTCCTGGCCGCCCTCCGCCGGGTCGAGCACCAGCCCGTCGGGGCACTTGCCCTTCTCCTTTTCCGGCCGGGTCGCCACGCACGTCTTGCCTGCCGTGTCGGCCTTCTGGCCTGCCGGGCACTTCTTGCACTTCTTGTCCTCGTTTGGCACCTCGTCCTCCGCGCAGCCCGTGTCGTCACGGATACATTTCGTGTGGTCGGGGTTGGGTTTGGTCTTGTCCGGGCAGGTGCGGCACTTGGTCTTGTCCTTCTCGTCCTCGACCTGCTTCCCCTTGCACCGGGTGCACTCCGACTTCAGATCCCACTTGAAGCTCAGGCTGCCGGTGGCCGGCTCCGTGTTGAACTCCTTGGCCACGGCCAGTTTCACCTCGGCGTATGTCATGGCTCGCTGCACAGCGCGGTCGTCGAGTGCAAAGGGCTCGCCCACAAGGCCATGGTCTGCGCGAGAAACAAGTAGGTCGTCATTATGGGAGGAGGTGGTGGGGATGGCAGAGACGGAGGCGAGCGTGAGCGATAATACAAAGAGAGAGGGCTTCATGGTGGAAGCGTGGAACGAAAGGACGCCGCCTAACACCACCGGTGCGAGAGCAGTAATTAATTAATAAGAAAGGCGACGAAAACCTTAGGTGAGAGTGAGAGAGAGAGAGAGAGAGGGCCCTGTTCCCTTTTCGACCATGCTGCCTCACGCTGCCTATATCCTTTCCCCAGGACCCTAACAATGCCAACGTCGAACAGCAGACTGGTAGTTCTCTCCACCAGCATCCAGGCGTCTACGCCCCTTGGAACTTGGCGCAAGCCCAGGGACAAGGTTAAAGGACCCCCGGAAATCGTGATAGGATTTGAACCCCAGCACGACTCTACACGACTACTCGTACCAGCCTCGTAGTACGACGTCGCATTGGCAAGGGGCTGTGCCTTTCTCCTGAATAATCCTTCGTAAGTTGCAAAATACAGAGCACACGAGTAGTGCCTAGGTAGGCAGTACAGAGTACATCTAGCGCTCACCAGACCCCTACTTGGCACAGTATCACTTTGTACGCATTGCTCGTACAGGCTTGGCTATACTCTGGTGGAATCGTTGCACTTATTCCCTCGACCATTTCACGACCATCTGTCCAATCTATCTTCCGTTTCCATTACCATCAATACTTACTTGAGGCCTTTGCTCGCCCCTTGAATTGTGGGAATTATATCCGCCGCGTTTCAATTTTGCAGTCCCTCGCTTTACAGCTCGGCGCTTCCTACACGTCATTCGAGCTCTTTACATCGGCCATCAACAACTCCACAAATTCACAATCACCGAACGGCCCTTTAACACTGGCACAAACATATTATTAAGCCCAACCAACCCCAAATCTCCCACCATGCACGCGCCGATTCTTACTACACTTCTACTTCTCTCGTCCGCCGAGGCCTTCATATCCTACCTCTACACAACCCAACAGTGCACCGGGACTACAACTTCATACAATGCTACTATCGCCAGAGGCTGTAGCACCGATCGCGCCGGGGAATTCCTAGGGCTCATCAATAAATGGGACACCGACGCCGACAACAAGGTTATCTTCGCGACGTACAGCGACAAGAGATGCTGCCATGCAAATCTGATCAAGATATATAATTGGTCAGAAGGCTGCGAGCAGGTCGCGGGTGGGGCACAGAGTTGGAGGGTGTTGAATCCAGATGAGCCGGATAAGGGGAAGGAGGGCGATGACTATAGTTGCGGAGGCGTGTCGGAGTTGTAGGTGTTGTGTGGTTTTTAGGGAAGGGGGAATGCGGAATGCGGAATCTAACTATACAAGAATGCTCGAGACGGAGATAAAGGGGAGAGGATTGCGAAGCAAGGGGATTTACTGTCTATAAAGCTAGATCCGTTTTTATACCTACCAGAGCGTGTTAGGACATAATAAGTTGAGAAAAATACATATTTCAAGTTCTACAAATTGGACATTATCATCACACTTACGTTCAAAAACGACAACCCGCGATTTCAAAATACTAGACTAAGAAGATGTTTCATTATGTACCTGGGAACAAACTCCAGCATATGGCCCAAAATCACCCAGGTCCAATATCAGTCCAAAGGCACCGACTAGCCCTTTTTGTTCTTTAGATCTCATCGTATAGCTCTATATAATGCTCCCAAGCGCAATTCCGGCATCTTGCCGATTCTTGCGTACAGCCTTTGCAGAGTAGATAGTATCCCTAACTTGTCATACCTACTCCACGGCTCTAGTCCCTGCCATGCAATCTACGTTGCATGCATACTGCAATTTGCTCAAACTGGCTCTTGTCTTTATTTTAATGCGATGAATCAAAACCTTTCGATTTTCTGGTATGAGAGGGGGCCATGCCAAGGATAACAGTATTGACTGATTTTATTAGGTTGAAGCCAAGAGCTTCAACTGTAAAGCAGTTGGTCCCTAGAAGATACTTTTTGTTTTGGGGGCTGCTCGTATACTAGCGGTGTTCTAATTTGCTGTGGTCTGTGATAGATAGGCCCCTGCTATGCGGGCGTACAACAGCAGGGTTCAAGAGAGCTGAACAAACGATCCTCCTTAAATCCTTCAAAAGCACTCATCCGCTGACTGTGATTATACGACATGGTTCTTCTAGGCGTTTAGCACGAGACCATCATTGAATAATAGGGACTACTTTGGCGGTGTACAAGCGCTTGCTTTCTTGTACAGTAGCTGGCTGCATCTCTAAGCGCCCCGTCTAAGAGCTACATAGGTTAGCGATCACCAGGCTATCATTTTCAAAACTAGGATATATCTCTAAGTAGTATTCCTCTTTGTAGTAATAGGTACTGTAATAGCCCATAGGGTTAGTTTAAGCATTCCGAGCTGGTGACCCACGGCGCTCGAGCTATCCTGCTATGTCCTTAGCCCTAAGAATGCCGCAGTTCCGTTTTTGATCCATGGTTGACATCTGTGCCTCCCTCGCCTTACTAGTAGCTCCACCACATCGATCTTCCATATCTCCGCGGTCCCGATTAGACTATTAACCTGGGCAGGTCGCCAATATGCTCGTAGATCAGGGTAGTTGACAGCGTGGCGCAGGAGTGGGCGCATAACTATGCTGGGCTTGGCTTTACCTAGTATTAACGTCCTGTTAGCTATAGAAAGGAGCATCGACGCCCCGACACGACAAATTATACTGTAGGAACTCGCTCAGGAGCATCGCGCGAACCACAAGGCCGCGGATGTGTGCTATACGACGTAAGGAGATGAGCGTGCTTCCGGGAAGAGTCGGCGGCAGGAGCCGGGAGCAGAAGGGGAGAATCCTTTGCACGTCTGCCAGCCACCTGAGCAGAGTTGCCTTGTACGGAGTTAAGTGCGCGTTTCAAATCAAGCTTGGCATTACTTGGAGCTTAATACTGCCCTATAGAAATACTCTCCCCCCCCCTAATTACTTGTAATAGTGGGCCCCCTGTCCTCCCATACAAAATAGCCCTACGGCCAGGGGGCCCACTATTACAAGTAATTAGGGGGGGGAAGAGTAAGGTTGCGACTGCGACCAGGGACAAACGTGTTTATGACCAATTATTGCCGGGGGCTCTAAGAGTCTAATAATAAGGATGGCTACTTGGCACAGGGATTCCGCGCTGATTTGTCAAGGTCGTAAGGAGCGGTGCTACTACAGAGTACGAGTGGGCACTCCAACTAGAGTCACCACTTCGTAGACAAACACGTGTAGAACACAGCTCAAGGCGTACGATGTACGTTGTATAGCACGCATTCTATATACCTGTATTAAGTAATATTTTAAAGTACACTTTCGATAAGCTATTGATTCAAGTTTTTTATATTATAATAATTGGTAATGTGCTGTTTACTCCTGTAGGATTGCCTATAAAGTAACAAAGATAAAATGCTTACGGAACACTCTATCAGTGCTAAAAGTGTCCTGCAATCCCCCCTGCCTCGTCGTGATGCAGCCTTTGCATCTTTCTCTTCGGGGGCTGCTCGTAACAGGGAGGTTAAGCTCTGCCATCATGGGTGCTGGTCTAGGTCAAGACGCCGCAGCCACCCTCCTACGCCCCCTAGGGTAGTGGGAAGGAGGGTTCTTGGGACCTAGAATATAGATCTCTGCAGAAACGGCACAAGCAACCTAGAGTCACTCGCCTCCTGTTCTTATCGCAGTCACCCGGACTCAATCCTTAAACTTGTCAATCATTGCACCTGAACATTGTCTTTTTCACGTCTATCGACTCGGCCACTCGTTTCAATATGTTGGCCCTACGGTCTACTCTTGTTTTCTCCACGCTCATCCTTACATTTTTTTTTGTTGTAACGCAATCTTTTAAACTCAACGACAATGTAAAGATACAAATTTTAGGGAAGCCAAACCAAAAGTTCGTTCCTATCTCCCGCATCGTTATATCTCTGTTTCTAACTTGTCCGGCTAGACGCGTCGCAAAGGAGCACAACCCGCCTCCATGTTCCCCAGATGGCTACCCCAAGATCCTCGGCCTCAAGGACACTGGAGCCAAAGTTGGCGTCCTGCCGTATACATCACAAATGGTCAAGGATGCAAATGCGAAGCACGCGGCCAATGCTACTGAGCTCAAGCTGCGAGATGTGGACAATGCCCCCGTCAAGCAGTCGATGGCGAAAAGGCTCTTTAAAAGTCTCAAAAGCCTCACGACTCTCGCGAAAAGACGCAATGTGAGAAATTGCTACAACCCTACATATGTACACTTGAGATATTAACCCTCTTTCAGGGTCAGCTTCGTTTATGGTATAACATGGCTAGTGTCAAAGTCGCTACCGACACAGTCGACATGATCAAGTGGAATTCCATGCAAGGTATCGATATCGAAAGCCAGATCATAGCTACCGGGGACCTGTCTGGGTGCACTGTCCTCGTCGTCGCCTCTCCCTTCGCAGTCATTATGATCCACGTATGGGAACGTCGCGTCGAGAAAAATAACGATTGGATAATGTATCCTTTTGGCGCAGCCCAGCAACAAAAGGATGTTGAATTCGCCGAGAGAGGCATGGAACTCCTCCAGTTAGCCCTTCGTTCTTTTCAGGGGTCTATAGTTGATGGTTTCGGCAATTGGTTTCCGGTGGATACGACTGTGGTGCAAGTTGTAGCGCCGGGCAGCAACCGGGAATATGATAATGATCCTAATTTTTTTAACCCCTGGTATACGCTACATGATTCGGGTAACCCGATGGGATTGATTTACCCACAAGCTGCAAATACATTACAGCAATTGGCCGTGGCTGTGGTGATTCCTGGAAGGCTAGCGAGGCAGAGCATGGTTAATTCATATCGGAGGAGGTTTTCGAACGATATAGCTCATGGGATGGATGATGCGGAGTTCGTTGTGATAAAGCCGAAGATTATGGATAATAAGGAGGTGTGGGCGGTTATGCATTACGATGATGTTCAAGCAGTGCCGATTGTAAGGCTGTCGTAAAGGGATTAAACTAATATACAAACTATAATATGTACTATTAGTGTGACGTAGGTACGTAACCTACGAGGGGATATATATTTACCCCTAAAATTTGAACTCTCTCTTCATCTCTGTTTAACTTAATATCTTTATACCAAAGTCAGAATCAGTATTTCAGTATTAGATAACTTAAACAGTTTTCTTCTACTTGTACTAACCTTACGTCCCTAAATATCTCAATGAGCCTGTATATTATCTTTCCACAGCTTCAACAGGATGCCTATTCCTCCTTAGTCTATAAATGTAACTTGCTTTAAGTTAGTACCTGTACTGCGGTGTAATATTTGCTCTAATAAAGTATAAGTGACTCTTATTTGCATTATTACTTTCTCTATGACTATATGTCGCTCAAGGAAAGAGCAAAACTTGAACTGAGAGGAATGACTCCTTATTAATACGCTGGGAATTGTTTAAAGATGGGGTGGTTATTTTTGGGTTGAAATTAGAGTAGGTGAGAATAGTAGATTCTGTTATTTAAGTAGCTTTCTTATGAAATCGCCCCTTATCGCTGCTTGGGACATGTTGGGTACGTGTAGCACAACTATAAAGTACGAAGCCTATAAGATCGGTGTTATTTATTGTTCTATTCCAATGAATATATTATTGAATTACTTTAAAGATGAAAAAGGTAAGAAGGGAAAGGCATCTGAGGTGTTGGAAATAAATAATGTTTTTGGTATTATCTTGTTTGGGTAGATAAAAGAGTAAATCCAATAACGGGGAAAGCCTTTCCAGGTATGTGGTTTAGATAGTATTAGGTATTGAGAAGGGGAATTTGAGTCTTGAGTTATTTTAGGGTGGGTACACAAGATATATATACTAGGTAAATATGTAGATCTGTAGAATCTTAGATGCTAGAATTGAGCTTAAATTGGTCTATTTAGAACAAGGCTATAAACATAAACTAATATAACATCGCCCTTCTATATCCCATCGTTTATATCATGTGTCATATTATATTCATACATACATCATATTTCCAGGGCGTTTCCTAAATTCCAGGGACGCCGATTATGCCTCTGAGCGCTGGGACGACTCGCGGTAGGAAATACACAAAGAATATTGCAGCGAATGCTACTAGTAGGCCGGTAAGCTGCGAGGACAGGGGTTAGTAAATATATCATGGATATGTGGTGGATGGACTTGAAGGGAACGCCGTACCTTCTCAAGCCAAGTATGGAAATACGCGGCTGTCATCAACAACATGTAAATACTCAGGCCCGCAACACCCAACGCAACCTTCGCCCCAATAGTCCACATCTTAGGTCTTTCCGCCGTCCCATACTGTATCTCATTTGCAGCCTCAACCTCGGCGCTTTTAACCGCGCCATCAAGCATATACACCGTCCTCTCCTCCTTGGACCCGGTCGACCTGAGCACAACATACAACACCTCCTCTAGGAGGAACATACTTCCCAGAACCAGCAAAAACACATGTCCGGAAATATCATGACCGCCCCTCCACTGGCCCCCCCCAGCCTTACACGTCACGCCCGTAACGAATAGTCGCGGCATATCCATATCTACTTCCCCCGCCTTCGCAGCCTCGAGCGACTCGCACTGCCCGCCCGTGAGGACGAATCCGCGGTCAATAAATGGCGGGCCGAAGAACCACTGTGTTATGACTATCCACCATATCGTAACAATCCCCCATCTCAGGGCACCGCGGATCCGACGGCGGGTGAGGACGAGGGAGAAGGGCGTGCCGGTCGATGGGTGCGTGAAGAGGAAGAAGAAATAGCTGCATGTCACCCACGCCCAACCTTGCTTCACGAAGAAGACATTGAAGAGGTTACTCTTCTTCGCGAAGTATGAAGGTGCGGTTTCGGGGGCGTGGTGGGATTGCGTGGTTGTGTTGTAGGGCGCCGCGCGAGTGGAAGGGTCTAGGAGGGCGAATACGGAGCCGAGGATGAGGATTGAGGGATAGAGGGAGAGGAGGACGGTCTCGAGGGTTGTGGGAATGTATGGAGGGGTTCGTCGTATTATTGTGGTTGAAGTGTGGTCGTTTGCGGAACTGGAACCTGGCATCTTCTGGTTTCGCTGCGTGCGCCGAGTCGTCGCGGATGCTGAGTCCATTTACTGCGAGTGCCGTGCTATAAATATAACATGAGGATTTGAGAGTTGTCGGCTTCTGGGTTATAGGTTGAGAGCGGTAGAGCGAATATAGATAGTTCGCAGCGAGATGATGTGGATAGAAAACGAGACAAAGAACCGAGGTTTGGTGGTTTTGTGCAGCTGATGACGTTTTTGAGTCCTTTGGCAGGGTGTGGCAAACTCGGGGGAACAGATTCGGGCCTGTGTGTGGACGGTTACAGCACTTCCGTCCCCAACCCCACGTCGCAGCATTTACGACTGAGGTGAACTGCGGCATGAAGTACTCGCAACCCGTCCTGACCGTCTCTTTGCCCTGCATCGTTTCCAGTTAACAACACATACATACCTGCTGGCCAGAAAAATAATCGCTCCCAATCGAGATCCCGTCGCATATAATCGCATTCACCCCTCTTTATAATTATAGGACAATGGTATCCACGCGCGGGCATCCCAAGGAGTTCCCAGAGCCCGACTTGACGCCCACGAGATCAGCATCGACGCCCTCACGCGGGCGCAAGGCCAAAGGCAAATGGGCTCATACGCCCTCCAACCTCTCCCTCCTATGGCTATTTATCTCCCTCCCCCTCGTCGCATGGGACACTGGCTACGTGATGTTGCGACCGCACAGCATGCCCGGCGGGTACCTTCACTGGCCTCTCTGGGTGCCATATGATCTCTATGGCAAGGTGGACTACATTTATGGCTGGAAGGCGTTCAACGCAACCAATGGCTTCACGGCCGCGCAAGGCTTCTTGAATATTGTGGAGAGCCTGATGTATGTGTATTATCTGTATGTTGTGCTTGTGTTTGGCAGGGCATCAGCCGCGCGTGGACGTGGCGCGCCGAAGCCGAAGATTGCAGGATTTTTGGGTGAGCAGAGATATGTGGATGGCTCGAACGGCGCGTTGGCCGTGGTTGTGGGATTTAGTGCTTCTGTTATGACGTTCAGCAAGACGGTGCTTTATTGTGAGTATATTGGCAACCCTCAAGGAGGCTTGGTTCTGATCTGATAATAGGGTTGAATGAGTATTTTTCTGAGTTTAAGAATATCGGCCATAATAGCCTCTCCGATCTAATCTTCCTTTGGATTATACCTAAGTAAGTGACTATGTTGACTTCACATTCGGCGCTAATGACCTCTGTAGTGGTGCTTGGCTTGCCCTTCCATGTTATATGATCTATGTGACTGGGAGTGAGATACTTCAGGGTCTGACGATTGCTGCTGGTGGAGCTACAGCCTCATCCGACGATACATCTCCTGTGAAAACAGAGTAAATCCCGGGTAGCTGATAGAAGTCGCTGCTTCTTGGTGCCGTTCTGTTCGTCACCTCCGCAATCTAGTACCTACTTACTCCACCTTTCTATTTTTGAAATCTGATTATCGAAGAACATACAAGATGAGGGTAGATGATGGTTGCTTTTACTTCTTTGGAGGGTTTATCTGTACAGAGTACATATACCCCGTTATCTGGAGTGAATACAGGAAGGACTCCAGAGACGAAATTATTTGAGATTGGATGATTGATGGAATTATTTCGCACCAGAGGCGTCTGCTTCACGTCCATAGGTGCATATCAAGAGATAGCTATCTAAAGAAGGATGATAATATATTTAGATACTAAACAGGTCTATTTCTACAAGTAATATTAAATCACTTAAGTCCACAATGCATCCACTTTGATATAAGTCGACACCATTAATCACTCTCGCTTACGCACGCGAACCGAGTCAAAGAAGCTTGATGAAAGAAAAAAAACAAGGCCCCCTATTATCCTAGTCTAAAAATCCATCATGTCTCGTCTAAACAAGGAAAAAAATACAAAAAGGATGCAAAAATAAGTGCCTCGACCCAGAATTGAACTAGGGATCTTCGCATTGACATGCCAAGAGTGGTATACAAGTGCGACGCGTTACCACTGCGCCATCAAGGCCTTTGAATTGTCTGGAGAAATGCTTATCAGTGTATATGCACGTGCGCGATAATATGTGGGTGGCAAAAGATGACGGGATGCTCGGCGTGAGCTGGGTTGGCTTTCTTTTCTAGGACAGTTAGAGAGAGATATGTAGTGATGGGTGGTTTGGTTTTGCTTGTTCCTGTTCTTGTTCTGTAATGCCTATTCCACGCTAGATGTGCAAACTTGGTCTCATCGCACGATGTGCAGATCCCATAGATATAAGCAGCCCCGATTTTGTTATTCATTACTGTACTCTACGCACGTTAATGATACTTGTTACTAGTTGGAATACTATATGCCGGATATCATGCTACCACTATGCATGAAAAATTACTAGTAGAGGTGGTGCATGGTGCAAATAGCTGGGTGGATAAGTTCCCAGGAAGAAAAAACTCATAGGCTAAGAATTAGAATCATGTCTAGAACCACCTCGCGAGACCGCTTAATAGCTTGTATATGATGTCTGGGGGGAAACGGATATGGGTAGGTAGGTATTGGTATTGGTAGGGCTTTGGAAGAGGCGTTGATGGTTGATAGAGTTTGGTTGAGATTGTAGTTGATTATGTAGGGTGGCTAATGAGATTTATTAACTTATTGGCGAGATATTTACATTGCCAACCCGAGAATAAAGGTAAGCCTGCGATATGGGAGGGATCAAAAGTTCAGTTGTTATTTTTGGATTACTGATAATATATATAATATATATGTACATGTTGCTGCTAACAAGGAGTTATGGTTGCAATTACACAATCCGAGTCTTGCCATGGAACGGACTGGGAAACCACGCCTTTAACTCCAGAAATGCCATGACATATTTTCTAACGTCTAATGGACTACTAGACCCAGGGATAGAATGCTGTCGAAATTGCGCTGCCGATATAGAATTGTTCTTTCAGAGAATTCGAACGACGAAATGAAAGACCTGATGGTAGCCGAGTAAAATAATTTCGGAAAGGGTATGGAGAAGCTCCAGGTGTCGGTATAATTGAGTCTGGTTATAAGCGGCGGAGTAAGGGCTTCCCTCTACTTGCGTTCCTTTCTCCTATCTTAGAGATGGTGGCTTGTAGATTGATATTGCTGGAAACCCCCAAATGGAAAAGTCACAAATCCTCCGGTTCCAGAAATATCGGCATGATTATTTCGGTCGTGTCGGGCTAAATAGAGGGAGGTCATAACTTACTCAAGGGACATCAATGGCCATAGCAGTTATCTCAAGTACTGTGATAGATGTCGTAGGCAAAGCCAAAGACCACTCGGCGTCAGCTCTGCAGCGAATGCCAGCAACTAAACTGATACCCACGCCCCAGTGCGACTAAGCTCCCTCAAAGGGTGGGATTATTATCATGTCCATGCTCTTAACAGGCTTCCAAGCTTGGCCTAGAAGTATAATTGCACTGCCAGTACTTCGTATAGAATCTTCAATTGGCTTCGAACCGAATTCCTGACTTAGGACCACCGCCAGCGAAGGCGTCGATCCATCAGTATACCGCTAGGTCCCAAGAGACACTGTATTTTGAGATCGAACGGGTTCCATGTGGAGTGTAGCAAAAACGTAGAGCCAGATGGTTCGAAGCTGTTGGGTAGCTGAAGGATAGTAATTCCGCCGTCATGCTGAATATTGATGGCTCGTCCCGTGCATACCAAGTTGCCTAGCCAGTATCTTTCCTTGAGCCCAGTGCATCCTCTACATCCTATACCGCTTGGTAGTGAGGGTGAGGTATCGCTCTTAATCATGGTCGACTAGGTTGTTCACAGTCAATTGTCTTCCAACACACACCTCTCTGCGCCATTGGATTGGTGGTGCTAAAATGGCGAAGCTTCGGCGCTCAAACGGTGGACTGTGTCTGACTTGGACACATGTAGTGCAGGTCATCCCTTTCGCGATTACCCTCGAACTGATTCGCTGGTTCACCTGATTTCCGACAGACAGATGTGATGTATCGCATGAGGTCTCAATCCTAGATAATGCTACAATGTGATCAGTCTCAAGACCATAATGTGGTTTCTGAGCCAACTCTTGCTTCACAATCCGTCCTGGATTGTTACTCACTAGATGTGTACCTGCCTGCTTCCGGGAGTATATTTTGGTTTCCCATAATTCCTCTTGCCCTCAAAACGGTAGTGGAGCTTTATTGTGGTCGTGAGAAGGAAGGTTCCACCTTCTCCAAAAAAAAAAAGGAGATCAAGACATGAGCTCACTTCCTTCACACATGAGTCAAGGCGTGGAGTGAAAATGGGTGGCGACAATATGGATCCGATGTTGATGAAATGCCCACAGAATAGCCCAGCACGGGGCAGTGTGCTCCGTAAAAACCAAGCAAGACAGATGGCATTTTGAGGCTTGAGCACATCACGCCGAGAGGGCCCGGATGCCAGTATTGCACAATAGAAAATTGGACACAATATAAACGGAGATTTACAGCTTCCAAATCAACTCAATCCAAGGTCGCACTGTGCTGATCCCTCCTTCTCAAATTTCCACCCCTGAGGCGCATTAATATCATATCGAGATTATCGCGGCGCAACGGGGAGCAGAAGGAAACGGACAGCCGGGGACGTCGCTTAATGGTTCGACGGCCGTGGGCGGACTAAGTGGGCGGCGGTGGCACCGATCGTCAGCACTTTAGTTGCAAATCCCGTTTCAGAGGAGGAGGGGTTCCTCGAGATTTGATGGAGTTATCTTGCACGCAACCTGGGCGAGCAGGAGAACACCCACAAATTCCACAACAAAGGGGGAGCAGCCCGGTTGAGAGCTTCCTCGAGGCCCCGCTCGGTGCGGAGGACACCACGATATTGCCGCCTGCGAAGGACGAGATCTACGTACACAATCCTCTCGCAGGCCCAGATATGTCAAATAGGACGGACTCCGTAGGAACTTAGTAGGGGACCAGCCAACTTGGCGTGATGGATGGGAAATTGGCGACATCGGCGGTCCCTTGTGTCCCCTGAGAGGCAGAGATGAAGTTGCTTGGCCAGCGTGCTACTTGGGTGCTACTTAGGATGCTACTGGATGCTAATGCAGGTACCAGAAAGGAGGATGCCGCCAACCACAGGCTTGTTGCTCCTCTAGTCGCTGAATGATTAGCCACCACAGACCCCTCAGCAAACACAAAGCACTTGCCACTCCATCATACTGCAGATAATGCAGCTTGGTTCGAGCTGCCGAAGAGCTGCCAATAAGTACATCGTACACTTCAATAGGCGCATGTCCCCGCGCACGCGACTACAAAGCACTTAGCGCCATCAAAAGGGCCCAGAGGCCTAAAGCCCAATAGTCCAATAGTCCAACAACCTCTTCCAAGAACCCTCGAACGCTGCTTAAGCTACTTTAACGCCGCAGATGTTCCGCCCAATGACGGGCTCCCCCTTCACCGTCTCCTCAGGGGTGAGATAAGTGAAGTGCAGATCGTCCCATGTATTTTACTATCCAGAGATTTGCCGCCGCCCGTGCCCCATGTCGAAATGAGCGTGTGCAATCTGCTGCGCCGGCGGCCGTTTGCGCTGAGTCGTGGAGTTGGGGTGGAGTGGCTAAATTAAGGGATTAAGCACATCTTACCCCGTAAAGTGGGAAACAGAACAGCGGCAGCCACCAGTGGACAGGCGGTGGACAGTACCACGGTAGAGTACACCATTATCATTGTCCTGTCCAGCGAACGGCGCGGAGCACAAGGGCCCTGACAGGCTTCCACAGGAACTTCTTCCTTGCACCCCGACAGGCATCGCATGCGCCCAGGACGCTGGCCCAAGAGGCTTTGTTTAATCTCCCAAACACTTATATGGCCGCGAGATCCCATCTTGTTGTTCTTCTTTCTTTCTCCTCAGCCCAAACAGCCAACTCTTCACCTCATCATAACTTTGATCAACTTTGACTTCGGTCGTCCATTCTTTTAAAGAACCAGCTATCTAATCCAGCTCTTCAGCACCACCCATACAAACTCCACCCTCCAAACAAACAACCCCCCCAACAACCTTCAAAATGCAATTCTCTATCGCCGCCGTTGCCTTGTTGGCATCCGCCGTCATGGCACACAAGTCCCCCGCTGCTGAGTCCACCGCATACTCCACGGTCCAGGTCACCATCACCTCGTGCCACCCAACCGTCACCGACTGCCCAGCCCGTTCAACTGTCACCTCTGGTAAGTTATCTGTCTATGGTGCTGTCTATTTCGAACTAACGAAAGAATCAGCCTCAGTTATCACCTCAGTCCCCAGCTACGCCAACTCCAGCGCCCCCGTTGTCCCAACCACCGCTGTCCCAACCGTCATCGAGACCCCGGCCCCAGTTGTCCCAACTCCTGAGGTCTGCGTCCCAGAGACCGTCACCAGCACCGTCACCGTCACTGCCCCAACCGGTGGTGTTGAGACCCCCGTCTCTCCTCCAGTTGTCCCAACTGGCGGTGTTCCCGGTGTTGCTTCCCCAACTGCTAGCGTCCCCAAGAACGTCACCGCCCCAACCAGCCCACCTGAGTTCGCCAACGGTGCCTCCGGTGTCAAGGGCTCCATTGCGTTCGCCGCTGTTGCCGGTGTCGCCGCCTTCATCTTCGCATAAGTCATCAATTGTTTCTGAAAAAGCCTGACTTTCGCAGCCGCACGCTGAGGAACCAGGCTATGGCTTTTACGAAAATGAGCGGGCGCGTCCTGTTTTAGATGCGCTATACACAATACATCAAAGGGGAGAACGGAAGATGGATTCTTGTAATTAATTCAAGGGATATAATCGGCGTGACATGGCCGCTTTGGAATGGTAATGCTTTTTTAGGGGAGTCTTGTATCGTCTATAATCTTTTGCTTTTTGTACATACTGCATTGAATGTCACAAGAAACGAACAGACCGATCCTCCCTAAACCAAATTTCAACTCCCTGACAAAAAATCCACTAATCCCCCATATGTGTGATATGAACTTCTAAAGTGACTTCTAACAATTGAATTGAATATCTCTACGAGAGTGTGTGGAGGGCGGACACACTAGCAGCGCCTATCATCGCCTGTAATTTCCCCTGTTGTTTCACTAAATATACAAAGAACTTGTTCCTGGATGCGCCACTACGCTACTCCCGCTACTCCCTACTATGTTGAGCAAAGGACCGGTTCCCCCTCCAACGCCACGCCGCCGCTTCCTCCTCGGAGATTGCGCCGCACTTGGGGGAGTGACATGTCAGGGTGCGCGAGGGAATTGCCAAGGGTGATAATCTGTCGCCGCAGAGGTCCGAGTGGTTGGCTCGTTGGCGCGACGGGATTATTACAGTACGCACAGAGTGTGATTGACAAATGAGAAAGTGATGAAAATAGGCTAATAGCTTCCAAAGAGGGTGATCCGCGAGTGTTCTCGGCTCGACAACGAGCGAGCGAGCGAGTAAAGCCGATATTGCAGACGGAGGTGATTAGGAGCATGGAATGAATGAATGCTACTGTGGCTTTTTGTTCGAAGTTTGAATCAAATCCCTGGATTGATTACAGTTGTTGGTTAAAGCTCTTCACTCCCAAAAGCGGACAACCGAAGATCAATTATGAGCACAATCATTGTGCCTCTGGAATGTATGTATGGAAGCGGCAGAGAAGGAGATATTTTAGGAAGTGTGTCTTGTACGGATTGTTAAGGTTAGGATCTGGTGTGTACTCCGTAGTACTTGACCTGACTGCATCCATTACGAAGGAGTGGGATCTGGAATAGAAGCTTGTCTGCGGTCATGTTTATTTTTGAGGATGCATTTATTAATGGTTGTTTGTGCTTGGAGATATCCCTATTAATTATGAATACCAACATGTGCACAGCCTGTGCATAACTGCAACACGTTATGCAGTTATGGAATCCAGATGCTGCACATATAAATGCTTAATCAGTTATGAGATGGAAAGCGCCCGAGCCAACCAACCAACCAACCCACCTCGGTCTAAATTTACATGCCAACCTTTTCAGCCTTGTGACGACATGAGATGTAAACCCGTTGAGCGAGAGACAGCTCTTTATCTTGGAACAGCTACAGTATTAGTTCCTATTAGCTCTGTGGTTGAGTTCAGCTTTGTCTCCAACCCCAACTTCATGACAAGGAAACCCGTGGCTGGAGTCGTTGGATCCGTTGGAATATGAGTAAGCCGACGATGGGATTGGTGACTTGCGCGTTCAAAATCAGCCTCGCTTCATACTCGTATCTACTCTGACGTTCAGCAGCCTAGCTGGGTCCGGACAAGGTTTACATCATCGTATGACGCTATGCTGCTCGTATATCATATCGATGCGATGGAATTGCATCTAGCCACGGTATCAAGTCAGCGACATGATCGATGGGTGCCAGCTGCCATTGAATTGCTGCAGAGGCCGCAACGAAAAGTAAGTCCGGACAATTTTCCATAGTGGTGGATCTCGCAAGCTTACTCGTAGCATCATAGACATCCGTAGCTTCCGGCGTCATCTCAAACTCAAATCCCTTTCGTCCATCCGCCATTCGATCGTGCCAGCTCTAGTAATTAATGGCGCCCGCGATGGCGGCGCAGACCGGCGCAGTGTCGTCAACGGCTTCGGAAGAAGATGTGGACTTGCTTTCAGCTGAGACAAAACGCCCATCGTCGAGCATTCCTCCCTCCAACCTCCAATACCGCAATGGAGTATCTGAAAATACCGACGATATGGCGACCTCAAATAGTCTCGATGAAGGCGACGAGTCCCTCATCGAGTTGTCAATCAGCGAGGCTGCAATGCTTATGAAATCACCAAGTACACCGGCGATTGAGAAGGCTGCGGCAATGGACGACGTGAACGGTGGTGGTTTTTACGATAGCGATGCGGAAATACCTACCCCTCCGGCAGTATATCAAGCGCATTCCAGAGAGGAACAATCTTCCGACGCCTTTGCAGATATGGAAGGATTATCTTTACGCCAACCGGCAGAAGATCAATCCCAACCAATTGCTGGAGAAAATGTCCCCTTTCCAAAGCTTCCATCGCCAAAGCCTGAAACCTCAGCACTCCCAGGCCCATGGTACCCGGGCTCAAGAGCGATACAGACACGGCGGACAGAACCCCAGTCGGCATTGGCCGGCGTGTTCAATAATGCGAGGACAAGGTCACGATCGGCCAGCCTGGAAGGGCTAAAGAAGTTCTTGCCCAAAGGCTTACCTTCGATGCCACAAATAGGGCATTTCTTTGGGTCTTCTAATACTTCACACAGCCAGGGGCCCGCCGGTGCCTCTAGAGACATACGTCGAACCCGGCCCTCAAGCATGTTTGTTCCAGGCGCCACTCCACGTGGCGGTTCTTCCCCCCGACCTCGGGGTTACAGCCCAATATTTGGGACAACGCCAGAATCATGCTCGGAAAATAATCTCCTAGCAGGACCTCAGCGATCGAAATCAATAAGACGAGTTACTTCCGATGATTCCTTACTCTACCACTCACTATCCCGAGCCTCTTCTCTCGGTGACGATTCGCGATTCGAAAATCAAAACGAGCAGGTCAATTCGCGTATCAAGGCTATTAGAGACACTCTGCAAGATAGATCCAGTTTTAGGATGCCGCAAATGCCCAGCATGCCAAGTATGCCCCGTGTCGCTGGTTTTAACTTCAACATGAACTTTTTAAACGCCAACAATAGCCCTGCTCGGTGGAGAACAGATACTGATTTGCTGCCAGAGATTTTACCAGGCCACACAAAGGACAGGCCGTCCGCGCTTCCTAATCCCGCGGTTGCATCAGGAATGGTTGGTGCTGCGGCCTCTCAACCTCGGACGGCTATGGCTAGTCTTGAATCGGTAGCCAATGCACAATCCGTAAGTGCGATGGATCGGGCCCTTGAGTCTCTTACGGGTGATGTTGTGGTGATGGGTGGATATCGAGGGTCAATTCTCCGCTCAACGAAAACAGACCGTCAAGTCTGGGTTCCGGTAAAAGTTGGTCTGAATATACGGAAGGTTGACTTGGAAGTCGGCCTGGAGCCAGAGGACGAGGAAAGGATGGAGGAATCGATATACCCATCTGGAATGCTTCAAAATATCGGACCGGTCGATATATCGAAACGGCTCTTCAAACGACTTAGCGAGTGCGAGAATGCCCGGAATGGAAAATTGCGAGTTTGGAATTACGGTTATGATTGGCGACTAAGCCCCCATATATTGAGTCGGAAACTCGCGGAATTTTTGGAAACGCTACCTTGCAATCAGCCTTCGAAAGATGGCTCGGTGCAGGGGAATGCCGGTGCTATGGTTATCGCACATAGCTTAGGAGGGCTCATCACTCGACATGTTGTCAACCACCGTCCAGAGCTATTCTCCGGCGTCGTTTACGCTGGAGTGCCGCAATCGTGCGTAAACATTTTAGGCCCTCTGAGGAACGGCGATGCAGTCATGTTGAGCTCAAGAGTCTTGACAGCCCAGGTTAATTTCACCTTACGGACAAGCTTTGTCCTCCTTCCTGAGCATGGCCGTTGTTTTGTGGATATACGCACGAAGGAGCAGTATCCAGTAGATTTTTTCAGCTTGGATGACTGGATCAAGTATCGCTTGTCTCCTTGTACGGATCCACCATTGCCACCTCGAAATCAATCTCCAGGAGGGTTAGGCGGATTGCTTAACCTGTCATCAAATATTTTGAGTGTTCCAATTCCGGGAAAGAAAGTAATTTCCAGCTCGGCCGACAATGGAAATTATGCACCACATGCCCATACAATGAGGATTACTCGAGCAGCTGATATCGCCCGGGAGGTAGACCATGGCACCGACCGTACCTTAGCCCCCAAAATGGACAGTAAGCCCAACTCCATGACCAAAGGCATATACACGAACCAGTCCATCTCCACAGCCCTAACCATCCCACGCTCAAAAGCCATCGCCTACCTGGAGCGCACCCTCGCCGAGACCAAGAAGTTCAAACAAGAACTGCGTTTCCGCCCATCGCTTTCCAAGCCGAACCGCTACCCGCCCCTCGCCGTCATCTACGGGAAATCCATCCCCACCTGCTACGGCGCCAAGGTCGATGGTCGGGAAGGCATCCCGTGCTCGGATTCCTACGATAATCTTGCCTTTGCGAGCGGTGACGGTGTCTGTCTTGCAAGGGAGGCTATGTTGCCCGAAGGATATAAAACCGTTAACCATGGCCGGATCAAAAGCGACCGCGGCCACGTTACACTATTGGGAGATTTAGAAGCAGTGGGTAAGGCGTTAGAGGCTGTTCTAAAGGGGAGAGCCAAGGGGATTGGGTTGGGTTTGATAAAGGAGACGACGGATAGCGAGTGAGCGGGGTATATACCCCTATCCTATCTACTTATCCATACGCGGCATTTTTGATAGGAGTTATCGTTGGGTTTCTTTGTTGTATAAACAAACAACACATATGTCAGGCAAGAGTTTTGAAATAAAGGAAGCATTGGCGCGGGGGCAGGCGTTGTATTTGTATAACATCTAAGAACTTGTTTAGCATATGCATATATCTGCGAGGGGTATGGGAGAGAGTAGATTATATATACACTAGAAAGAAGAAGATATTAGAAATATATGAGCAATCAACTAGATGATATTCAGTTCCAGAAGGGGTTTAGAAGAATGAAAGAAAGAAAGGATTGTGAATGGGTTACTTCCAGCAGGGAGGCCAAGGAGGTTACATCTCAGATCGACATAGGAAGTAACGTCTCTCCCTGCGTCCCGAGACGCACGGTGTCACGAGACAGATTTATGGTTTTAGAATTATAAATTTTAACAGAGTAAGTCTATGAATTTGCTATCAATATGTTTGTTTCTTTAGCTATTTCTCTCTAAGAAGACTACTTAGAAATAAGAAAAAGACTGTAGTTGATTATATTGTCGATCTTTTCAATCACGCTCCTGATCGCCGCTTCGGCTGTCCCCCCCGCTTAATTGCAACTATTAAGATTTCTTTAAAATTCGGAGCACTTGGGGAAAGCTTCTGTAAATAAATAATATGGCCCTAAATTTTGAAAACGCTAAAAGAGGAAAATGATAATGTCCGGGAGTTACTCCGGTTTGAGCAGAAGGGTCAAAAACAGAACGGTTTAGTTTCAGGATTTAGTGCTTACTGGTGTGCATTAGCCTGTTCCAAAATACTGTATATATTCAGGGCCTGTTATATTTTCCTCAGCCACTCATCCTAGGTCCGGTCATGTGCGTATAATGTCACGTGTGTAGTTTAGTCAATACGGATTAACTTTTATCCCTAAATACTAATGCTACATCGGATCCTTGAGATTAAAACCGTACACTGATACCTTGGACGATATAAAAGATACTCTCCACCAGTGTTAAGCTACACATTCTCCTTGTCCCTATCGAGATACACTATCAGTAAAATAAGACCAAACTATGGGACCTTTATTGATTAGCAGGCGATTGGTCGGTTTTACGCGCTCGCCGTTCTTGTGCAACGAGGGCAACATTACCGCGAAGCTGTCCTCTAGTCAGCTAAATTGATATAATTGCCAGCTCAATCCAAATCTACGCCCACTAAGCTCGCCAAGCGCACCTACGTCACAAAACGTCTCTTCACCTCAGCCAAATATCTTACGGCTGAGAGCAGCGCCGTCTTTGTCTGCTTCTTCAAGTTCCAGCACGCCACCAATGGAGAGACCTCGCCGGCGCCGAAGACCAGCATTCTCGTGCCTGGAATGCAGGCGACGAAAGATAAAGTGCGATCGGGAAGATCCGTGCTCACATTGCGTCTCTGTCGCGATCCAGTGTGTGCACAAGGTCTTTCGAGATGCGCCCGAGACCTCCCCCGTCCAAAGCAGTACGCAGGGCCGAACAGCAGTCTCCTCACCAGTTGATACCCCATCCTCCCGTGCCCAAAGCCGACAATCTCGTACACATAGAATCGTAAACGAAAAGGGCAGAGTGACGTCCAGGCCTCTCGTCGCCAGAGCGGATATATCACAGTCCACACCAGCACTAACACTCGCGGGGCAAATAGAAGCCACCACAGCTCAGACCCCACCAACCACCCGTGCCGAAGATGAGCAGCCAAGTGTACATGCTCTTTTACGACGGATACAGCATCTCGAGGATTCTCTGGCAACGAGTCCCGTACTTGCGCACTCTGAGCCTGGAGGGGAATTGATTGATCGCCAACCGGTGCATCAAAATACACGGGTCAGCCTCTACAAGACAAGGACCTTAAAATGGAGCTACTGGTTGGGTATGGCTGATGAGGTATGGCCTACAGTTACGTCCTTCTGCTACTTTGCACTGACTTCTACTTCAGTTTGACCTTATCGTAGCTTGCTATTCCGCGGCTGGCGGCGGCCTCTTTGCTAGCTACGGCGAAACAGACGACGACGACAAGCCGAACTCCTTCCACGGGCCTGAGATTGAATCCCTGCTTGAAGAGATTGGGGATCTCCTGCGAAAGTCTAAAGTGTTCGCAAAACGTCTTAAGACGGGGCGACCAAGCAAGTCTCTCGGAGGAGCTGGCTTTGATCTTCGCCCCCCCTCCCGCGAGCTGGCAGACACCATGGTCGATCTCTACTGTACCTCTTTCGAGTCGGTGTATCGGATAATTCACGTGCCTTCGTTTCGTTCCGAGTACCAGAGATACTGGGACAACCCAGAGAGTGCCACGGCCAGTCAGTGTCTCAAGATCCTCCTGGTAATCAGCATAGGGTCAAGTCTACACAACCATGGGAATGCCACCACGGGTCTACGACAAAAGGTACAACAATGGGTCCATGCTGCTCAGGCATGGCTTTCCGGCCCGCTGGAAAAGGATCGCCTGGACGTCAGGGGGCTCCAGGTCTACTGCTTGGTGATCCTTGCACGACAGATCTTCTCAATTGGCGGCGACCTAGTTTGGGTGTCGATGGGGTCGGTAATTCGTACGGCCATGCAGATAGGGCTTCATCACGATCCCAAACACCTCCCGGCGATGTCGTTACTACAGGCTGAACTCCGAAGGCGGTTATGGGCTACTGTGCTCGAGATGGCAATACAGTCGTCCCTAGACTCGGCGATGCCGCCCATAATCTCCTTAAACCATTTTGATACCGAAGCACCTTCAAACTACAACGACGATGAGATTGATGAGTCGACTATCGAGCTCGTGCCCCATCCGAGAAGCACCTACACAACTTCCTCAATACAGCTTATCCTCCTCGACTCGATACCGACACGCCTCCGCATTCTCCAGCTACTCAGCGGCCTTAAAGCAGAACTATCTTACCAGGACGCGCTTTCACTGAGTTCGGAACTGACCGATTCATATTCTGCATACAGGAAATTCGGCCAAGAGAACATCAACTCTGGTATGACCCCATTCCACAGGAATCTGATCGATTATTTCGTACGCCGATTTCTAATCCCCCTACACTGTTTATTTTCCAGCAAGGCGCAGGCAAACCCGATTTTCTATTCTCTCAAAGTTAACCTAGACGTTGCTATGGCCATCGTCTCTCCCGAACCAGACGAAGGCTTCTCACGAATCATGGCTACCGGAGGGGGGCTGTTCCGCGAGGGTTTCTGGTATGCAACATCTATCATCGGCCGCGAGATTCTTTCGCAAGTCTCAGTGCAGCATCGAGAGGGGACGCTCCTTCGCAATGCCCAGCACCGAGAGCTTCTCAAGCAAGCCGTGAGGGATATGATCTCTTTGGCGGTGGCGAGGATGCACCAAGGCGACACCAATGTCAAGATTCACATGTTTCTGAGTATGATATTGGCACAAACCGAAGCTACGGAAGAAGGCGTGCCATGTGAGCTCATGATTGCACAAGGAGCAAGGGACAGCCTTCAGTTATGTCATGATCTGCTGCAGACACAAGCCGGCACTGAGCCCGTGCCGTATTACGACGACGCGGCCGTCACGTCCTCAACTTTGGATTGGCTGCCGGAAAACTCGCTTTGGGACTTTGACCTGGAATTCTTTCTGCCTGATCTGGGGCTTTCGTAGCCTACTAGGCATTCGGATATGCTGTTGTTATCCCATGGTTGAGCAGGAGGCCAACAGTAGGCCCAAGAGTGGGAACATCAGTAGCATACCAAGCTCTGTCACCGACCATTGCTTTTGCCTTGTGTAACCTTTCAGTCCTCTTAGCTGCTATTGATATCAGGTGATTAGTAGGTAAACCAACAGTATCGTTCTTTGCGATTTTTATACATGTTTCTTTTTTTGATGCGCATATGGGACCGGTTAGGTCCGTTACTGTATAGGTTTGTTACACCCGCTCTGCTTACAGCCGCTCTAAGACCCTGAGGCTTACGTCCGTCGCTAGCTCCGCAGTCGCATACGTCCGTTGGCGAGCGTATAAAGAGCACCACATCGGTAAGGCGTCTCATGATTGATGGTATTAAGATTCAAAGAAGTAAATTTTCAAATGAGAAGAAATTAGCTGTCTCATCCAACGCCCCTGCTCATTGCTCTTCCGCAATGCCTCTGAAAATTCTTATTAACGGTGCTGGCATCGCCGGCACAGCCCTCGCCAACTTCCTCGTGCGGTCCAAACAAGGACACGACATCACTATAGTCGAGAGAGAATCCAAGTTCCGTACCGGCGGAACCCAGCTTGATTTGAAGTCATATGGTGCCCCGCTGATGAAGAGGCTGGGACTGATCGATGCGGTCCGAGCAAGGAGCATACACGAGACAGCTTTCACTTTCGTTGACACGAAAGGCAGAGAGTGGGCGAGATTCAGCGTCAACGAAGCCGGTAAAGGATACAAAGGAGTGACGAGCGAATATGAGATCATGAGGGCGGACCTGGTAGCGGTGTTATATGAAGGGAGCAAAGCGATCGTTACAAAAACCTTAGGAAAAGAGTCGCAGAGGCTGCGGTACCTTTTCGGAAAGCATGCGATTGAGCTTACGCAACTTGACTCCAGGGTCAACGTCGTATTCTCAGACGGCTCTTCAGACGAGTACGATCTTGTTGTCGGTGCGGATGGCCAGAACTCCCTGACGCGGCGTATGCTATGGGAGCCCAAGAAGGACTACGATTCCACGCTCAGGTATACGGGCCACTCGGTTGCATACTTCCATATGCCAAAATCAGAGGAAGAGTTCAACAGTACCTTGTTCAAAAGCTGTCTTCTACCAGGGCTCAAGGTGCTGTCGCTTCGCTGCGCGCACAAGGACTTTACACAAGCCATGCTTACGGTATCCACTACAGAGGAGTTAAAGGAGATGGTTAAACAGCCGGTTGAGAAACAGAAAAACCTATGGGAAACGTTATATACGGATTTCGGATGGGAAAGCAAACGAGTACTTGCCGAGATGCGGACTACTGATGACTTCTACACGACCTCGGTTGCTCAGGTCAAAGTGGACACATGGTCCAAAGGGCGAGTTGTTCTGCTGGGCGATGCCGGATACTGCCCGAGTGTTTTAACTGGGCTTGGAACCACGGCATCACTCGTCGGAGCATACGTGCTTGCCGGCGAACTCGCGAGACATGGAGACAACGTCGGCGCAGCGCTAGAATCTTATGAAACGGTGCTACGACCTTACGTGGAAAAAGTTCAGCAACTTCCTCCTATGAATCTCGCTATATTTCGTTCCAAGCTCGGGTTAAATATATTTTACTTTGCTCTGGCAATTCTGTCGAAGCTTAAGATAAATAGCCTAGTCAATGCGCTGATGAAGGATGAGAAGGAAACCTGGCAGCTCCCACAGTATCCGGAGCTGGAATTAGAGGAATGAGCATGGCATTTACCGCCGATATTCAGCTTTGGTGGCGGATACCAGCCCCAATGTATTTGTACCATTTTTCATCTTATCTGAAATATACAACATCTCATCTCTCCATTTAAGCCGGCGTGGATCTTGCTACGCCTGTGAGTAGAGCTGCTTAGACGGGTACATGAGGGTGCCCGGCCTTACTCATCGTATTACTTTAGTTTGCGAGGGTCATCATACGTTACTGCGAGAAATGATACGGTAACTTACATGAGATATATTACATACAATGAAATTTAATCCGAACGTCAAACAGTATCAGATTTCTTAAGCGATCCAGGCAGGGTCTGAGGGAATCACGTGCTACTATCTGTACCGTCACAGGCTGAATTTTCCGGGACAGATCCACCCCTGCTCAGCCACAAGCGTCGTATCCACAACTTAGCAGCCACAGGTATTACAGTATAAAATTTACAGAGATTACTGTAACCACGACGCAGCTGACCAGGGTCGCTGCTCGCTTAATTGGAGGAGGTAGCAGCCTATGTAGCGATGTCGTATGACATAGCACGCCCTGGCCGCCACAATCGTGACAATATCTTTGTAGCTTTATAATAAAATCTAAATGTTATATCTAATCGTTCTATGTATTCAAAAGGTAATAAAAGTTTGATAGTAGTGTCGTAGGTCGAGGGATCCTATTATTGTATAAAAGTAGGCCTTCTGTAAATTTAGGGCGGTAGCAACGACGCGATAATAATTTTCGGAATTAATAGGTTAGCAGTGTTCGGGGGAAGTATACAATGCACTAAAAAGAAAATAAAAAGAAATTTTAATATATTCACAGAGTTAAAGTAGCTTAAACTTGAAGTACCTCAGATTTGTCTCGTTACAGGGTACGTCTCGGCACGCAGGGATAGACGTTATATCAAATGAGCGCAAGACCAAAAGCAAAGGCACAGCGTGCCAACAAACACATACGAATCAAAACACGTAGAATTTCCCTAATTGTATTACACACCAAGCCCCGCGCGGGGCTGCTAATACAATATGCAAAATCATATCTGTTAATATAAACCACTATCTTACGTTGCACACCTTTCTTTTGAGTTTGCATGTTATACCCGCAAAATATACATCACGCAATACATGCGCACGCCATCTATAAATCCATACCTTACCAGAGGCCAAAAGTATAAAAAAAAACCCTCCAAAAACGCCGTTTAGGAATCCCATCCTGCCCTTCCCTAGCTTTCATTGAGATCACAAAATCCGAAAATATAACCTCATCCTTCGTTTTTTGTTTCAAATTCCGAATGAAATCTCGGAATATATAAAGTTAAAAGGGAGGAGGACAGATCAATCATCCCACTCCTCATCCAGCTGGTCAATCAGCCGATTCTCATCCTCGGGTCCAGACCCTCTGCCACGTCCGCGGCCACTGGATGACCCGTTAGCGGAGACGGAGAGGGAGCTGTAGCCCCGGCGTGAAGGGAGGAGGCGTGCACAAGACGATGTGGCGATTATGAATGTATCCTGTAAAGGGGCATTTGCGTTAGCAGAAGTGTTAGCTTTAGAGAAGAACAGAAGAAATGATTGCGGGATAGATGGGTAGCTTGTGTGTAAAAGGTCGGGATTTTGCAACGCCCAAAATTGTACTATGCTGTCCTAGCTAAGAAGTACATGTAGATTATACACTGCGGATTATGCTATGTTGATGATATGCTGAGAGGACAAAGGGAAATATCTTTACAGGACGGATGATAATAGGTAGTCTTCTCGACTTTTAACTTTTGTGTAGTTGGACGTGGAGGAATTCGGACAGAACAGCGCGATAGTGCCGACATAGGCAGTATCATGAGAGATGACCCGAGTCCCACGATGACCTCGATAAGTACGCCCTGTGGCCTCTCTTTGCCCCCATCAAAGGCCGTGCTTCCATCGTGGGCAGGATGCCATCCCTGACACTGGCGACCCTAGGAAAAACGCGCTGCTTCGCCCGTAGAAAACAAGTAAGCGCGCTCACCTTAATAAAACTCCCCATGCCAGCCCATATGCTGTAATTCGGCAGCTGACGCCACCCTCTCGCGTGCGCTACATTGCGCTGGTAGAATACGCCTCCTAGGAAGTACACGAGGATTGCGATGACGCCAATAATGGCGAACACGGCACCAGGCCCTGCTCCTTGTTTTGCAGGTTCCGCCCCGATGCAGGCGTCTTTTGAAAGCACTTCGAACGAATAGGCGCAATTATCAGGGTCGGCACCTACAAACGTTACGGATGGTTGGGTTGCGAGGGGGTCTTTGTCGCAGTGGAAGGAGATCATGGTGGACTTTCGGCTCGAACTATCTTTTTTGGGTTTCTCATCTTCGTCATCTTCTTCGTCTTCGTCGTCGTCGTCTGACTTTGGGTTTCGTTTTCGGTCATCCCGGCATGGAGAGCCATCCGTGTATTGTAGAACTAGTCGTCTCCCCCGGAGAGTGAGATTTGATGATAGTTGTCTGATAGAAGTCAGGAGAGGAAGATCAAAAAATTATAGGAATCTACCAACCCAATAGAATAGATCTTATCCTTATGCTCGTAGTAAGCGCTGACATTTGCCCATAGCTTCTTGTCAATGCCCACGGCATGCTCCGCTGGTTTTATAGCAGGAGCACAAATGTTCAAAGTAAAGTTGTAGGGGTAGTCATAACCCTTCACATGCCAATCGTCCGTCTTCTCGTGCTTGCCTGGCTTCTTCCCATCCTTCGGAGGCAGTATTGAGAGCGGTCGAAGGTCGTAAAAGGCACCGTTCGATCCCGCGACTGTACATGGGTCCATGACCTTTGGCTCGGCGGCAGTAGTCGCCTGGCTGTGCAATGCCAGTGCGACAAGAAGAGAAGCTGGGAGGAGTCGGGAATACATCGTGAGAATGGGAATAAAGATGTTGATATGTGGCCGAAAGGGACAACCTGCGCCGAGGCGCAACAGTATAAAGAGGGTGCTAGTTTTACAATGTTAGATTGGAATGGCGATGAAAGGAATGACTGGATAGTTGAGACTAAGCTCAAATAAACCTCCCAGCGCGAGGAGAGGATGTTGTTTGTGGAGTTGATAGTTGGTTTGGACACTCTGTAGGATTCCCGTACCTGAACATCGGTACAGCCTACGACGACTCCGGACCAGTATTTCCGTACTCCGGTACCTTGTCCCTTGAGCCACGGTGGCTGAACACAAACGGTGGCGCAGTGATTGGATTCCACACGCGGATTAACTTCGGAGGTCACTTGGCTGCAGTCGTTGACGTGGGAAACGCGAATACGAGCGGATCTCCAAACACCCGGCGAGTCCATATCGTCCCATGTAACTAATGAACCTGTGGGATACAAGTACGGAGTGCTGTTGACGCATGGTGACTTGATATCTCAGTTTCCTTTCGATCATATCATTTCTTCATTAGCTGAACTTGGTTTTCATCCAGTTCGCACAATGGCCCCCAAAGCTTCCAAAGCCTCAAAGGCCGTGGCTAAGCCTGCAAATTCCCATGCCCGCCCTCACGGCTACGAATTTGCAGGACCGTAAGTCATGACCTATACTGTCTTCCTCTTTCTAGACTCCTCTGACACTCACAGGCCCGGCGCATTTGCCATCTCTTTTGGTTTACCAATCGCGTGCTACGTTGCGCAATTGCTCTGCAACGATATATCTGGCTGCCCAGTCCCCTCCGCGCTCTCTCCTTCAACCCTGACAATTGAGAAGCTCAAACAAGATGTTGGATGGCCACAAAATGGGATATGGGGGTTGACAAACTGGGATGTCTCTGCAAAGGTGCTGGGTTATTACCTACTCTCTCTTGTCCTCCACCGGGTGCTCCCTGGACAGGAGGTCGAGGGCGTTGAACTCTCGTCAGGGGGAAGATTGAAGTACAAGTTTAATAGTACGTTTATTTGGCGGAGTGATGCTTTGGTTTCAATGCCAATACTTACCCCATATAGCTTGGTCTTCATCCATGGTCACTTTAAGTATCTGCTTAGCTGGCACTATCGCCCAAGGCACCGAATTCCCCGTTTGGACCTTCATTTACGATAACTTCCTCCAAATTCTCACAACCAATATCATAATCGCCTACACCATCGCAACATTTGTCTACGTCCGCAGCTTTAGCGTAAAGCCAGGCAATGCCGAGCGTCGAGAGCTGGCAGCTGGTGGGCAGTCAGGAAACATGCTCTACGACTGGTTCATTGGGCGAGAACTCAACCCCCGCGTTACAATTCCCCTTATCGGCGAAGTCGACATCAAAGAATGGTGTGAGTTGCGCCCAGGTATGTTGGGCTGGATATTGTTCAATTGCGCATTCATAGCGCGCCAATACAGGGCATACGGCACCGTGACCGACAGCATTTTCCTCATTTCAGCATTCCAAAGCCTCTACGTCGTTGACTCCTGGTGGATGGAACCGTCAATTCTTACCACTATGGATATCACGACTGACGGCTTTGGCTTTATGCTCGCATTTGGGGATCTTGTCTGGGTACCATTCATCTACTCTATCCAAGCTCGTTATCTCTCAGTATACCCACTTACTCTCGGTATCACCGGCGTAATCCCAGTTATTGGTGCAGCTGGACTAGGATACTACATCTTCCGCAGCGCCAACAACGAGAAGAACCGCTTCCGCACCAACCCCAAGGATAGCCGCGTAGCACACCTGAAATACATCGAGACCAGATCCGGGTCAAAACTGCTGACCTCCGGATGGTGGGGTGTCACAAGACATATCAACTATTTTGGTGACTGGATTCAAGCATGGGCTTACTGTCTGCCTACCGGAATGGCTGGCTATCTCGTACAGCACAGCTCTACCGCCCCCGGCACCGGACAATCTGCCGCAGATAAATCATTCGTGTATTCCGGTCCTACGGGCTTTACCGAAGTTTTGCAGGGCTCTGCAAGAGGTTGGGGAATGATGTTCACGTACTTCTACTTGATCTACTTTGCAATTCTGTTGATTCATCGCGAGAGGAGGGATGAGGAGAAGTGCATTAGAAAGTATGGCGATGATTGGAAGAGGTACACCGAGATTGTACGATACAGGATCGTTCCTGGTATTTATTAGAGGAAGGAATATGTCACGACGATGGAGTAGGAATGGGGCAAGGGGAAATCCAGGAATCTCGCGACGGATAATGCACATACACGCACACACGCAACTATAGCGCTCCCCGAGCTAGTATGTGTGCTAGATGGCATGCGCCTAGTCTTTATAGTTATACTTTAATGAATAATATTACCTTAGCCTCTTGTTCTAGACGCTCAACTTGGTGGTCGCATTGCTCACAATTATTAGGTAGGAATGTATAATTTAGTCTCCGAGGCCGCTAATAAGTGCAAGAGCTCATCGAAGCTACCCATGGCGTCTAACATAACACCAATCGACTCATATATACCAAGAAAATTTAAATATCTAATCTAGACTAGCAATGAAAGTGGTTATCAGCATTGAATTATGTACACGGATAATTCCCTAGCATGTCTAGGTCCATTATTGTAGTCGGAAGTACTGTAGAGCTCGATACAGCTCTAGGGTAGCCGACAATAGTTTGGGATACCAGCTGCATTGCATTTTCCGCACTCCATAGCTTCTCCTCTTTTAAATACATTCTTTTTACCCAAGACACTCTAGGACTCACAACCCCCCCTCTTAATGGTGATCAGAGTGGGACAGAGTGGAGTGCACCGATCTACTAATCACCAAGTACACACCTGGCACTGCGCTTCCCATCGATTGGACAAGCATTTTCAGTCGATCAGGCTACAGAATTCTTGTCGGAGCTACTCCGGAACTTACACTGACATTGCTAGTTATAAATTAGCTGTCATCTCAGAAAGGCTTGTCAATCATAACTGCGCTGTCAGTTATAAATACACTGCCATTCAGTCTGTACGAAAAATATGAACATGTACAAAAGCAGCATTATTTAGTATAGGCCTTAATATTTGATATAAAGGGTTGTATTATGCTGAGATCGGGTATCTGTGGATGAGGCGAGGCAGCCGCGGACGAAAGAGCACTGGTCAAACGTTACTGGTTCAGAAGAGATAACTCTCACGAAACAATTTGGTTGTCCTGGCTCTTTAGCCTTGTGGCTTATGAGACGAACAGGTTATTCGTTTTGGTGCAATATCTAAGTGGAAGCTTTCTTGCCCAATACCGTAGTTAAGCTCGAAGAAGCAAGCATAGAAAGTGTATATGAGGAGAAGTACTTGACAGGATTACCTGTATTCTACAAGCAGCACGAGACCCCCTCTGTGTAACCATAATGTACTGTCAGGTTCCAGAAAACAAAGCTATAACTTCGGGAGTTTACAGATGTTGGTTTTAAAACACAAAAGCCGTGAATTGATAATTAATTAATAGCACTCTTTTAATTCTACGAGGAAGTTCATTCTATTGGTGCAGCATGGAAGTCCTCCTAGTGATCCAGAATCCTCAAACACCCCATATTAGGCCTCGGATTCCCATAATCCATTACCCATCCTGTATTACAAATTCATCAACTCATAAACCACCACTTGATGGTGATTATACACTCGCCTATCCAATACCCAAGTTAAAAATATCTTCCCGCAAAGTCTTCATTCCAAAGTCCGGGCGAGGGGTAAATTCCTCGAACTACTCCCCACATAAACTGTCTTCGGATAACTTGTGATAGCCCAATCCTGCTTCACTGGATCCCAGTTACTCAGATCCCTCCTTAACAAATCTGCTGTAAAAGTCGCCGTCTTTCCAGTATCGATACTTAGGCGCTCGAAGCCCCTTAGTATGTGCTTGGGATCATTAGGTCCACCGAGAGAGATATAGAGTTGCGGAACTTCTTCGCCGTTTCGAGCACCAGTATTGGTTATAGTAGCTGTTACGGTGTACATGACGTCCCAGAGCTGTGGATTTCCGCCAGGGGCTCCACTTGCGGCAAGTTTGGGCTGGGGAGAGTCCGAAATAGCGTTATCTGGGAGGAATTTGGATGCAGGTTGACCGTAGCTGGGGTCGTGGGAAGCAGCACGGCCATCGGTCGAGGAAAGATATGGGTAAATGTATTGCTCAATGCGGGTTAGGTTTTTGGGAAATAAGTAGTCGTTAAGGTTGGTGGAGTGGTTCCCGAAGGTTGAGGCTTGCTCAGTCATTCCTGTCGTTGGCGTGTAATGACCGGCGTGAGCGTTGGTAATTGTGAGGTTAGAATATGAGAAGGTGGTGTATGAAAGCCCGTATCCGAATTCATATATGGGAGTGATGTTTTGGCGGTCGAAGTTGCGATAATCGATGAAGACTCCCTCGGAGAAGTTATCCTGTGGGGCATCTCGACCATTATTTGGTGTGTACAAAATGTCCGTACCGTAGCTTTCTCGCGTTGGTCCCCAAGTAAATGGTGTACGAGCAGCAGGATTAACCTTGCCGTACAGAATATCCGTAATGCTATTTCCACTCTCCTGGCCCGGTACTCCAGCCCAAAGAATGGCGGTAATATTTGGGCTGTCATGCCAACCGGTAAGGATCGTGGGGCCTGTCGAATGGATCACAACAATCGTGTTGCTGCAGAGTTTGGACACATTCTTGACCAACTCATCCCCAGAATGCCAAAGTGTGAGGTTTTGTCGGTCACCCTCGTTACCATCGACGTTGACGAAACCTTCTCCGGAATCCGCATTAACAAACACTATGGTAGTCGCATCGGTCTGAGAAACTAAGGCTTTGATCTGCGGTGTAGCGTAGTTATCCAGTATGCTCTCATATCTTGTGCCGTCCGCAAGTGCTTGCGCCTGCAAAGCGGAATCAGGGGTGACTAGAGGAGTCAGTAAAACTAATGAATAGAGAATTGCAAGGCGTTATCTAAGCTCACCTAGGTACGGGAAATTAGCACTTCCTGAGCCCCAAGCCATGCCGAGGGTACCATCATCGCAACCTCGGTCTGCACATCCGTTTGGCCCCTGAAGATTAGGTCCTGCATCCTCCCCAATGACCGCGACGAATTTTGGCCTTGAAAGAGGAAGAGTATTATTGACATTCTTCAGGAGTACAGTGGCTCTGGCACCAATATTTCTGATTAGGGCACCATGATCTCCGCGGACATCGACATGCCAGTTAACTTGTTGAACATTCGATCCAACTGAGGCATGGAGTGGTCCATAAGTATCAAGGGTCCAGCTATCAAAGTTAATCGGAGGCTCATCCAGAGTCAATCCAACCTTAAAATATGCGGACATAATCCGGAGTGCCATATCATCTAGGCGGTATTCGGGGACGGTCCCATTCAGAACAGCAAGAGTTAAATTCGCACCCCAGTAACTGATGCCAGAGTTAAATAGTGTATCACCTGGCATAGACATATCTAGTCCAGCTACAGCAGAGGCGGCACCCGTGTGCTGCGCTTGCCAGTCACTCATGACAAAGCCTTGAAATCCCAGTTCATCCTTCAATAAATTGTTCAGGAGCTTTGAGTTCTGACAGGCATACGAATTGTTGACCTGGTTGTAGGAGCACATGATGCTTCCAAGACCCGCGCGTACAGCATCGGCGAAGGGCCACAAATACAACTCGTGCATAGTTACGTCGTCTATATTGGATGAGAGTGCCTCATCAATATCATAGCCATACCCAATTGCTTCGGGGACTTGACGGAAATGTTCCTACATAGATGTTATGTCTTGGCCTTCCCTTGTTGAGAGGATTGTGGCAAATGGTTGAGATATCGGATGGCCAGAATACTCCACTTAGGAGAATAACTCAATAGACGCCCGGAAAATTTTATCTAGCACGAGTCCCCTCTTTATCCGAATGACTCCATTCAGAGAATAGAAGGGGAATAGACCTTGCAACCCACCGCTAAAGTCGGGAAACCGGGAAATCTTTGTCCGCGTAGCTAAAGAAATAAGGAAAATTACCTGCTCATTACCAATGTAATGCTTTGCGCAAGCAATGACTCCAGCATCTTGAGTTCCTTTGATGGTCTCTGCAATGGCCACGCCAGCTACATCCCATTAGCATTAAAAATCATGATCATAACACTCATTTTGAACATACTAAGATAAGGGTCAGGAGAGAAGCCCTCCCAATTCCTTCCGCCTTCTGGTGCACGACCAAGCGGACCGGCGACAGGCCCAAGCTGAACCGTAACACCCTTGGCCTTATGCTCAGCACCCATAGCATGGCCTCGAGCATAGAAAAGGCCTCGGTCAAAGGTTGCTGCAACAGTCTGTCCAGATGAAAAGACACTATTGTAATCCGTAGAACGAACGCCAACTGGAGCATCCTGCATACACATGGATCTGAGACCAAGTCGTGGGATACTTCCTGCTTGGCCCACGCATTGTTCTCCTTCCCAGCCAACACCTTTGCCACGCTCCGTATTAGTTGGGATACTTATAATGTGGTAGCCGGGAAAATGGAGCACCAGTTACTCACCTGTCGTTAAGTTTACTTTCTCCAGCAGGGTGAGCTGTGAAACGAAGTCCTTAGCTTTCGCATAGGCCGCTGACCACTCGCCCTGACCGTTCATCCATGGCGAAGGATAGAATGGCGCTGATGTTGCATTTAAATTTGCAGAGTTGATACTGGAGGATAACTGATCGGGAGTTAGTGTTGAAGAGTGACTTGTGGTGCGGGCTGCCAAAGTCAACAACACGTCGACGGGGCCCCGCATGTTGCCGTTGCCGCTGCCGTTGCTAGAGGAGCTGACAGGCAGGTCGATAGTAATAGAATCAACAACACAAGTAATGGTTCAGAAGCTATTCAAATCTCTATTGTAGAGGATAATAAGCAAGGCTCCCTAATGAATGGGTCCATTGATAGAATTGTAAGAAAGATGGAAAGGGAATTGCGAGAAATGTGGTCGTGGTTGTTGTCAGTCGCTCGTATTTACTCAAGCAGGGGGGCAGCTTCCACCGCAGATTTGCCGAATCAAGGCACCCTCGACACTAATCTATACTTCCCTTGACAACGGCAATGTATTTTACAACGATTCTTCTATTTGCTACAAACACAACTAAATCTCAATCGGAATGAGCTGCGCTACAGCTCAAATTGATTAATTATCCGGTAGTTGATATGTTCCGTTCGAATGACTTTATTGAGGCCCTTGCTTGGCATGTGGATTCAACTTCAACCTCCGAAGATCTGCAACGAACGTCATCTATTTTGCTGATCCGAATTACACTGCAGCACTATCGTAGCGCTGTCAAACGCCGGGAACCGTTAATAGGCAAACAGAGGAGCAGGCGTACAACTAGGTCGTTTGTGACATATATATACGTCGTCCGGGTGTTACCTCGTGCTCCGCGTAGCTCAACCCCGGAAGATGTACCACCGCTCACTGTATCCCATTGAGTTCCAGGCCTGTTTGGCTATCTGATCTGTAGAATAATTTCCGAAAGATAGTCAAACGATCTGCTACAAGTGGGGATGTACTCGTCAACAGCGCAATGCACCCTGGCTACATTACCTCATTGCGCAGGCTCAACATGGGGGCCTTTTAAGCTGTTGTCAAGCCAACCACTTGCATAGACAGATACATATTATACGAGACATTTGGACGAGGAGATTAGATAGAATGGTTTGAATAATTTATACGCAGGATATTTGAAAAGAACATACGGATTCTGCAGGTTCAGGCCTGCTATTCCAAGCAATCCTACCAGAGCATAAAGCCTCATCGCCGCTGGCTCTCATTTGCAGCATTGCAAAGGCTCACAAAAATCTCCGCAAGTGATCCGGCAACTGCTCAGAGCCTTGGGGACACGCTGGCGCAAATTACTGCGTGCTTGTCCTCCTATATCTTGTACGGTATCACTTCCAGTAGCCTTATTGCCAAGTCCCGTATTTGTCCCATTCTCGCCATCACTACTCGTGGGCGGCAAGTCCGCTGTGGTAGGAGGACCCGGATTCAGCTCAGGCTGTAAGGTTGTCGAATGGATGCCATAGGCGTGCAGACACTCATTTATCATCTTTGCTTGCGCGACGAAATTGGCGAGGGAATCGTCGGATGTTACGATGTGAGCGGTGGCGATGGCTTTGTTTTGTGAGAGGCGCCAGGCGTGGAGTTCGTGGACTGACGCTACACCTTTGACCTGTGCCTTGGGTGTTAGGAGAGCGGAGGTTGGGATAAGGAATAGTGAAAAATAAGGATGGGAAACGGGTGGAGGTGAAAGGAATATGGCAAGAGGACTCCGTTTCACTGGAGTTGATAATACGTACTTGCTCGAGGTCATGCTTCACATCATCAAGAGAAACGCCAAGGGGCGCAGACTGTAAGAGAATAGAGCCCGTTCTCTTGACTACGCCATATATTTAGCACAATTCCAGTTCCAATGATAGTGAGGGGGTGGCCATACTGATAGGAATTGCAGTAAGCATTATCATAATCGCGATGCCAACACTAACTGCAGGATCCGCGTAGAATCTGCCTTCGTATTTGGCTTGCCATATCACTGCTGCGGCGATGATGACTCCAATGTTGTTGATGGCATCACCGATGACGTGTGTGAGTACGCTGAGCATCCCAAGATCATGGCCATGGCCTTTAACTTTGGAGGGGTTGGAGTTGTGGCGATGATTGTAGTGGGGATGGGCGAGCTACGAGGAAGATATGTTAGCTAGTGTAACTTTTGATTGTGAGGGTTGGCTGGACTGACGTTGTCAATTTGAGATTGTTCCGTAGTTTCATCACTATCATCGCTTGCCGGGATAGCATGTGGGCTATGATCCCCATGATCGTGTTCTAGTAATATCAGAATTTGGCTACCCAAGAAGGGTGGAATCCCCTCATACCGTGGAGGAAGGTTGCGGACACGATATTAAGGCCCAGCCCAACGCACCCTATAATAAGGACCAGCATCGGGTTTTCGACTCCTATATGAGAGTTAATTGGGCAGAGAACAACTGAGGGAACCCGGGTTTCCAACTTTGAATTGAAACAAACCGCTCTATGGCCTGCAAGAAGATGCTAAGGCCAAGCGCGACAAGGAAAACACCGTTGAAGAAAGCTCCGAGGAGTTGGGCTCTTTGCCAGCCAAATGAAAGAGCTTGAGGCGAATGTTCGCGTGCTGATACCTAGGAAATAGTCAGCGAAGGGATGAGGTCTGAGGTGGATGTAGGATTATCTGACCTTCAAAGCGGCAAGCGCAACGACGAAACCTAGGAGGTCATTTAACTTGGGAAAAGAGAGATATTAGCAATTAAAATGTATAGGGTAGCCCGCTAGTTATAATGCAGGGGATTTGAGCTGGATGAGTGACGGAGCACTAATGAAAGTTGAGGCCTCAAGGGCGAGAACCCAACTAACTACCAAGCGATGTAAGGTGAGAATGGACTCTTTATCATCCGCTGGGTAAGGTAACCTCTACACCATTAACTCACGAAAGCCTAGGCATTATGAAATCTTTTCAATCGTTTAATGGAACCATGGAGATGGAATAAACATGCGAAATCCCTACATAGTGAAACGCATCTGCAACCAGCGCAAGAGAGTGCGTGTAGAAGCCAACTAGGAGGGGGTCAGTTTTCAGTATCAAGGAGCGTGAGTAGCAACTTGGACATCAGATAACTTACCAGAGATCTCTGCAATGAAGAAAATACAAGAGATGCCGATAACGGCACTCAGGCGTGTTTGCCGGGATAACGGCATATTTCGCTTTTGCGAGATGCGATGCGATGCGATACGAGCGGATGATATATTGTACGGAATAAGAGACCTTGTGTATACTGATCTGCGCTCCGTTCGGAATATAGCGGACTTATATGGGAGTTTGACTTGGCCTCAGCCCTCTCTATATATGAAAATGGGGTTTGATCGCCACTAGCAGATCTGGATCGTGGGGTAGGACTGCCGGTTTGGGGAGCTCGAGCTCGAGCTCGAGCTTGAGTATCGAATATCGAACGGAAGGGGTTTTGGTTTTGCCTCTGCGCGGAACACGGGTGTTACTGCCACCATTATGCGTTGTCACGCAGGGCCATCTTACCTTAGCTAGGGCACCTATCCGGGTTTTAGAGCTTTAAGTAATACTCGTAGCCAAAGGTTACATTGGACGGTGGTGGAGACAGATGGTCTCGTTGCGCTTCGACCGCTCACCACTTGTGTAGTTCTGCCACTTGATTCTCCCAGGCGGTCGTGGTTTCGCTGCATCCCGACCGCTCAGCACTCCTGGTTTCTGCCAGCTATTCTGCCAGGCGGCGACATATTCGTTGCGTTACGACCGCTCACCACTTCTGGATCTGCCATCTGATTCTGCCAGGCGGCATGGTTTCGTTGCGTTACGATCGCTCACCACCTCGTTTTGATTCTGCCAACACCTGCCAGTGTGAATCTGCCGGGCGGCATAGTTTCGTTGCGTTACGACCGTTCACCACCTTTGATTCTGCCAGGCACAACTTATCATTAAATACCTACCTAGGTACCTTAGATAGGTACCTAGGTGCCCTCCAATTTCGATGGGCAATTTGACAGCCACAGAATTTGAATGTGTAGTATCTCCTCTTTTATGTGCTACATGGAGTTGACAGACATATCAGTTGGCCTTGGCGTAAGCTATGTTTAATAGATACTACAAGACTTGTGCAAAGGCCGACAAGGCTAATACAGAGTAGGAGAATCGACTACTATATATATGGCCAAATCTCAGCTCAATTCATGAGAGTAATGTGGAGTGCCGTGATGGAAACCTGAAGTAAACAAACATCTATGGAGTAACTTCGGCTAAAGTCATGCGAGTTTGGGTGGTTTACGACAACATTGTCGGAACCACCACCAGTTCAATTCTATAGGTGCAATTTCAACCAATTTAACGCAGTTTAATATCTACGGATTGTATAATCCTAATATTCTAGCTATACAAATAGTATCCCATTTCCGCTATAATCGTAACATAACCCCGAGCCTTAACGCTTCTGCTTATCAGTTTCCTGACTCTCCTCCTCAACGGTCAATGTCCCCGGATTATGGGATACTCGTTTTCCTCGCTGACTCTCGAAGATGACCTATCCCCACCATCGCATTAGCATTGAATTTTCTCCTATCATCCTCTCCCATCGAGTACATTCAATGGACTGGAAATAGGGGTGCTTACTTTCGGAGGATTTTTGACATTTAGCTCTTCTGCGTCTTCCATCGTATAGGCAATGGTTTCGACCTTTTACCTGCTATTAGCTTTTATCGTCTATCGCCTAACTCGACTCAATCACAGTTTAAATGTATAGCAGCATAAGGAGAAAAGAGGAAAGGAGGATATATCCGTACGTTGCCTTCGTGACTCCCACCCCGAATACGGGTATAGACTTTGTCACCCACCTCGATGGGGTTACCCCCCCCTATCATGTACCGTAGGCATACTTTTCTTCTCCATTGTCGTTCAAGGATTCTCTTTTGTAAATTCATATGCTTCGTGGTTCAATCAATGGAGTTTCAAAGCCGTCAATGTTGGTCGGACCTCTGGTATACTGCATGTCATACGAGTGACGTAACATTTCATCACAGGTCATGTTAACCGCCTCTTGTTTGCTTTATCTTGCCTTGCACATAAGGCATATATGATTAAAGCACAACTATATATTCATCATTATCCCTTCGATTTCATATCTGTTATGCCCTACATACTCAAATAACAATCCCCAAAATCTCCCAGCCTCCACACCATTAAATTCACAATATCTGCCATTCGCAACTCTCGACAAAATGTACCCCGCGACAGGGAGTTGCTACTGTGGTCAAATCAAATACGAGATTGATTTGGTGAATTCTGAGGAAGCTCGGACGAGCTTGTGCCATTGTAAAAATTGCAAGGCAAGCAATAACTAAGTTCCCCGGGTTTGGAAAGAAAGGGGTTACTGATCCATTTTCAGAAATTCTTTGGCAATGCCTTCGGTTTAACCACAAAGATACCAAAAAATGCCTTTAAAATCACGCACGGAAAGGCAAAAGAACATGTAGCAGACAACGGCTCAGGGACACAATTGCATCGCGAATTCTGCTCTACATGTGGCAGTGGGATTCTAGAATATGGTGTAAGTTTCTCTCTTCCATGATATGTCCCTAATTTCTGCCCCTGACATTTATTTCGTTTTGTGTTATCTCTAAGCTCGAATTAGGAGCTTAAAACTAGAGGAAAGCTAAGGTGCTACGTGCCGAGTAGGGAGATGTAAATGGTTTCGTATACGTGATGTATGGTTCCCTAGACAAAGCAGACCAATTCCCTCCAAAAGGAGAGTTCTTTTGTAAGAGTAGAGAAGAGTGGATGCCCGAGATTTCAGGTGAGGTTGCTTGCTCTAGCTTGGTCATAACAAAGTGGAACAACCTAACGATAGAAATAGGGCTATTCCACAAATAGGATATCAAGGAGTAAGATATAAAAAAGACAAATCATATGTTATAAAACAATAGTTTTCAATTGAAACCCATGTGCGTATCCTACAGAGTGATGAAATTCGAATAGTTATTCGAAAAACATTGTAGGAAGCACAGAGAGCAAAACGGCACCTGGCAGATAACCAAGGGTAAGGAGTCGTGAAGTATAGGTGGTGGGAATACTGATCTTTGGTGGTAGGAATACTACTTACCGAAAGATGAATTATCGAGATATTCGGTATAGGGTTCTACACTCCATTCTGAGCTAGGCCTCGATCCCTAAAATGTATTCACCTTGCCTAAGGTGTACTCCCTGCCTAGTTGCTGTTCTCACAGTCTCTAGCCTCGCTCTTTAAATAAGTACCTTGCTCTCATTTCGGGGCAGTAAGAGCGTACATAGGGGCCCAGTACAGACCGCGACTCTAGCCCCCGCATTTGTCTTCTCAAAAGTGACCTGGATCATACCGCAAGGACACTCGACCTCGACCTTAATATGATCGAATTCAGAATTAAGGGGTGGCCGCAGAATCCAGCCCCACGATGCGAGGCCAGAGCAGAAGTGAGGAGTGGTCATGGAATTATGTGTCGAGTACATTCAAGTACTTTCTGCAAATGCCTCACCGGGCGCAGATGGGATGCTACAAGAGCCTAAGTAGTGGTCAGCCCCGGCACAACGTATATGAGCGATACGGGCTTACATCTTCACACACCAAGCTACCTAAACTATGAGCAACTAAAATGATTGGACGGTCATTCTGTAGGTAAGATGCCTTTTTACAACCATCTAGTTCCTAGGCATACGGCATTATCGATATCACGATATCCAGCCAATCTAGTAAGCAGAGTCATGGAATGATTTCCCGCTCGATTCTGCGAGACAACGCCTCTCCAATCTGCCACGTATGCATCATATCCAAACGTAGGGACGCGGGTATTTGGGATTTTGTTAGCCTCCTTTGCAGGCTGCGCAGAAGTCAAACTTTAGAGAGAGTCCCCGCTTGGTTTGTTGCCAATCCAATTGAGCTTGATTGAAGACTCAGAAACGCGCTTGGGTGACAAGATATAGCTTGCAGTATTGAGGAGCAATCAGTCCACGGCAATTCTTAAGCATTTTATACTTGATGAGGAACACAAGCTTCCGTCATAAATTTATGTGTCGTGGGTAACTCAAGCGCAAGCTCGACCTTCCACGTAGAGTATTTCTGCCGTTGAAATTATTCAGTTCTCCAACAGGCACCTGCAACGGGTCTACCATCCTCTTCATCCGAGATATCATCATTCATACTCCGAGTCCAATCAACCTCTCGCTGCATCGCATCCCTCTCAATCTGTGCCATGACGCTCAACTCCATCAGCATGCCCTTAATAAGCTTCCAGCAATTATCCACCATAGTAGCTAGGCTCGACCCATTTTCTAGCGACCCCAGTTGTTCTAGGTGGTCCCTCCACGATTCTAATCTTCTCCCCAAATTTAGACATTCGTCTTTCCAGGATTTATCAAGTTCTTCCAGGAATATCATGTCATCGTCTCCAACTCCATCATCTCGTTCCCTAGCAGCCAATGTGCCCTGACACCGACTAAGCCATCTCTCAAATTTCCTCACAAGCCTAGCATGTTTCCCACCTGGCTCTCCCATATTCCACACGCCCGTCACAACCTCATCAAGAATTTGTATCCTCTCCTCCAATCCCCATCCAGGCGTGCTATCTTCCTGCCACTTCTTTAACGCGACAGCATTGACTTTGGCAGTTTCATCAACCTCGGATTGCACCAGCATATCATTCCTCCTCACAACCTCGTGGAAGCTCGCCCCTAACTTCTTCTTCGCGCTAGCTCTCCACTCATTCGCAATCACAGCAGCATCCTTATGCAAAATATGTAATTGCAGTAGCTCATTCTGCAGCTTAGCTGTTTCCGCAGAAATAGCGATATTCGAGGGTAGTTTGCTGGGTGATGGAGGGGCCAGGAATGCCGCAGGATGAGGCTTAGGCGCTAGATTTTTGGCGGGAGAGAAGTGGTGCTGTAACGTAGAGAATGCAGGCCGTTTGGGCAGCGATTCGGCACGTGAAGTTCGAGTTGAGGTTGGTTGATCTGCCAATTCGCGCGTTGGAGGGCGAAGGGCAGTAGACGCGGTCAAAAGGGTAGAGGATGATTTATTGCGTGCGTGTCCTTGAGCTCGCGTAGTATGCTTGGATGATATGGTGCTAGTAGATGCATTTCGTAGATGTCGAGATTGTACAAGAGGAGGTCTCGAACGGTCCTTCTTCACTGGTTCTGTATTCGAGGGTTGGGAAGTAGAGCTCGTTGTCGAGGGCCGTCTCTGTAAGCTGTCTGCGGCGGGTTTGGTTCTGCTGGAACTTGAAGATGGAGGCCGCATCAACGGCTTATTTGATATGCTACTGCTAGAACTAGGTGGGCGCGAAATTGTCGAAGTACTTCTCGTCGTAGGCTTCACGGGAAGCCGACTGGGGGATTGGCTGTTCCTGGTCTGAACCCCAGCTGCCGACTGGTTTACGGCATTCTTCTCAGTGGAGTCTACCGCAGCGGTGGACGGTCTGCCATATCTGCTACCAGGGTCTGCGGGTTTTCGAAGAGAACGTGTTCGTACGGGTGCTGTCGACATGGTGGAATATGATATGCGCAGTTGTTGTATTGACTTGGGAGTCGAGTAAACAATTACGCCGGGGGATCTTCGGCTCAGCGTCCAGGTACGAGACGAGAGCACCCCAGAATCGGGAATACGGCGCTCATGAAGATTGTGGAACTTAAACTAGATGATATACGGAGGATCTTGTCATATTTTCCTTGGTTTTTACTTTATCACGAATTGTTGTACGACTCTTAATTCCGGATACAATAAGATGTAGTATGGAAGTCACAGGCTGAGCATATCATATAGATTGCTCTGCCACAGGCGTACAGAATACAGTACTCGCCGAGCTTACATACGTGCAATTTACTCGGTAAACAAACAGTCCTTAATATCGAATATTTGAACCGGCGATTACTCATTATTGGGCGTAATAATGTTTCAAATAGAGTGGGCGATGGAGAAGAGCGGGTCGTTCGAATTGCGCTGCTGAAGTCGCGGCCTCGTACCAAGTCTATGACGACTGGTTGAAGGTGCTGGTACAGTGTTCGCTTCTCTCAACATATTTCCTCCCATCTTTGCGGCCGAAACGATGAGCGAAAAACTAGAACAATCCATCATGGCATAACTCGTCTATGCAACACAGAAACAACGGTGGAACTATTAATATCCGCATAATATCATCCGCCCTGCCGCTGCGCCGTGCCCCTTGGCTGGCGTGGCCCTCTACTCGACAATCTCGATAAGCTTGATAACTCGTAGTTTCGTACCCGCTTCCGGCAGCCCCCTGTGGCGATCCATACTTCGCAGGTCGTCCCCATGCGAAGTTGGAGTTTGGGGCGATGAAATTATTGCTGCGCCAAAGACGAACAACATCACCCGAATGTTGGAAGCTGCTCAGTACTGGGTGGTGATCTGGTCATCAACAGTCTTTGGAGCCGTTCATCTGTCACTGAGCTGGTGACAGATTGGAGCGGGTAACTCCCGAGTAGTGCCTCATCGTGCTCCAGACAAGTCGTCGTGCTTTTTCTCTAGTGTTTGGGGGGTGGGTCGGTGGTAATCAGCCAGTTTGCAATCATCTTCCTCGTCTTTTCGCGTCAACATACCTTGACTCGTAATTAACTGGCCTAGGCTGGAGTCGAAGTTAAAGGAGCAAATGAACAGCCCACTCACCCACCCCTCCACCGCATAACAGAACAGCGATCTCCGCCCTGTATTATTGACAAGGAGCGTGGCAATGTCACAAGTGTGATTTGATACCGCCAAACCCACGCCGTTTCAGCATTTCCAGGGCCTCCCAGTGAGTGAGACGGCACCCATCTCTTTAAAAGTACACCATGGCCGGTGTCTTCAGTAGATATCGACCGCAACGGTTTTCGAGGCCGCTTAATCCTGAGAGATCTTCGAGCCCTGCGAGATTGTGGAGGTAACCCAGCTCCGTCCAGCTTCTGCCCCCATCGATCTCCCTAAGACGTGGCGATGGCTTCAACGCTTCCAGAAACACCTGGCAGAGGGCGTTCTCGATTCTCGAAAGTGTTGCCAACTGCGCCGCGAGAAAACGATTCGCCAGCCTCGATAGCTAGATATTATCTTTCATCCCCTCTCCCTCCTCTCCCCAAAGATGCTGCCACTCCATCGATGGCGATACCTCGCCGACCAGTAGGTAGTGAACGAGTCGTCCATTCCCAGGCCCATTCAATCGCCAGTATCCCTTCAGACTATTCAAACTCTCCTCCGAGCCGGTCACGGAGTTCGTCGGTTTCGGATACCAGCAGCAGTGGGAGCACAAGACAATCGCCGGGAGATGTGGATGTGCATAGTCGCCATGGCCATCTAGATGTTGTACCAGCAACCCCACGAGATATTGACAATCGCCATGACGATTCAGACGCCGCACCGGCATCACCACGCCGAGATGTAGATAATCGCCATGGCGATTCAGATGCTGCACCCCCTCCACCTCCACTACCTCCAAAGGACCAGAAGCGTCGAGAGTTAGCGGACGCATCAACATCACCTTTATCACAAAGACCAAAGACGCCTCCTCCCCCTCACATCCTAGCATCTCCCGCGTCTGGCTTTGATTATTCTCCAGCCCCAACTGAAATCTGGAGACGCCGTTCAGAGAAGAGTGACAGGTCTATAAAGTTTCCGGGATTGAAGTTACAAGCAAGCAACGGGTCGACAGCCAGTCCTCCAAAGGAGCAAGAGCCACCAACTGAACGCTCCTTGCCTACGGTTCCTTTCCAACTCCCCCCTAGAACAACAAGTCGAAAACCTATCCCGGCGCGGCCTGCTCCGTCCCAGCCATACGTGATGGGCAATGAACTTACGAAACTCAAGGAGAAGGGCTCAAGAGATACATGGATGACTGAGGATGAGCAGCTCAGTCAGGGGCCCCGAAGCTTCTCTGTTATCCAGCGTCCAGCCACCGTGAAGTCAGAGATGGAGCCAGACAAGCAAACCGAGAAAAAGACAGAGAAAGACCAACCGGAAACAACATCACGAGAGCTTGTTCCATCACCATTTACACTCGCGGATGAAGCCATTCCCCAGCTTCCCCCCAAATCAGATGCCCGCCGTACCAAAAATGACAGGTTAATGCCCAACCTTTCTGTCACCGGTTCTAGCGAAGGCTCAGCATTTTTCTCTACACATTCCAATGGTTCGACCGAGACTGTCACTATCAAATCGAGCTCGAAAATTCCAGGCTCCAACTTACCGCTACAAAGCATGGAATCCCAGGCTGCGTCTGAGGTCATGACCCCGCGCGCTTCTTCTCCTGAGGAGGATGAAAATCGTACTCCGCCACCTGTCAAGATCTCCTTCCCAATCTATTCCACAGCTGTTGCTCCTCCAGGAACAGTCTTCCCTGGTCCGCCAATCGGCCGCGCCCACCTAGACTGCCACCAAGCTCATCGCTTTATGCGGAGGTTCAATAACACGCTCTATCCTGTGGGATGCATGATTTGCTTGAGCAGAGATACGGAATCCCGATGGGCCTGCAGATGGTGCTGTCTGAGTGCTTGCGGACCCTGCATGCAAGTCTTGACATCAACACCAGGAAGGGATCTAAAAACGTGCCTGGAAAAAGTAGAGAAGACGACTACCTAGTAGTTGGGCACTAGACATATTCACTGGGAATACACACATAGGTTAGTGGCGTTTGGATGGCTTTGGGGCTGAGGAATTTGTTTGTCTACTGCATATGCTAGAATAGAAAAGTGATGGCCTTTGAAAGGCTTATGCCAGATGGCAGCGTCTGATACGATGGTTTATGATTGGTGGCGTACTATACCCGGGGGTGGTGGAATCTGGTTTCAGAATGGCCTAGATGTACAGACGATAGACAGCCAACATCCACAGCTGGAAACTTAAAAGTTTACAAAGGCTTCTTGTTCAAAGTGGTCATCAGCAGTACCAGTGAATAAAGTGAATTTAAATTGATACAGTTAGCTCAACCGACCACTAGCATACGGTGACTAGTAGCATTAGGCAGCAGCGCTTGGCATAGACTATCATTCTACTAGAGACATTGTAGGTAGCGAATATTCAATAAGGGCTCCAGAGAGTTGGGCTTCGGTTTGCGCCCATGCCGTGGAGCACTCCATCCCGAAGACACGACGACGGCATCAGGGCCACCACTGCTCTTCCCCTCCCCCGAGATACACCCTCCTGAAGAGGTCTAGGTGCCGGGATTCTCCCAGGAACTGCTGTGCTCGGCAAGGAAGGCGGTTGGCATTCCGGTCTGGCTTCTGGAAAAGCCTCCTGACCCTAGAGTAGGAGATTTACAGGGATATATGCTGCCAATCCCCAGATACAGCAACATCAGGAAGTCTATTAATCAACAGCAATATATAAGATGAGACCTGTCTAATACTCGTTAACCAATTTTTTCGTTAACAATCGTCTATTGACTACCACCACGTCCTCATAGCCTTCTGGACTAAATTACTGGGATATAATGATGGGATTTCTATAGCGACATCTAACAACATCTTCAACCATTAAAGGGACTTTAGCTTCTTATAATTCTGCCAAAATCTAGCGGTAGCTACGGCTAGTCTACTAATTAAGAAATCACTGACATACAAGGGAACTATCTATTAACTAGAAGGTGATTGTTCGAATATGTAAATAGTAAAATTTAACTATTTGTTACTGGAGAATGTCCATTTAATATAAGCTGTTTAAGAGTAGAACGTAGCAATTCATGGGGAATACTGAAATAAAAAATTTAGTATTCGTATAGAGGAGGTTTCTAACAATACCAATTTATCTAATGAACTACAATGTATCCGATGACAGATCATAAACTAATAACCGTACATCAGCAAATAGCTGCTTATCCTCCCTAGTAGTGTAGAACGAGATCTTCCTTACCTTTGAATTGCTTTGCTGCAATTTCAACATATCAGGCGCATGCGCCCATCCCCTTTCGCAGCTTTCCTAAAGATCCTGATTTTAAATCCATCAGTAGGCGGTAGGACAATTTTCTCGTCATCATAAAGTGTAATATTTCCGTTCATTGCCCGATACGAGAGATTACTCCGCGGAACGAAAGTGATCTCTTTAATGTTGGGGAAGTGAACGTTCCTCTCCAACACGGATTTTAGAAATGACATTGAGGTACCACGCTTAAAGATCCTAAGTCCAATACCGATCCTTTGGCATTTATCACCGATCGGGTTCTCTCCCCTTGCGCTAAACTCGCAGCCACAGACGGTGGAGATCTCGTCGAACATGGCTATATCGTTCCCCCAGTTGATGAATGTGTCGTTGAAGAAGTTCCTGTTGGCTGATGGCAACCGCTCATACACCTTCAACCCAATAGCTCGTGATTCCATACACGCGTGCATGATTCCCGGTACTAGTGTATATGAGCTGAGCGTCCAACCGGTGGCGTGGTGATAATCCTGGCCAAATATGAGACCGGGTATGGCCACGGCCTGCTTTTCCACCTCTACCACTCTCGGTTCGCTGGCGGCGAACTTCCATATAATATTGCGCAGCTTTGGTTCTAACATGGGGAAAAATGTAAATGATTCCGGTGTTTTGAGCTGAACAACACTATCGACTGTAACAGCACTATCGACTGCAACAGCACTATCGACTGCAACAGCACTATCGACTGTAGCGGTGCTATCGACTGTATCGGTGCTATCGACTACAGCGGTGCTGGCTATAACATTTTCCATCTCGGCGACCCGATGGGGGATTGTGATATACGATATAGGGTTCAATGTGATGCTCTGGTTGGGAATGCTGGCAATAAGGAATGCTAAACGACTAAGTTGAGATGAGGCAGAGTGAATTAGTTTTGAAGGATGAAGAACACGGCGTAGAAATAGGAGTCGCCCGGATATATTAGCTTGCTGGGATGAATGTGTTTTGAACCAAAACAAATACTGGGTCGAGTATGCGACAAGACAAAAATGTGTTGATACAAGGAGATGTTTGTAGCTGAGACCATCCTTTTAAACAGGAAATTGACTATGTAAAAGGGCAAATATTCGTGCATAAAGGAGGTATTTGCCTCTGTTCTTTGTGTTCTGGTCGACAACGGGGATTGGGTAGAAAAGTGAGAATCGCTGGGATGATGTGCTTCGTGTTTAATAGCAGGAAAATGGTGTTGAGGACACTGGCACAAAGCCTGGGTTGTAGGAGTATCTACATGACAGAAATGACCTGTACAATAAAGGATTTAGGGGTGAGCAAGCGAAGTTAATGAGCAATCCCGCGGTGGACAAAGGGATCTAAGTTAACAAAGAACTTCGGTAGACGAAGAGATTCTGGATTACAATCGTATTGTAGGGCATCTCAAGAGGATCTACATTAATATGTAATACAGTATAGGAATGAACAGATGATTTAAGTTAAGCGAATCCCCCCCTTTCCCTCAGATGCTGCTGATTAAGCGATCCCTTTTCTTTCACAGTTCAACCTCTAGTCTCAATCATCTCGGTGCTCATGCGATTTTGCACTCCTTGATGAAATATGTAGTAATCACTAACTAAATGCTAACACATTTGCATAAACAAGAAAATATGGTTATTAGGTGATGCATCACTTGACCAACGACGCATTTGAAATAAGCATATAAATCATGGTGCATTGAGGACGTTGCTTTTTGAAGATAACTCGGGTTGAAACTTACATTTTGGACTTGAGCATGAGGATGTAGACAGCCTTAAAAGAGTTACCGCTGTTAAATAGGTGCCTTTTTGAAGGGGTAAGATCATAGCTTATCTCCGTTGACATCCAGCTTCCCTTCAAAACATCGGGGCGTTCTGAAGGACCACTTATTGGGCCACAACACGTTCTAGACTTTAAGGGAATATATTACACCCTAGTAATCACCGGCGTATTTTCGAGGCTACTGCCTGGCGGTTTTGGAGGATGGCCCGCACATTAGTCAAATCCTCCAACTGTTCTCATTCCTGTAGTACTCGCGAGACAATGGCTCCAGTGGTACTCCGACAAAAGCAACCCATCATGATGCTAAACTCCAAAATCACAATTTTTATTTAGCCCGAGATGGCAATCCTACCTTCATAGAGTAGAACTGGCAAGTTATTAGCTTTGAACTTTTGTCACAAGAAGATATCTTACCTGAGCAGCATCTTCCTCTGAAACATCACAAAAGTCTAGAGCCATATTATCAATCAACCCCAACTTCTCCCCCCGAACACGCAGAAAAAACTCCCTTCTATCACCACCTAAGTCCCCCTCCATTAAACGTCGCTTGAACTCGCGAATAAAATCATTGTAGATATCCGGCATTTCCAAAGACAGCAATTCGATCCTTAGGACCTTCATGTTTTCTAATGCTCTGGAGTATCCGCTATCCCCCGTGCTGTCTTTGACGAGTTGACATATGATATTAGACATCTGTTTGGCAGCATCGTGTATATTGCTATCAGACGTAGCACTTGAGACAATTTGTTTGAAATCCGGAATAGAGTTTTCGATTGAGATCTTCTGGCGATGGTCTCGATCGAGAAGCGAGTCGACATCCAAGCCTGAGAGCGGTTTAATTGTTTCCCGGTTGAAACGCCTACCATTCTGCTTAGGTGGTACTACACGAAGATGTTAGCCATGTGCATCAATATTTATGGTGTGGCTTTTGATCACCTTTCTTCACGGAGGCCGCATCTATAAGGGCTTTGAGTTCTGAAGCATTGCCTGAAACAAGTTCGTCGGGAGGGTGAGACCATTTCATTAAAACCTCAGCAGGAGGATCAACTGGTGCATCCGGGTGTATGGCACGCTTGCGTATTGCCTGGTTGATACGATGAACTGCTGGTGAGTAGGTGTCTTCCATCGGCATGTACTCTGTAGGTTGGCTAAGAGGTGTCAGCAGTCTCTGGCTGTCAGCTTAGAGAGATTCTCGTACCCTTCATCGTCCTTCCCGAAAGTAGATAGATCCATAGCGTTTACATAATCGCTCATGGCGTTTGTCAGCTCATCGGTAGGGAGGTTCCTGTGCTTTGTAACAGTTGCCCCGGATGTAGTGATGACTCGGTCCAAGGGGGGAAACCGATACATGCGAATATCTTCCGCGAATGGAAGGGGAACATCAACAAGACCTTCAAAGTCGGGTTCAATTAAAGGGGCGAGGAGGATAATGACAGGATCCTTTCCATCCTTTGCGACGATCCTAGCGACAGCATAAGAATCCAACTCATGAAGAGCATGAATAAATGATGAAAGTGCTATCACAGCTTCAACGTTGATACACTTCGCGATGGTGACACAGGATTCGCCCATATTGAGATATTTTTCGTACTAGAAGGCGTTAGAAAACAAAGTCAATGGGGGAAGCATCTCGTACCTTGTCGCTAGGTATGAAGCCAATAATTGAAAAACTTTGTGTAGTCTCGAGTTTAGTCACATTCTCTTCAGATGCGCTGATGTGGACAGCCGTCCGACCATATTCGAAGCCTTTGGCGAGGTCATCTCGGGATACGTCTTTCTTCCCTCCAGGCGCTGTTGGGTCATTGACTTTGTAAGTAAAGGTGCTCTTGACTGCAGATAGTTCCGGTGCATCTGCCATCTCCGTGTCTTCTTCTAATGTCTTTGATGAGGCACCAGTCTCTTCATTTGCGGTAGAAGCTCGAGTAACGAAGCTACTGGCAGTCACAGCCCTTGCAATATGTGTCTTGAAGTATCTCTCAACGTCAATGAGCATAGTAGAGTCGGGATACTTTGCAAAGTCTCCAAGAGCAAGCGGGCCCTTAAATGTTGAGTAAGGTCGGGGAGTTTTGACTTCTGGTATTGAAAGATTTTGAACGGCTTCAGCGACGGTACCAAAGATGCCACTGTTACACTTTTGGACTAGGGATTGGAGAATAGCTTCATTACTCGCCTGCTTATTTTCAGCAGTGTTGAAAACAAAGGGGCTAGGGGCGACATACCTTGCCTTCCGGCTTGTCTTCCTCCTTAAATCCAAACTCCAAATCATCGAAATCAATGCCTCTGAATAGGATTAATTTAAATTCTTGGGATTTCATTTACAACTTACATTACGACCAACTCAATGTCAACTTCATTTATCTTGTCTGCGATAGAATCTAAGTCGCTGTCGTCCAGGGTCCCCTGACCGTCCGTGACCAAGACAATTCTCCGCAAGAATTTGCCAGGCTTTCCACTCTTGAGGGTAGTAAACTCTTCGATCATGGAAACTGCAATTATAATGGCAGAAATTGCATCGCCGGAGTTGGTGGAGCTCGGCTTGAGTGACGTCTGCAGATTTGCCAGCTCATTCATTCTCATAGGTCCGAGGTCCTTTAACAGAGATATGTTCCCATAACCTTCATCTCCCTCGCTAGAATATAAGGGATTGACGCTGTCGTCGCTGCGAAGGCCCAATACACCCAAATTCCACGTTGTCCTGTTTGCTGCCATTGTTGTTGCGATTTTATCCCAGACATATCTCATACCGTACTCCAAATCGCTTTCCTCCCTTCCACTGTGGGATTCTGCTGTTGAAGCGCCTTGATCTACAATGTAGACTATCGCTTGCTTGTCCGCCATCTTGTCGAATGTATTCGATGGCTTTTTGATGAAATGGGTACCTAGGTAGGTATGCTCCTGAGTTTGGATGTGGGATGACGCGGTGACGAGTGCGAGTGTAAAGGCAGCAGCACGCTGGAACGCGAAGTCACATGATCAAATATGGTCAGCCAACGTCATCGACCATTGATCGTGGTACTAAAGTCCCACCTCTAAGCACCTCTGGTTCACGATTTATATGGGTCGGCGTATTCTATCGCTGCAAACTGGCGTACCACTGTGGCCTACCTACTAACCGGAGGTGCTTACCAGGTATGCCGTAGTAGCACTTCAGGGCCACGATTGCTTCCAATGCCACCCCACCAGGTCCTTTGAGCACCTAGGTATCTAGGCAGACGGTGCCTTCACCTATAACAGCTTCATTCCACACATTTTCATTCGTCGTTGCCGCGCAACAACTCACGCAGTTCGTCCCGCTGCACATTAACTGACAACCCCTCGTGATCACAATGGCGCCTAAAGCGCGGTCTCTCGTGGCCGTCCCAAGAGGCAATGTAGCACAAAGCCTAGCACTCGCTAGTAATGGTGAGCTTGTGCAGGTGGCATGTCGATCGTGTGACTAGCCAATCTATCTCCAATCCGAACGATCGTCCTGGTTAACGATTCTGCTCAAAGCCCCTAACGAGGCGGCTCCTCAATCCGTCCTAAATTATCACCTTGCTATTATTATATCAATTCTAGTATTTGTTGTGACCGTGGTATTTCTATTAACCAAGCGTTAAGCAACAAAGGTATGCCTGCAATCATTTATTAATCTGTTAATCTAATATTCTTTAGATGCTCTAGGCAATTTGCAACTAGCACCTACGGAATTATTTCTATAACAAGACGACATAATCTCACTACGGTCACCGTCGCCCACGCCATGTTCTATCCCCGGAGCATATATAAGGCACTCTGGGACGGCCTCCATGTCTTAGCAACACCAGCCTCTACAACAAGTGTACATGTTCGTGGCTTCCTGCTTAGCTGCGGTTGTGACTTTGGGTTTGGGTTTGGGTGTGTTGTACTTGGATTTAAGTCCACAGCATTTATTTGAATCAAATAAGGACGGCGGGGTTGCTAAGTAGATGTTGGTTGGATCTACCTTTTATAATGAATACTAGAACTTGTGACAACTATTATTCTTATTGATAACCGGCGGTCCGGTGACAGTGACCCTTTTTATTAGGCTATAAATGCACGATTCATTGTTGGACACTGCTGAGCAACTTCGAGGAATGGAATAGAAACCGAGTCGGTAGGGTCCGTCTGTCTACAGCGGCCAGGTTGTGTCTTGGTATTTGGTTGTGTTGGTGTCTGGCGGCGAGTAGAAGCCCTCCAGTAAAGTTGCTTTGAACGAATATGTTAATCCACAATCCATTTGGCGACAAGGGGATGCTGAGGGGTAGCCCATTACAAGCCAACTTCACGAGATAGGCCGGGCTATTTGTTGTCATCATGGTTCCGCAGGTTTCAAAATCTCTGATCAAGTGATCTAAACTTAAACCATGTATTACGTTGCAACAGACGAATATACAACTGTGACCACTGAGCGGTAGATGTGCTTTCACACACTGCTTTCTTTGTCGCGGTATCTCGACATGCGAGTATACACAACGCCTAGTATTTATTGAATTCTCTCTGCGAGATTGAATCCATACCACAATGTAGCGAGCAATGTCCCCATGTTCAGCAACGCAGACGCACCATGGATTCTGCCAAAGGCCTTGTTCAACTTCTGCATTTCTTTCGAGTGAGGGGCGGGGTCGTAGCTCTTCTTTCCGTCTCGGGTCTCTGCGGGATTCGGCATTAGCATAGCTGAATATCTCAAGAATGGAAGTATAATATACCCTGCAGATTCCTCTGCCTCATAACATTGTTTGTCGCAGGACGAATAAGCACGAGGTTGGTGAGAGCTGTCACAAACATTGTAGCCAAGGGAGCAAGAACCTTCCATCGGTTGACCTCTGCGAATGTGCCGGCTAGACCAGATGCTGTGCCGAGAGGAAGTCCGGAGCCTGGATAGGTTAATGCTAGGACGACTGGCAAGGTCGTCTGCACGCTGAAGTAGACTGGGAAAATTCTGTTTCGGAGTAGGGAGAACTGAGGGCGGGGAATGGTGTTGAATGCTATGATTCCCGCGAAGCAGCTCTCGAAGACCGTGGTTCCGAGCAGCGTGCCATAGCTATCAATCGTCAGCGCGGTCTTGCATGAGCAAAGCGGACCACATACGAGATGATATGGTAGGGACCTGGAGATTTGAAGGCGGAGAAGTCAGGCATATTGGCAGTGGTTGAAGAGTACTTTGCAGCAGACGATGTGCGGATATCTCGGAAGCTCGTGAGAAGTTGAGAAGATGGAGGGACAATATACTCCGGAGGTACCTTAAGGTAGGTGAGTGACCCAATAGTAGGTATGGTTCGACGATGTCTGGCTGGCCAATAGCAATTTGAGAGGACGCGCCATTGGCTTAGGGGTGGTTCGATATACCTGGGTACGAAGTACTGCCAAGACAATAAGGCGGCGTGCGGGGGGGCGACAGGAGCGAGACTTTTGTTGCATATCGCACATTGTCAGTTCCAGCGCGTTTATTTTATACCCGTTGGCGAGCTCCCACCACCACGTCCGTGATTGGTGGATTAGAGTTCGGAAAGACCATAGAGTTTGGAAAGTCCATGCACCGCGCCTCTCGCTTTAATGCACCTCTAATTGGTGTAGTCGCCTAACAGTCCCACTTCTTACTCGAATAATTGTTGCCTTAGGCCCTAAACACCCCCTTCTACTTATTATGAGGCAACGAGTAGCGTTGTCTAACCTCCCTATCCTCTCCTAAGCTGAATTAAACGATTAACTAGTACCTTACTTATTACTATATAAGTATTAAAGTTTATAGTAGTTAGAGATACGATCTGGATTATGTAGGCAATTGTGTAAGGTCAAGATCGTACCAATCAACAAGCGCAACAAGCGTTAACACGTGATTTCCGAACTCTATGGTCTTCCGAACTCTCATCCACCAACGACGGATGTGGTGGCTTTGGGCAGGAGTGGTGGCTCGCCAATAGGTAGACTATTCCTCAACTATACGGAGTAATTGTAGGCAATTGATTTCCAAATAGAGAGATTTTGACTTGTAAGAACATCTGTCCGTGTTTCTGATTTGTACATATTACTTAGTGCTTTGCTCATCTAAGCTAGGGCTCTAACTTGGATTCCTAGGTAGGTATCTATCGTTCATTACTCATCTATCATAATAGGAGCCGTAGACATAATCCTCAGAAGACACCCAATCCATACCATGCTTACCCGATTAAACTCCGTTCGCTATGCCATCTCCATTGCAATTTACATCTTCCCCAGCCTCTCTTCTACATCTCCCACACATACAAAAACCCCCTAAACTACCCTTAGCCCACTCTCGCCTCTCCTTCACGGGGAGATCAATATCGGTATAATGGTTCAATATCTCGTCGCCTTTTTTTATCCCTCCTTTCCGTCCACCAACTCTCGTCTCTCGGCACCAGAACCGCATCCGAGCTCCCCATTCCCACTTCACATTCGGATCGCAATCATGGTTCCCAAGACACCAGAGTGGGTGAACAGCCGCAACTTCCGGATGCCCCGTCCTGTGATTAACCCTTGCTGAAGCCGTGCCCCTGAATTTCGCATACAGCGTGTTGAAGATCCATAGATCATAATGGTCGATGGAGGAGAAGACATCGATGTCCATTTTCTCTAGAGTGTGTAAAGGCCCGGAAATGTTCGAGGAGAAGGAGAAAGGTAGGGTCCAAGTGGGAGAAGCACCTGCCTTGGAAGGCAAAATAGCTGCGTTCGAGGCCGTCGGGAGGAAGTCGCCCCAGATATATTTTACCTCTTTTAGGTCGAGAGGGTGTACATCCATCGTGGTGGACATAGCGAGCGCTCGTCCTAATAGGAGGAGGTATAAAGCAAAGGGCTTTTCCTTCGGATCCACGTCCTTTGCTATGGCGTCAATATCTTTGTCGCAGACAGCCGGATGGTAGGTCTCCAGAGCCCGTGACAAGCAGTCCTCGTTGCAGAACATGATATCCTCGCAGTCTGGGCAGCCGACTACAGGGCAATCTTCACCTAATGGCGGAAGCTCAGAGCTGCAGGCATCACATAACGAGTCTTTAAACACATTGTTCGCCGCCAAAAAGGAAATTTCGTCCAGAAGCTCTTCACCCGGTGCAATATCTTCTTTCGCAAAGAGACCAAGCTGCTTGTTTGAACGGATCTCAGGTATATTGCCAGAGTCATCCGGCTCGATGGGCGCCTCATGAAGCACCGGTAATTCAGTAACCCTAACTTCACACTTCGGAGCTATAGTCTCCATTTCCTTATTTAAGAAAGCCAAAGTCTCCGCCGAGAAGCGATCTGGTTCGTGTTCGTTCCAAGGATAGACCTCCCGTCTAACCAAGCCCTGATCCGGCAGCTGTGTGATATCGAATTCTTCAACCCCGAGCCGCCGCTTCGCTCTCAAATGTATATATTCCAGTGCCTGTAGGAGATCTTCGTCTTCGGGTTCGATGGCCAATCCTCTGAGACAGAACTCGTACGCACTCTTCAAACTCCCGCACACCATCAAGCTGATTGCCAGGACATGATAGCATCGCAGCGAAGCCATGCGCACGATCCTTAGTACTTTGGTATCCTCGTCCTCGTCGCCGTCCAGATATGCCCCTCCATTCTCTTGCCCTGCCTCAAGACTGAGCGCTTCTACCCCGCTAGGTAAAGAAAGTTCGTCGATATAGCTTTCACCATGATTCATCAGTATGACTGGGATCTGCCAGCGTCCGCCGTTGCGATTGTCATCAGAAATGCAGTGTGAACGCAGCGCATCCAGCGCTTGTTCGTGGTACTCGAAACTCTCATCTGTGCATTCGTCGCAGAGCAGCAGTGCTCGGTAGGCATCTCCCGCGGCGAGATCAGGATACCTGAGGTCTCCATGCACCGCAGCACGCTCCAGGTAGAGAATTAGGTCGTAATGGTAAGGTTCCTGCTGCAACGCCGTGGTAATGGAGGCTCGTTTCGACAAGAGACGCTGGGTATTGGCATCTTCCTTGCTGTTGTCCATGACAGGAAGGGTATATTTTGTCTTGGGCTGGCCGTGTGGGTCTCGCAGGTTCTCAGCTAGATTGGTCGACAGTTTCCACACCCAAGTATTCCAAGGCTTGTCACCAAGGTTGAAGGCATTCCCAAGACCAAAAACCAAGACAACGAAGAAAATCCATCGAACTGCGGTCCAACCAAAGGCGTTTCGGCCGCCGGACAAGCCCTGATGGTGGGGTGCCATGGCTCGAGCAGGGGTCCTCGGAGTGTCTCACCCAACAGCCGAGACGTCTCCAAGGTGGTGGTCCAAAAATAATATCGCTTTATTTATGTGGCTCCAAGGTACAATCGAAACCCATTCTTGTTTTGGCCAATATTGTTTATCGTTTATTCTGTATAAATCTATGCCTACCTATTCATCTATGTTTCCAAGACTCGAAAAAATATATATCCGTGCTCGTGGCTCATCTAACCCAAGAGCACCGTCCTATTCAGGAGAGTATCAGTCCCCAGTGGGACAAGGAACAGCAGACCAGCTCAGCCCATCAAGTCGCTCAACTTATCAACATAATACGCTGGGATCACCTCTGCTCCTTCAGCCTCCCAGTGCTCTTTCTTACTCACGCCCGTCAGGACGGCCAAGGTGCCTCCAAGTTTACCTTCGATGCCAAATCTAATATCGGTGTCTAATCGATCTCCAACCATACAAGTCTTCTTGCGATCAAACTGGAACTTTCCTTCTATCGAGTCCATCATCGCTTGGCTAGGCTTCCCAAGTGCTATAGGATGCTGTCCTGTCATATTCACCAGGGGAATGGATATTGAGCCCGCTCCTGGAAAGAATGCATGATGCGAAGGAAACGTGCTATCGGTGTTCGTAGCCAGGAATTTGGCCCCGCGCTGTAGATACTGGTACGCCAATGAGAACTTCAAGTAGTTTATGTGCAAATCCAAGCCGGCCAGCACTATCCCGATATTGTCATCCAGCATCGACCCATCTGCGATGTTTTTGTAGTCTGCTGGAGTTATATCTCGTCGATAAGCCGGGTCTGTCCCTCCAATGAATTCGACGCCCTCACTCCTTAATTCGGCCTCAATCCCAGCTTCTCCCAGCACAAACACCTTGTTCTTGGGAGCCGGAAGCTTCATGATTCTCGAGATGTAGATGGCTGAGGAATACGCAGATCCAAATATTTCGTCAACATGGCTGGGTATGCCCAGGGAAGTGAATTTCTTTTGGTACTCGGGGCGAGACTTGGTGGAGTTGTTCGTAACAAATATAGTCTTCTTCCCTTTAAAACAGTATGGTCAGCATGGAGGAGCAGCCTAGGGATGCACCAAAATTGGACTGGAATCTTTTTCTTACCTTTGGATCTCAACAACTCCAGTGTCTCTACCGTTCCGGGAAATGTATGATCACCGGACCATAGGACGCCTTTGCAGAGGATAAGCTAGGGTCCAGCACGAGTTATAGGGAACTAAATATACCATCACAGTCAAATAAAAAGACCTGAATGGCAAGTTAGTGTCTCCTGCCCGGATTGCTGATGTTGATAGGGTCCGAGGACTGACTAACGCACGTCGAATTTATCAATGAACTCGTCAATCGAGGCTTGGTCGCCTGTCAGGTGCTTAGGAAGGGATGTCATGTTGGAGGAGAGTTAAACTTTGTTGATGCCAGGTGCAAGTACAGGCTGGTGCTTGCAAAGGAGGCTGATGCACGGCGTCAGATTCACGTTCACCCAAAATTTTGGCGGGGTTGATTGCTGATTGTTGATTGCGTTGTGCAGAAAAAAGCGGTGCGGGGGTTGGCGTTGGCGTTGGGCAATCAACGGGCAGAGCCGGATTCCTGAGGGGCCAGGTTAAAGCCTCCGAAAGACGTACGTGTCTACAACACATAGAACACAATTGCGAGGGTTGGAGCTTTTGGTGCGCTTGCGTCTATCGCGGAATACGGGAAATAATCTACCTGGTACTGTACCTACCTTGCCTAGGTACGAAGCACATGGTGCTCTGCTTGCGGCTTCGTTGCATCGCTACTCGGTAGCTGTGATGAATGATGTCAAGTCGATCTGCCAGTCAGTCTGTTTGGACCCTGCTTCCGCTCCTCCCATCGTCTTGGGGAGAACCTGCATGAATCCTGCATCCTTATATCAGAGAATCAACTTGGCATTAATAATTATCCCACTACCTGATGATATACCTATAGCCCAGCATTAGACCGTGGGTGTGAAGTACTTCGTACAACACGGTGCCGACACCAGCCAGGGAGCTACAACATTTGATTGTGATGTATATTATTGATCGCCCGGGTATCATGTTGACCAGCACCATAAGCTTATCTTGGATATCTCCAAACCTGCTCTATGGTTCAGCTCCCGGACCATGATCCAGGAAGTGGCTTGCTCCCCGGCCCGTCGCGGGCGGTACAGTACAGCAGAGCATAGCATCGACAGCCCATTAGGCCCGGATGAATTGGTCGGCCAAACTATCATTGCCTATTCCTCGATTGTATTTGTATCATATATCACAACGTTGGGAGCCAATGCGGTTGGCAACCACTTTCCATACCAGGATACCGTATGCCAGGGGACTTCCACCTTCCCGATGACGGGTTGTCTGTTTGCGTCGTGATGACGGCGAAGATATTCCTCATGTGCTCATGTCATGGTAGGAGTAACCTCTACAAGTATCTACGGAGTAGAGCGATGGTTGAAAGGAGTATTCGTAGTGGCGGCAGAAGCTCCTCCGTTCCAACTCTCAAGTGTAAAAATAAATTGAGGCAGTTCGCTGAGTGAGGGTTAGTATGAGCTGAAGGACCCCGAGAAGTGTAACACTCCACTCGTGTAGCAGTTTTTGCCGACTCCATGACGAATACATTTATTGAATGTACATCGTAAGGTCGCTATGATGTGATTGCCCAAGCCTCGTCGTCGTCGTGCCACATGGGGATCGTGTCGTGAAAAGGGATGCGCGCAGGGCACCAGCGAATCGCCGATTATTCCCTCCGCAGGCCCGGGGATATATAGTCGTTTGGTATTCCTTTTGGCTTTCTGCAAGTCATCTCCATTGCTTACCTATAGTACTGTAAGCACTATCTTTGTGCTTTCGACCACTTGTAGGCTGCTCATCCAAGCCGCTCGAAATCCCGAGCTACATATCCGCTCCAACGGCTACCCCAGGTCCACATGCTAATATTGAGGCGCCCTTGATGCGGTCACCGTGTTTTCAAAATTGAGATTATTGGCCGTTTGCGTTGAGTCGTGTTTCTGCTCTGTGGGGCAAGAGAGAGATAGACAGATCGATGGTATGTTCCATATCTCGCAAGCGCAATAAGTCGCCTGGCAGACCCGCTTCATAATTTCGGCACACTGGCAGTGGCACTGGCAGATTGTCCAAGAGCTACAAGCTTCCCATCCTCTAATAAAAATTATGAGCTTGAATATTCTCTTTTATCCGCACCTCTCACTCTTACTCTCATCCTCATCCTCATCGCACATCTCGTTTTAGTCCCAAACAGATTCTAATATATCGTTTCTCCGTCCAGCCATATCGTCTATCTGACCGACACAGCTATCGATAACGAAAACAAACCCCCACCTTCCTCCTTCGATTTCTGATCCATCGACCACCTGAACGCGAGACAAAATATCCGAAACCGTACCTCGCATCACCATGGCCAAGCAACCTAACCTTCTGGCATTCCCCAATGTCAGCGCTCTGGCCAGAGCGTTGCGAACATACATAATCCAGTGCCAAACCGCAGGCCTGCACCGCCATGACGTCTTCAAAATCGCCGTCTCCGGCGGCTCTCTCCTCAATACCCTCGCGCAGGCGCTTCTTGCACCAGCCAGCTCCGATGAAGACGTCGTAAAGTTCAACAAATGGGAGATCTTCTTCGCAGATGAGCGGGCGGTGCCTCTCGATCACGAAGACTCCAACTACAACCTTTTGAAGACCGAGCTTCTGGATAAGATTCCCGAGAACATGGGCAAGCCTACCGTGCACCCAATCGACGTTGCACATTTGGATGATACGCAAGAGCTTGCCGACCAGTACGAGAAGGTCTTGGTGAACAGCTTTGCCGCGAGGGATAGCGTCAAGCTGCCTATTTTCGATCTGCTGCTCTTAGGCTGTGGGCCTGATGGCCATACATGCAGCTTATTCCCCGGCCATGAGCTACTGAGAGAGTCTGACGCCTGGGTCGCGCCGATTGAGGACTCGCCAAAGCCACCATCAAAGAGAATCACCCTTACCTTACCAGTTGTGACGCACGGTGTCAAGATCGCCTTCGTGGCTACGGGAGAAGGAAAGAAAGAAATTATGAAGAAGATATTCGAGGAGGCCAACGGCCTCCCATGCACGCTGGTCAATGAGGGTGCTGGGGATAGATGTACCTGGTTTACAGATGCGGCAGCGGTAGACGGGGTCAGTTATCCAAGAAGAGGCAGCCTCTGATTTGGCGATGCGGGTTCGAATAGATAAGAGGGGAGGGATAAAGGAGTGCGGGGTGACTTTTTCTTGGGGGGGGGGTTTGCAACAGTCGCTTCGGCCCATGGCTTGCTTGCTTATTTATATAGTCTTTGGAGTTTCGCAGGGCAAAATGCTGGGCTTGGGTGTTTTAAAAAGGGACACATTCGCGTAGGGCAGAATGTCTGCGCCGTCCATGGCATGCTGGATAGAATCAACTTCCTGAGACCTAGCATTCCAATGGAGACTATAAACTTTAAAAGAAGTCGATGCTTGACATGCCAATTTCCTCAGCTACTATCAGTCCTCTTTATCTTCTACCTCCAAGCATATAGGGCTTACTCTCGCTAAGGACACATTTTATGTAGGAGATTAATATGTACAGGAGCAGCAATAATAAGCAAACAGAACGCCATCGGTTCCCTTTCCAGCGAATTTCTTCTCAAATGACCCACTTGCATCACCAAAGGGTGCGGAATAGTTACGTCAAATCATTGCGACGTGCAACAAACACCACAAATGTACGTGATATGCCGTTAGTTGCCAAGGGAATGGGACAGCAGCAATGTTGTGGTGTATGGCTAAAAGAACTAAGACTTATTATTGAATCTAAAAATATGCATCTCTGATTGAGTTATGGTATCTTTGGTTAATCATACTGTATATACCAGCGCAAGTGCCAATCCCACCCAAAATACCCCATCTGCTCTATCCAAACGCCAACAATAACTCCCGCACCTGTTCCCCAAAAATCATAACCCAATCCAACCAATATTAATGAAAGCAGTGACCAGTTGAAGTAGCCACGTATGCCTCTTGAGAGGTGCAGAGTAGAGAGTAAACCCGACTAAAGACACCAACCATGCATCAACCACCGTCCCTCGCCTGTCTAAAGATATAGTGAGCGTCATGTACAGGAGTGCTGTGTATGAAAGGGGGTCATCCAGCTAAATCACACTCTTTGGCTCGCAAAATCAAGGACTTCGCAGTCATCTTCGAAAAACCCCTCCTCATCTGCATCAGTAGCTTCGGTGCCGGACCGGGAGATGCCTTTACGCCGTCTGGTGGTAACCACGATCTGCTCCATTTCCTTATTGTGGTCCTTTACCATCCAGATCCTTTCGATTGCTGAGGTTGGGAGAGCACGATGATCGACGGGAACATCTAGGTCATCATCCGCAACATGTACAGGCCCAACGTCAAGTTTTGTGGTTTTGATAGCGCCACCAAAGGCCCAAGGCGTTCTACCCCCTCTAACTGGCGCTGATGCTGACTTATTCATGTTTGTTGACGGTGAAAGAAGACCAGAAGCAGACGAAGTGAAAACGGATGCCTCCACAGAGGAGTATACATGCAAGCTAACTCGCCGATCAGAATGGAATGGCTGATATGGAGCAGTAGACTCAATCTCGGCCTGCGGGATGGATGGCTCAGTTCCATGCTGACGTACTGCCTGTGGTGGTGATTTCCTGAGATTCCATCGATGATCCTCAACATCTCCACCGGTGCCTCCAAGATCGCTGACTTGGTCTAAGTCCCGTATAGGGCCCGGTGCGACCTTGAAATCTGGCAGAGAAGGAAGTCGAAACTCGACGTATTTAGCTCCTCGAGATGCTTTTTGCTTGTCTGCAGGGCGATCTGCTCTCCGGTTCTTAATAGTATAGAACCTAACAACACCTCCACCTACCACGATAATGGAATCGCTCCGCCTTCGGTTCAATAGCAGAACACATGATTTGCTGGGGATGGTTACGCTGCGTGGGAGGTGCAACTTGGTATTCCCGGATTTGCGCATCTCATTCATCCTTCCAGTAGCAGCACCTACAGATCGACTGATTCCGGCAGCCAATATCTGAGTCCCATGTCCCGCTTGAGCAGTCATGGTTTTTGCCGATATACCCGAACTGCTTCGACGGCGACGGCTTACCAGAGGCCGAGCAACAGTCCAGAGAGAATTAACTGCGTTGGTAGCTACACCAGCAGGCGTAAGTCCTGTACCGGCAATATCGCCAGTAGACTCTTCAGATTTTGTAGAAGTAATCCTCCGGCGGGGAGGTGGCCAAGTGAAGGCACTTGCTGGTAGGTCAAGGATGTGGACCGTTCCAGGTTCCGTGACCATTGCAGCACGCTCGCCATGAGGTGAGCTCCATGCGACATCCACAATTCTAGCGATAGTCATTCGTGAAAATTGTGCAATTTGTCTTACATGAGGACCTCTACTTTCCGATCCTTGGGAGCCTGCCTTCAGAAATGACGACTTCGCAAAATGCACCCGCATGAGATCCCAGACGCATTGTATATCTCCTTTGCTACTAGCTGTAAACAGGGCTAGACCACTGGGAGCAAAGGACAAAAAGCTGCATCCGTGAGGGATCTTGAACGTGGATAGGGGATGAGGTGGGTTTGAAAATGAGTTGTGCTGAGCCAGCGACTCGAGGTCCAATATCGACACCAAGCCTGGATCCTTTGCAACCGCAGGTGCTTGAGTTGGAACGCCGTGGGTAGGGGGAAACTGATGCGCCGCATTTGGCTGGGTATGATATGCCATACCGCCAGTTGCTGCTTGGCTTGAAGGAGGCTTATTCCAATAGTTGTTCCAAGCTTGAGCTCCTTGTTTTCCGAGCTGCTTCCCAATATACGTGGTTCCTTCAATCAGCGCCTGCGTGCCGGCTTGCATGATTTGCTTCACCATACTTTCTCCTTCAGGAGTCTCAACCGTGCAGTTTATCGAGGGCAATTGCGGTGGTGCTTGTGCAGCGAGCCCAGGAATTTTCATGGAGGATATGCCTGGAACAGTGGCGCGTAGGGAAACTTGGGAGGACGGAGCAGAAGGGCAATAAGCCAGCCACCGCCCCCTCAATGATAAAATTGACGCCTTGTACTGCTTTTGCTCCATAGATTCTGTAGAGTACCAATCACCATCTGCGAGTCCGCTAAGTCCTGGGGTTTCGACGGAGACTCCATGTTGCACCGCAGTCCAGACTTTACCAATGCACTTAAACTCGCCGGGTGTGCCTCGCGCAGACACCTTCTGGCGGAAGATCCAAGTCTCTCCCGTAGTTCCGGACGCAAGAACAACGTTGCCTTCATCTGCGTGAATGGTCAAGGCCCCGGCTGGCGGAGGAGGCTTGAACAGCGGGCTAGTAGTCGGAATAGAGATCTGTGTTTTGGAAATTGACAACAACGTAGCCACGTGTTGCTTAGTGCCTAGTGAATAAACCTCCACGGTGGTCTGATAGAATTCAACAGTTCCATTATCATGAGCTGGTGGGCCAGAGGCCCTCGGTGAACCTCGAACACTCCCATTATGGGTCGTAGAGATTCCATCGGGTGAGGGTCCGGCTTCCGAGCCACTGGGTGAGCCACCTGATGTCAAAGCCGGCCCATGTATTACAACGGCAATCAATGGGAAATGCTGAGAAGCTCTCCCTAAGATGTTCCATGGCAAGATCTTCGCATTATATACCCCACCCCGAAGTCCTTCAAGACTTGCACTTTTCTTGAGGCCTCTTTTGGTGACTGTATGGATGTTAATCCCCCCCTCATATCCTGTCAGGATGACCTTCTCGGCTGATCTCGAGGCATCTTGAGAGACAGGCAGGCTATCAAAGCCACAATAACACCCGTTCTCCCCAGGAACAAGGCCAGGCCCGGGTGGCGACAGCAAGAGATTGGCATCAGGAGCTCCATAGAAATGAGCTTGGGCCTGATGGGGAAGCGGAGGGTGTTGGGCGTATCTAGGATGTTGGGCATACATCGAGCTTCGCCGAGCAGCGTATGACGATACTTGAGAGCGGTGGTCATCGGGAACTTGACCAGAAGCTCCATCCATTTGGTAGCTCAGGGGCCGACGTCGATTTGCCGGCGGAGAGGCTGAGGCGAGATGGGCGTTTGCCACCGTCCTTTGCTCTCTTGTCGGCCAGTCAGATCCAGTAACCCGTTCCTCATAGGAAGAGGGCAAAATCGGAGGAGAGTCTCCTAGACTTATAAGGTTGTTGGGAGAGCTTGAATACGCAGGGACATTATCTGCCCACTCATTGGTGTTGTGCGTCGAGGACCGGGCTATGGTGGCCGATGAGAGGGCATCCAACAAAGGGGACGTGACTGGATTGCCATTTGGAGGAGAGTCTTGCGGCTCGCTCTCCGGTGACTCAGTAGGAGTTGCTGCTGATGACTTCGCGTTCCTGGTACTATGGCTATTAGCTACGGTCGATGAGCACCTAAGAGTCAGACCGGGCGCAGTCTAGGGTTCCTGTACTCACGACATCTTTGCAGCATTTTTGTTCACCGCTGCCAATACGCCATTACCGCCAGTATCCTTCGCCGTCCCATTCTTCTTCCTGTTCCTCGTGGATATGTGACCTGCGGCTGCCGATCCCCTCTGAGTCAACCTACCGGGTTGGGATTGGGGGCTACTGCTCGGAGTATTGATGCTGTCGTTATCGAGTGAAGGCGGCATTCACAAGATATTACGGATATCCCTCGATGGGCTGGCAAATCCGTAGATAGACCGCGACTCTCTGGCGTGGTGAGAGCAAAGGCTGGGTTGAGTTGGCAAGCTGGTTCAAGAGATCAGCGAGGTGGGTGCGAGTGCTCCCCGCTTGCGTCCCGAACAGCCAGAATTCAAGGAGACGGGGGGTAGAACTCTCGAGAGTGATGCACTGCAGTGCGCTGATGGCGGTGGGTCGTCGTGCGCTCTATATCTATGTGGTATGTGATGGCGATAGGGGTATTCTGTGATGTCTTCTTCTGCGAGCAAGTGTATAGGAGATGTAGACAGTATGTAGCTCCTTGTGAGAGCTGGAGGGTGTTTGGAGACGGGGTCCGGGTCGGGGTCGGAATGGGGCCAAATGGAGGGGCAACAGGTGCTACAGCACTTGCGTAGTCCTCGGTACTGTAGCGTCACTGCTGATGCTGGAGGACCCTGATTCGCGCACCTGGATACCGCAGCTGGACAGGCTTGCCGGGATTCACAGCGCGGAGCGTGGACTGTCTGCCAGGTACGCAGCACCATGCTGTACGTAGGGCACAGTAAAGGATACAATATATAAGGTATATAGAGACAGTGGTCGCACAGCAATCTGGCCAAATGAAGAGCGTATAATCGCATCTGGCTCTTGGGCTTTCAACGGCAAATTCGGATCCGGTCGCGTCTTGGGTATTATGGCACGACATCCCGAGGAGAGGAGAGGAGGAGAGGAGAGGAGAGGAGAGGAGAGGAGAGGAGAGGGAATATGGGGGTATATTGCACACTAGTTGTTTCGATCACTGTCCCAAGCCATTACCAAACCCCAAACCCCTTTATTTGCCTGCTGGTGCGCGGCCATGATATGGTCTCTGCAATGCAAACTACACCGAACCCGCGACTTTCATTATGTTGGCCAGATATGTTATTTCCCCCTTTCTGTAGTCGACGAAAACTGCCCTAGGAGGTTTCCAACGCCCAAGGATCATTTACGCCTTCTTCTTGCCAGCCGCTTTGGCCTTCGCTGCCGTCTTTCTGTTGCTCCGGATCATCACCACGCTTAAAAAGGAGCCCACGACCGCTGAACCCAACAATATAAGAATGACAGGAATGCGGATTGCCCAGACGCGCGGGGGAAAGACGTTCTGGAGAGGATGGTCCGAGTCGACAAAGGGCTAGAATTCGCAGTGAGCTTCCATCCTGCCACTAGTAATAAATATAGAGATGGATTCATAATCATACCATAAGAAGCGTCCAGATAGTATAATAAAGAAACACGACAGTCGCAGTGACGAGCATCCCAAGACCAACTAGTTTATCGAGCTGTGCATGTTAGCGCGTGGTTTGGTTGATTCGCAGGTGCGGCCTCGGACAATTCATACCATGGTTGCAACAGACTGGAAATGGAAGCGAACGTCAAGAATCAGATCCAAGGGACGAACAATTGAACGGTTGTAGTCGTAGTGATGATGTTTCGATGATTTCCCAAGGTGGTTGTCGCCAGCTACAGCTTGATCGATCTGGCTTTCCCTTCCTACGCGAACTTTATTTTAGCGCGATCTGGGAAGAAAATCAACCCCGGTTCGCCTCCAACCTTCCTGATATTCCATCCATCACCTCAGCCTCACGACACTTTTACCTCGCGGACTCCTGCCCATATCGCGTCGCAAACGCGCTACAACGCTGCGCATATTAAGGGGATCAGATTTCGGCTGTAGCTGAAGTTGGACCACTGTTGAGGACCCCAAAGCGTAGCAGGCTGCAACGCGGTCACTACTTGGGAGCTATCAATTTGCCTGGGATCTAGGTTATTTTTTTCAGCCAACCGATATGGAGGTGGAACAACGGCCACCGGTGGAGAATACAGAGAGGCACCTGGAGGAACGGTCTGCGAATAGAGTCCCCTCCTCCCCGCGACGAGATCGGGACAGGCGAAATGGGGAGGGCTCCCCAAACCATCACTCTGCGCCACGAGGCAGAGATACGACTGTCGCGAAACCTAGGACCGAGGAAGAGAAGCAAGCTGCGGCCAAGGCCGAATATGAAAAGCTATTGAATATGCGATCAGGAGGGACTTATATACCGCCGGCACGGCTACGAGCCCTCCAGTCTCAAATCACAGACAAAAGCAGCAAAGAATACCAGCGCATGGCATGGGAAGCTTTGAAAAAGTCAATAAACGGATTGATCAACAAAGTCAATGTCTCAAATATCAAGTACATCGTGCCCGAGCTCTTTGGGGAGAATCTGGTTCGAGGCCGAGGCCTATTCTGCAGAAGCATCATGAAGGCGCAGGCTGCCAGTTTGCCGTTCACGCCAATATACGCAGCAATGGCAGCTATCGTGAACACGAAACTTCCTCAAGTTGGAGAGCTTCTGCTTAAACGTCTTATTGTTCAGTTCAAAAAGGGTTTCAAGCGGAACGACAAGGCTGTATGTCTTTCGTCGACAACTTTCATTGCTCATTTGGTCAATCAACAGGTTTCCAGTGAGATCCTCGCAGCGCAGATTCTGTTGCTCCTTCTTCACAAACCGACAGATGACAGTGTTGAAATTGCCGTTGGTCTTACCAGAGAGGTGGGACAACACCTAGAGGAGATGAATCGTCCTGTTGCGTTGGCTGTGTTTGACCAGTTTAGAAACATTCTGCATGAGGCGGATATTGACAAGAGAGTTCAGTATATGATTGAGGTGCTTTTCCAAGTTCGCAAGGATCAGTACAAGGACAACCCCGTCATCAAAGAGGAACTTGATCTTGTGGAGGAAGAAGACCAGATCACGCATACGACAGCTTTGGACGATGAGATCGACGTCCAAGATAGCCTGAATATCTTCAAGTTTGATGCGGAATGGGAAGAACACGAGGAGGCGTACCGAGCTTTAAAGGCTGAAATACTTGGAGAGGGGAGCGATGAGGAGGGCGATGAAGATGACGAAAGCGATGAAAGCGAGGATGATGACGAGAAGCAGGGGGAGAAAGCTTTAGAGATCAAGGACCAGAGCAATACCGATCTAGTGAATCTCCGACGAACTATATATTTAACGATCATGTCCAGCATCGATCCAGAAGAATGTTGTCATAAGCTGATGAAAGTGACACTACCGGCTGGCCAGGAACCAGAATTACCATCGATGGTCATTGAGTGCTGCTCTCAGGAGAGGACCTACTCGAAATTCTACGGCCTGATTGGGGAGCGCTTTGCTAAGATCAATCGTCTATGGACCGATCTCTTTGAGCAATCATTCGTCAAATACTACGAAACCATTCACCGATACGAAACAAATCGACTAAGGAACATCGCTCGCTTTTTTGGCCATCTTCTCAGTTCCGATGCTATTGGATGGCATGTCCTCTCCGTGGTTCACCTCAACGAAGAAGAAACGACGTCCAGCAGCCGGATCTTCATCAAAATCCTATTTCAGGAGCTCACTGAGGCAATGGGCATGGCCAAGTTACAGGCTCGCCTGAAAGATGATATTCTGCAACCTTATTTCGAGGGTCTTTTCCCTCATGATAACCCTCGTAACACAAGATTCTCGATCAATTACTTTACCAGCATCGGCATGGGCGCGGTAACAGAGCAGATGCGCGAATACCTTCAGAATATGCCTAAGCCGGCGCTTCCTGCGCCGCCAGCGCCAGCTGGTGATTCTGACTCTGACTCGGGGAGTTCAGTGTCTAGTTATTCGTCATATACAGGCTCCTCATATTCGAGATCCCGTTCGCGGTCTCGAACCCCTTCTAGGACTCGCGCTCTGCCCCGGCGACGCTCTATTTCACCAACTCCACCTCGAGATGTCAGGGGAAGGGGAAATCAGAGGGGGCGAAGTTTGACAAGATCCATCTCCAGATCTGTTACTCCGCCACGGCGTACCAAAGGTCGGGAATCGCTCTCGGTTACACCTCCACGAAGGGCACACAGAGATACAAGCTACTCGAGGTCACCGCCTCCAAGACGAGGCCGGAGAGATTCTTTTTCAGTCACCCCCCCTCCAAAGCGAGGCAGAGCAGTTAGTGATTCGAGATCCCCCCCTCGACGGGACCGTAGCCGCAGAAATACTTCATCTGTGAGCAATTCGCCCCGGCGTCGTGATGTCAGTATATCAAGATCCCCGCCACCACGCCGACCTGCAAGGAGAGAGGATTATTCTGTAACCCCACCTCGCAGAGGTCGCAGGGACGATAGTTATTCAAGATCCCCGCCACGGAGACGCGTTCGCCGTGATAGCAGATCTGTTACGCCACCCATGAAGAGAAGGAGAGATTACAGCAATTCCAGGTCACGGTCACCTGCTCCAAAGCGTGGCCGGCGATAGAGTTAAGGTAGTGAGTGACTTTGGGCAGGTCGAAGATGTTGGCGTTCAACAAATTTGTGTTGTGTAATTTTAGAAACACCGAGATTGGGCAACTGGCGTACAGGAGCACAGCTCGTAAAGAATGACATCCATATGCAGCATCCATCAATGCAGTCAGTCAATACCATACAATACCGTGACACGAAAAAATTGCTGGAACGAACAACTGCCGCGACTTTGGCCAGCGCAGCGCGAAGTTCCGCGTTCGCCCATATCATGTGACCTGTGAACGACCCAACCCCTGAACGATGATCTGTGGCGTCGCCCATGTGTTTACAGCGGGAAAAGGTTCGCCGCCCCTTACGATCGGGCGAAGCAAAAGCCTTGGAAGCAGGCTTCTGCATGCTTCTGTAGATTTGGCTTCTGCGCCAACGGCCCCAATCCCCTAATTTTCCCCCTAGCGAGCTCTCCCTCCGCCATCTCATCTCGTTTTACTGGCCGCGCCGTGATCTCCAGCTGGCAAAACCGCAAGCCAGTCTCAGTCTCCAAACATGGGGCCGCCTGCACAGTAAGCCGGCGCTGGCCCCTCGGTGAGTAAGCCAGCAAGGCTTCGTAAAGGGATGACAAAACCCGTCAGCGATGCCCTTCTCCCTCTTGTCGGCGAATAGGATCGTGGGATGTTGGGTACTTAGTATGACAGACCATCTCCGCCCCGAGGAACCCAACTGGGTATTATTAATGACCCTTGAATTGGACCGACGGCTCGCAGGATGCCAGCCAGGTTGATAGCACTTCCCGACTGCCCATTTCTGACCGTTAATGAGCCTGGTTCGCACATCGACGCCCGCCAAAATCACCCTGGAGGACGTGTGGACACTGGACTGGAAGTTGCCGGTGGCCATGGACTAGCAGTGCGACTGAAGTTATGGTGGCAGCGTTCAGATCAGAAATAATACCAAAGTAGCTGGAGCAGCATGGGCTGATCGTGGCCAGCGCATAGTTGTTGCTGCGATATTGGTTAAATAAATATAGCTCTGCTTCTCGTAAGCATCATTGTACGTACAGATTCCAAATCTCAAACTTTCCCCCTCGGAATACTCGAAGTATGCTTACCAAACTAGAGCAGAGAGTCTTTGGGCCACTACCGGTCCCCGCTCCACCGCCGAGAGTCTAAAAGTTGCCACGGGATAGAGGTTGGATAGATGGGGCGGTCAAACACGTCGATACCAAAATATAAGCCTCCACGCCGTGGTGATGGAGCAGTCGCAGCGGCCGGGGATCAAGCGCCCTTGGGATGAGGGCATAACATTATCAGGAAGGGGCGACACATGGAATGGAACTGGACTGCCTCCCATTGACCGCCGTCCTGCTCTGCCACATGGCGGGGAAGCAATCCACGATCCGCGCAATCACTATCCCCGAGAATCAACAGAATTGGAGGCCAAGCGGCCAAGATATGTGCGCGATGAGCATCAGCACTCCCCGGGGGATAATTTTGGCGTGAATGGCCAAATGCTTCATTCACGGGTGAACCGTATGCTCCACCAAGTATCCATTTTGCAATCGATAGCTAACTCGGTCTCCCATTTTAGATACGATATATGATCCAAAGCGCATAAGCCATGGCACTACCCAATCACCTCAGTTCGCCTCTAAACAAAGAGTTGAAGGATGGGGAAATACTAGCGGACGACCTGGCCAACATGTAGAGCCCCGAGAGTCTACAAATCTCTGTCGCCGGTGTAGGAAGGCCATCACGGAACGACCAGATGGGGATTCCGTGGAATCGGACGAACGCTACGCAACTATCCTGCGAACCACAGCAAGTGAGCTTATGCGGCTAGTGGGGACGCTCAGTCAACGGATTCCGTACGATGACAGGTACGGGAGAGGGATGCCACGTTTGGTTAGTGAAGATGGTTACTCCCCTGCTCGTGAGACTTTTAACTAACGTCACATATTCACAGAGTCCCGATCGACCTAGTACAGCCGAAGACGAGTATCCTCCGGTAGAGCAGTTCGGCTTAGAACATACTTTGAACTGGATGCTAAATAGGGTCCATCACATTAATAGGCATGCGGACAGGCTCGTGCAAGAAATTCCTCCAGATACGTTCCAGAGGCTCAAAACGGAGCGCTCACAGAATGGCATGCAATCTTCTATAGATCATGCCGATATTATGAACCGAGGTTTGGATACGGAGCGGGAATCGGCCTTCAGATTGAGGGTTGAACCCTCCGATCCTGCCTTTGATGGCAAGCTCTACACAAGGGACACTGTCTCGGTCAAAGATGACCCCTCACCTGTACGATCCCCTTACAACTACCATCCGTCCCAGTCATCGGATGGATCCCATGGCCGACTTTCTACCATGAACCCCCCTTTGGCATCAACCCGCCAGCTACCATCTCCTCCTGGCCGATCCGTTTCGTCGCCAACATCTGCCAGCTTCCCATCCCCTTCAGCTGGTTCATTCGGGAGCACATCGCAGCCAGCTAACGTTCCCACTCCTTTGGGCTTACAGCCATCCTCCCCAAATATATACCTACCACCAATCGGTTCCGCGCGTTCTTCCGATTCTGCATTGCAAGCCCATTCTGCTGCACTACAGCATGATGTCTCTGTGCAAAAGATTGCCTTATCATCTCTCCAAGCCGAGCATGACAAGCTACTTGCTGCCTACCTACGCTCACAGACTCGATCCAGTGCGCTAGAAAAGAAGCATAGTGTATCAGATGCTGAAATTATAACCTTGACAGAGGAGAAGCTGAGACTCCAGACTCAAGTCCTTGACTTGGAGAAGGATATCGAGGATATATCGAGAAGCAGGGACGAATGCAGACAGTCTGCTGTACAGGAAGGGGCGCAGTATCTTGAGATTGTCAAGAAAGCCAGTCAATTGGAGGCTATGGCTGTGGGGGAGAAGCAGAGATGGGATGCTTCGAAAAAGGAACTAGAACAGAGGATTCAGGAGTTGAAAACCGGAAGCGGCTCCAAGGGTGGTTTGGAGTCCGTGGGATCCGCAAACCCAACTTCGGCGACGTCAGTCGATGGCATGGAAAAACCAGCGTCGTTGCAGCAGCCGTTAAATATATTCAAGTTGGAAGACACTGGAGGCGAACGAGCGGAAGTGAGCACGATGGCGCCAGAGTCCGCAAATGGACAGCGGGGTTCAGTGAGAGTTCTCGAAGAGGAAATACAGCATCTCCGACATCGATGCGCGGAACTGGAGAAATGTTTGCATGAAGTGAGAGCACAGAATCGATCCATGGATGGCCTCGTGGACGCCCTAGTCCATGCCAGAAAATCGATGCTAGAACAAGCTGATAAAGCGCTTCAGGAGTAAATAGATGATGGAAAGTGCTAGAAGAAACCGATGTAATCGCGCCTACTACACATAATATACCAAGTGAATGATGCATGCGGTGTTTTTGTAGATTGAAGCAAACGAGTTCAAGGTCATCCTGTATCCACGTGGCATGTCGCCCGGCACCATCCGTCAAGCCCTACCTTTTAAATGCTTGTATATACAATATACCTCGGTATCTAGACGTATCCGTAACGGTTTGGAAGGAGCAAAGTCGTCTGAAGTTCTGAGAGCGATATGATATCAGCTGCATATGTAATGCGCTCCGAGACATCTGTCAACCCCAGCGTGTCCGGCAAGTGTTCCGAATCGATTAACGAGAGACAGTGGTGGTGGTACGAGTACAAACAATCAATAAATGCAAGATTCCGCGCGTACAACTGCATCTGCTACCAAAGTACGAAACGGGCCGTTCCTCAGCGCCTCAAATGCAGAGTCCATGCCGTATACTTATTATTTGGCGGCCGTTATTCGAATCCCAAGACATGATGGCCTTCAATGTTCAGACCATTTACCCTAGCCCCGACGCTGCCAAGCCGCCAACCAGCTTCTCGCGACAATCTCCGACACACCTCAAACCTCGCCATAGACCCTTAACCTCCATTGTAGGAAAAATGGCCTGACCTCGCCCCGACAATAGAAACAAAACTCCCTGAAACATGAGCGTTGCACCGTGGGCTGTTTGGGAAAGGGGCCATGCCAGGTAATAACCAAGAGATAAAGCTTTAATATGATATAGCCGCTTGCACCTCCCTCTCTCCTTTGCTCGTGAGGTAGTCGTGACTTCACAAATATACGTTTTAGTGGCAGAGAAGAGGCGTGAAATTGAACCTGCATGCCCATCCATCTCTTACTGCATACTACTGTCGTCTGTTGAGCGGATCGCGGTTTTCCATTCTTTCTACTACTGCTACATCTTCTTCATTCTTTGAAATTAAACCCGAAAGCCCTCGTTCATTTTTCGCTCGGGCCTTCTTCAAGATATCAAAGCTCTTCAATAGTTCTTTCTTAACTCGCACTATCGCCCGCCCTGCTGGGAAACCCGACCGGCACGATCATCATCTATCTTCCTCGTCGCTCACCAAGATCATCTGCTTCGAGCCGACTCGCCTTCGAACTCCCCACACACATCAAAGCAGAGTCCCTTATTCTATTCATACGCCACCATGGGTAACGCATTCTCCGGGCCCGACGCCTTTAAATTCTTCAACTTCACACCCAAAGCCACGGCTGTGTTACAAAAGGACCCGATCCTCCTCGTCATCCTCCTCGTCGTCATATTATCATGCGTTGCCATGGGACTGTTGACGTGGTACATTCATTTCATGACCAATGGGCCGTATAAGAAACCGAAACCGGTGAAGGGGGCTGCGAAGAAATAGGGTTAGCGGAGCGGAATAGTTCGTGAGGGAGCTCGTGATTGAACTCCTGGAGGAACAGCTGGATGAGCGAAGGAAGATACCACGGAGCAAGAAAGACGTACATTTGTTTCCCCCTTGTTAGCCAATAGGTGGATATACATATCCCCCATTGTCGATTGCAGGCGAGACAAAACATGGCTATTGGGGCTGCGACTTAAGTCGGGCGGAAACTGGGGAAATATACCTGAATTCTAGATGGTGTTTCGGGTGTTTTTATGGAGCGTTTTGGGAGCGCTTCTATACTTCATACACTTACATATCCCCATATATTTCGAGGGAAACCTGTATATACCAAAATTATCTGAGTGTGCTACATGAAAATAAATTGGATCATTGGATTTCACACCACAAATCTCTTGAGTCCTTTCTCCCAAAAATCATCGTCGTCTCGTCATGTTTTAATTTGGAACAGATGCCCTACGGTATACATTTCGTCGTTCTCTAATTGTAAGTACCTGTGCTTAAGAATTAAAACGGGGTTGATAGGAGACATCAAGGCTTAGAAAATGGTGCCATTGAACGGACTTCTATGCAAATCCCGCATCCAGTTTTCGACTTCTAACTCATAGCGTTGCTGTACATTGAAGTAACTAGGTGCTAAGTATGGTACATGCTGGTATATGTGCCCAACTAGAGCCGTCAGTATCTATTTCCCAAGGCATAAAATCTACTATAAGAAAGTTGGATATGTGCGAATATCTGCTATTATTCAAATACCTCCGCCTGAAAGTGTAAGGAAAGATACAGATCAGGATAGAAAGCAGTAGACTATTGTGTAAATCAGTATCCACGCCAGTCTGCCACTTTACTCGAAGTCTGTGGGTATCTTGTGTAGCCACGGGGGTTCGCGTACGGCGTACGGAAGCCCACAGTACCTACCTAAGGGAGGTAGGTAGGTACCTTAGGTACTCAGACTTACTGTAGAGAGTGTGGCAGCACATGGAGCGTGTCTACTCGAGGAGCCGCATGGTACCAAAAAAAGTAGCGAGATATCCTTAGATCTCAACAGGCTGACTATTTTATTGACCCAGATTGAGAAATTCGATTGCCCGGACAGTTCAGTAGGTAATTACGAACAGAACAACCCCGCGGAATTCATAATAGACAGGGAATATGCATACTCGAATTAGTATTACCCAAGAAGCAACCATACTGAGGCAAGGTAAAATGAGTGGGCGTTGAGTAATTCGAAATTTTCGAAAGACCTAGAGAATCTCTAGGCATAATAGCGGCTCCAAACGGAATAAATCCACAGACTGGAGTATAAAAAACCAAAAGAGATGAGGCAGGTGTACAGAACGAGCTGAAGATAGCAGTGGAAGTACCAAACTCCACAACGTAATTCAGGCAGCCAGGCTGACTACATGTGGCAATTTATAAAAATGATATAAAAGTTAACGGGTGATGTTATCTGAGACATTCGCTACAACTAGTAACTTTCCTTGTAACCTAACTAACTAGGCAAAGCAAGAATGTCTGGCGCATCATGGGGCACTAGTATCTGCATCGTCATGCTAATATTGTATTAAAAAAATAAAGCTTAGATGTTTAACGTTACAGTAGCAGTCTACTTGTCCTGCATCTCAAAGCAAAATTATATGTCTGTTACTACATAGGACACTTCCTATAATGGGGAACGTACCCTATAATCGAGGAGACGAAGTTGAACTATAGCGATAATAGGTATTATGCAGTCCATACCTAAGTCCTAACAGCAAGCCAGCCCCACTGATTCCCTGCATCTATTTCTTCGCAGCCACAGCACCCTTCTTCTTCTTCTCTTCCACAGCTGGGGTGACCTTCTCGTCGCTAAAATCACCCGGAAGGTCCGAACTAAGCCTTGGGATGAATTTCCCAACTCTTCTCTGATATTCCTTATACTCGGGATATTTCCCTGCTGAAATAGACTCCGAGAACCATGCCGAGGCTTGAAAAAGTGCCAGGTAGGAGATTGCTCCAACCAGCGTCCAGTTGTACAAAGTGTCAGTAATGTAACAACCCCATTGATAAACAACGACCCAAATGGCTTGCTCTGCTGCAAAGTTTGGGTGGCGGCTCCATGACCATAAGCCAGTGACAACGAATCCGCGGTCTAGATCCTCTTGCTCGAATTTAGGAGGGAGTTTGGCGGTCTTTTGATATAATTTCTTTGCGGTTTGAAAGTCTGTAGATTGGGGTTATTAATGCCAGTTTATCTCTAGGTTTCTGGCGGACTTACTCCACTGCTGTTGGTCCGCAGTGAACTCGAGGAGTATTAGCAGCATTAGAGCTCTCGGGAATATGATATCAACCATAGACATTTCCGGCCTCAAGCGTGCTGCCAACAGCATAACATATGGTGGCGTCGTTATGAGGAAGAGGAGGATGGATTGTCCGAGGGAGATGAAGAGGACGTTGAAAATGAAGAAGACGGCGGGGTTGATGCGCTCTCTGAGGATTGCCCTATCAGTCCAGATTAGCATAGAACGGCGAATATGGATATGCTGCGCTCACCATCGGTAATCCTCTCCTCCAATTTTATATCCTCCTTTCCGCCAGTAGTTGAAGGTTAACCGCACCTAAAAGACTTGTTAGACCGTAACGCGACACGAGGCAAATGAATTCATACGCTCCACACGGTGCTAACAGCAACCAGATGGTCCAGACGCTCGGTTGGCAGACCAGACATATGCGCATATAGCGTGTAGTGGGCAATATACAGAGTAGGTAATATACTCCACATCCTGTCTACCTGGCTGTAGTTCTTATTGATTTCTGATATGAGGAGAAACAATGGGGCAAGAAATAGCGAGAATGCGAAGGCCGTGATGAGGGGATTCGTAGACAAGTAGAGATCTTGCAACTCTGCAGAGTTGTTCCATGATTTAATAATCTGTTGCGGAAGGTCGTATAGCTGAGGGAGGTATCGAAGAACGGTGTCATCGAAGGACAGGCACTCGTGGAGTGTCTTCACCGCTGGTAAAGCCATGAGGGAGGAGACAACTAATTGCATTCGGGGGCGGTGGGAGGCAGTCGTGCCGAGTATTCGGGGGAGGGGTAATGAGGTGTGAAGATATTGTATAGTATTGTCGTGGTAGGAATGTTTTGAACAAGAAATGACGATACTCCGTATGTAACCGCCGTCGATTCCCCGTGCCCGTGCTGGCCTACAGTGCTGCTACTACTCGCTAAATTAAGGCGGCAAGCCAGGCGAGGCCTGTCAACATCGCGTTGCTGGAGGGTGTTCGTCCTATCGTGGATTTTCAGCCCACAGCACAACATCTTGACTATAAAATTTATGATTATCGACGTGTCAAATATGCTGCTAAGTTCGGATTATGCATATCAAGGACCGTCGATAAACTCCAAGTAGACTATACTCTACTAAGCAGTCTCTACAAAGCAGGGAGAAAGAAAAACCACAGAATGCTAATATGCCGGGGAAGATACTTTGCGTAGCCGAAAAGCCTTCTATTTCAAAGGCTGTAGCTGGCCATCTCTCGGGCGGGGAATATCAAACGGTAAGCTAGTTACTTTGCCTTCAGAATGAAATTTTGCGGGTCTTTGCTGAAGCCTTCAGCAAAATACACGCAGCACGTATATCAAGAACTACTGTTTCTCCTTTAACTTCGGCGGAAGCTGGGGCAACTGCGATGTTGTTATGACTGCTGTTATCGGTCATTTGACCCAAGCTCATTTTGATGAGGAATATGAGAAAAGTTGGAATTTTCCACCGCCTCAGTCGCTCTTCGCTGCCCCTGTTCGTGTCAATGTGGTTAAGGTGTGGAATGCTCCTTTTTCCCCCCAAAACATAAGAACTAAAATCAACCATTAGGATAAAGAAGATATATCCTCGAACATCCAAGCTCAAGCAAGGAATGCTCGGGCCTTGTTCATTTGGACAGATTGTGACCGAGAAGGGGAACATATTGGCAGTGAAGTTCGCACCGAGGCTCTAAAGACGAATCCAAATTTGGATATCAAACGAGCTAGGTTTAGTAACATCGAACGGGCGTAAGTTATACAAGAAGTTAGAAATCACGAACCGGCGCTAATCCATCAAGTCATGTCATCCATGCAGCTAAGAACCCTATCGATCTCGATGATAGGCAGGTTAATGCTGTGGCCGCACGTATTGAGTTAGACTTGAGGATTGGCTATGTCTTCACAAGGTGGCTGACTACCAGTCTACGACCTCTCGGTGGGCCACTTGCCATCGCCGACGACGGTAAAGGAAGGGTCATAAGTTACGGTTAGCTATCCTGGATTCGAAGCATAGAATGAAGATATACTAATTTAATCTAGGATCGTGTCAGTTCCCTACCCTTGGTTTCGTAGTCGACCGTTATTTTAGAGTGAAGAATTTTGTTCCCGAACCCTTCTGGGGCATCAAAATCACCCACCGACGAGATGGCATCGACGTTATGTTTAATTGGAAACGGCACCATCTCTTCGACCGAGCAGTCGTAATCATTCTGTTCGAAAGATGCTTATCAGCAAAGATAGCACAAGTCACCAAAGTCCAGGAGAAGCCGACCAGCAAATGGAAACCTCTACCGCTGACCACGGTCGAGTTGCAAAAAATGGCCAGTCGGTTCTTACGGATGAACAGTCAACAAGCTATGTCCGTTGCTGAAACCTTGTACAATAAGGGTTTTATAAGTTACCCCCGGACTGAAACCGATCGCTTTGATAAAGGAATGAATCTCGGGGCTCTAGTTGATAAGCAGACTCAAGACAATCGATGGGGTGCATTTGCTCAGAATCTGGTTAATGGAGGTTTCCACCAGCCAAGAGAGGGTAGACACGATGATAAAGCCCACCCCCCTATCCATCCCGTGGCATATTGCGCTCCCACAGCACTGAATGCTGAAGAAGGGCGCGTCTATGAGTTCATCACCCGTCGATTCCTCGCCTGCTGCTCCGAAGACGCCAAAGGGCACGCCACAGATGTGGAAATCGAATACGGGGACGAGCATTTTGGTGCCCATGGGGTGGTTGTACTAGAACGCAACTACCTGGATGTATATCCCTATGAGAACTGGAAGAATAGTGTAACATTGCCGAAATTTACAGTGGGCGAGAGATTTGAACCTACGGAAGCTATGGTCACAGAAGGGGCTACGACCGCTCCAGGATACCTGACAGAACCGGATCTCATTGCACTGATGGATGCTAATGGCATTGGCACGGATGCTACAATGGCGGAACATATCGATAAGATTCAAAAGAGGAAATATGTATTTACCAGACCCAAGGGTGCAAGCGGGAATGCCCCGGCTCCGGGACGAGGTGGTCGAGGGGGTGGTAGAGGCGGGAGGGGAGGTGCCGCCGCTGGGGAGGGTGCTGGAGGCACAGGTGTGCAAGAGTTCATCCCATCAACCCTCGGGGTTGCACTGGTAACTGGCTTTGATGGTATGGGCTTCGATACAAGTCTCAGCAAGCCGTTCCTGCGCAAGGAGATGGAGCTCCGGATGAAAGATATATGTGAAGGCCGCACTACACGTGCCGAGATGGTGCGGCAGAACATCACCCAGTACAAGCAGGTGTTCAACCAGTCGAGCGAGAGGTTGGATGTTTTGAAATCGGTAGGTTTTGTCTGGTTTGTTGAGAAAAAGGCTACCTTGCTAACAATGGCGGCACTGTTAGGCTTGTAGGAGATATGTACTCAACAATGGCGCCGGAGCATGATGCAATAGGTTGATTCCTTGATGCGGTGCTTTGTTTGGCATCGCACCCGCACTTCAGGAACAGCTATTTCTGTGGTGCTTGTTGGCTCTCAAGCGAGGAGGGAAATCCCTCACTCCGCAGTAAAGTCCAGAGTCCACTCAGTCAATTCTACTACGCCCTACGTCCTACTACGTACTATGCAGTAATTACTTAGCGGATGTCTGAAAATAGCCCTTTGTCTGTTTTCCTACCGGCCACGGACTTCAACGATCGGCAGCCAATGGTCGCATCTGATGCGCGACATGTTGATGTTCCCAGGTTTGCGATGATGTGATGCCAGGCAATGTCCCACAACGTTGGCAGGGCTGCCGTGCTTCCCTGGTCGCCCGTCCTTCGACCACGAGATGGTCTTATCTCATCTCAGCCAGCGCGGCAATGTTCGGAGACCGAGAGTCTAGAGAATAGCATATGACATGACCGTTCCTAGTTGTGGAATTACGCGCACCGCGCAGATTGCAAGTGTAGAACCTAGACCCGGCTACACGGAGGGTTGGATCTCGCGGAAAACCGGGCGATAAGGGACCAACAGTTGAATTGATCTTCGGCTGGCTTGCTTGCTATCGTGGCAGCATTTGAGAACGTGGGGTAAACGATCGGTGCCCAGCGGAGGAGCCACTCCCAGGGAACTGCCTGCGAATCGAATAATATGGGTGAAAGGAAGAAGCTGCCGGGGCCGATGCGACTAGTGAAAGGCCGGACTCTCTATCGTGGAACCGCCATCACTATCAATAATAACCATGGTTTCTCCTCTTTGTCAAGCGTGTCAAGGTGGTGGAGGCCACAACGTGTCTGCTGATCCACCTGGATGGCGATGGTGATGAATGCGATGATGAATGGCGCAGCAAGAAACCGAAGCCAATCGAGGGCGACAAAGAAATAACGTGGGAGATGAAAGCAGCGTCCATGGTAACACGGAAAGCCTGGGACACTACCACGCTGCTAGAGATGGGACCCCAGATTCTAGAAGCATCGCCGGCTATTCCCACGTCAATGCTCGATCCTGTACTATGGGCAAAGTAGTTGCAAATTGCAATTAGGGGTCGCGAGACTTGAGCCAGCGCCCTTTGACCACAAGCCGCCTGAGCGTCCCCTATCTGCCTTTCTCTGTGTTCCGAGTTCTTGCTACTACTGGGGCCAGGCTGGAGATACGACGAAAGATACTTTGTTCTGTTCGGGTGTCACCGGGATGCCCGGATGTCAGTGTCAGCTAGAACTTATTCGAAGGGCCTGACAGTGCGCGAGACCGAGAGCTGAAGCCCCGAGGGCATGTGTATACTTCGTACGAGGTGCTTATGATAGTACTCGGTAATACTACCGTACGCACTATGAGGTACTACGAAGTACTACGCCAGCACTAAACACTCCCCATCGTGCCTCGGGCTGCTTAGCGTGTACCTAGAGGTACTTATCTTGGTACGCTCCACCGGCTTGTTCGCTACCACCGAATGGCACAGACACTGGCATGCACGCCAGGAGCCAGGACCCGGCCTACCTGGAGTCCTGACGCAGACACGCTGCGCCGAAGATGTAGCTGCCCAGCGTTCCAGTAATAATACCATCCACAGTCCAACAACAATACACACAACACCAACCAACGGCATTCTTTGCTTCATCCCACGCACCCCCGAACCCACAACCAATACAGTTCTTGGTCACTTGCATACAGTCACTTTCTGCGCAACAAAAGCCTACTCCTCCCCCCTCTCGTCTTGCATCGTAGTAGAGACCTCCATCTCTACCAGCTTCGACTCCAAACTTGCCCGTCTAACTGCCACCTTCGTCAACAACGCTCAACCTTCGCAGCAGATCCAACTTCTAGTTCGATCAGACTTCGTCCTAGCTCATCCAGGTATATTTCGACCCGATAAGCTGTTGCCCTGAGCATCGTTGTCGCGTCCTTTGAGCTACTCGCCACGTTTCTCTCGCAAGTCGAGTGAGTCAGCCCCCGATCGTAACCCCTTTGGCCACCCCCCGGGAAACGCAGCACAACACCACGAAACGCAACCCCCTTTGATAAATAGCTGCTAATCTGGTGTCGCGTATCTGCAGAGAAACGTTCGCCAACTTTCCCCAACGAAAATGGCTGCCATGGCTACCTCTGCTCGCAATATCTTCAAGCCCCTTGGCCGAGACAGCTTCACTGCTGTAGCGGCCAGGAGCGTTCCTGCGAAAGGCCACCCTCTCCCCACTCCGCCGAATTCCATCTCTCCCTCACTGCCTCCCCACGGCAAACCCTACGGCACTCGCTCGGTCTCTGCCCAGATAGCCCTTGAGCACGTCGACTCCGATCTCGATCTGCAGGATAATCGTACTGGAAGCGAGAAAGACGGCTTCGCCGAGAATCATCACGATGTCGGATCGCCTACCTTTGATACCGCTGGTGCCATAACTCCAACTCTGTTGGCCAAGCACCATTTGCCCGAGATTCTCCTAGACCATGGCCCTCTGGCTATCCGCCACATCATGGGCTACCTCACAACCTCAGTCCCAGGGTTCTCGGGAATTCCGCCTGCGAAGGCGCGGAGACTCGTCGTTGGAGCGCTTGAGGGACGGGGAAATGGGGGAGAAGGTGGCGGCTTGAAGGGCGAAGTCAAGTTTGAGAAAGTAGGATGGGGACGATGGGATGCGAAGCTGAAGGGGCAACATGCTCGGAATGGCAGAAGCTCTCAGCATTCGCCGCCCCCCAGTGCGCCATCGTCCTACTCGAACGGCATGCCTATATCGAACAACAACCGGTGGAAAGACGAGAGAGCTGGACTGAATGTGCCGGGTACCAGCTGGGCTGGCGATTCGGCCGTCTTCTCGCACGATGACGATATGGACATCATGATGCTGGAGAACGAAGCGGACAAGATGTCTCTAGACGGAGACGAATCTTGTTCATCATCCGGCTCTGAAGCTCCAGCAGAGGATGAGATTATGGATGATGACCCGGACGACGTTACCGACGACGAGGACTGGGCTGCAGTAGGCGCAGCGGCCTTGCGAGCTGCCTCCCACTCGGCTTCTGGTCCTGGACAGAACTTTCTTACCTCACGACTTTATCCCGGGGGAGCCCACGGCGGTGGTGGGCCACCCCTCTCTGCACTGACAAAATCAGTGCCGTTGCACACCTCGCAACAACATAATAATATTGATTTATCCGCCTTTGGCATGACCTCGGACTCTCAGGAGCGAGACGCGGTCGAGGCACTTTTACGACTGGGTTCTGTATAATACATCGACGGCGTTACTTGGGAATGGGATGGGTGCATAGAACCGGGACTGGGCTACGATCTGCCGGCGCGCATCGATCAAACTTGGGGTTTTACAGCGCGCAGCATGCTCGTTACGACGATCTGATGGATGGTTCTAGGATATGGCATTCATCCTTCTTGTCGCAAGGAGCGCAGAATGATATGACATGGCGTTTTATTTTATTTTTCCGTGGTCGGAATTCAGGAGATCCTTGAGCCTGTGCTAAAGTCTCGTGCGCTCGGTGCCTGCTTTATCAATTTTCGATTTGCACATACGTTGACTCCTTTACAATATTCAACACCACTCCACTTTATCCTTGTGTCTTCCGACACCTTCTGCAAAGCATGGGATGTTATTGGACTTTATGGACATGGATGGGAGGGCAGGACCTTTTATCATTCACTGCCCTATTTATACACATATGTATTTTAATCACTTTACTGGTGGAGGATGGAGGAGGATGGAGTATCCTACCCTTTAAATGAAGGGTATGATTGGTTTGTTCCAGCCACAAATGGATGATGGATAGTGATGGGAGATGATATCCACTCTTTTGAGATGGTTTCAACAACTAGCCTAGCAGTATTTGAGCATATGTTGCTTGGATTGAGATAATGCATGGTCGCGTTTTGATCCCCTCACTATTATCTTGCATGGAAATATTGCTCTGTGATTGTGAGCTCGGTGCTGGCATGCTGTCTCAATGTTTAAGGGGGTTGGTGGAAGGTTGGGATAGTCTCCTATCCCATAAATAACGGACCCCATCCACCCAATAATAGAGCAACAAGTAGCTGTGTTATCCCCAGCATCTGACCGACGCGATTCATTCGCACCCCTTAATCTTCCTTCCCCTTAATGACCCCTATTCGCTTCGCCCTCTAAAAGCAGCGAGACGTTTCGGGCACCCGCCTGCCACGGAGGATAAATAATCCGTGCCCAACAAACAAATCCGTTTGCTCTCTCTAGCTTGATAAACTTAACTCACATCCAACATCATGTTGTGATTCCAATGTCCACCCTCTTTTTGCAGTCGTGAGAGTACCCGTATTTCCTGTTGTGTTTTGTTGAGACTCTACAGAAAAATAGAAGCGGAAAGTGTTCTAGATGTGGAAGGCTCTAGTGAGCTCTGACTCTGGAAAGCAGGGACCGTCGGGCGTGGTGGTGTGGTAAAGTGCACCTAGCAAAAGCTCTAGTAGACCAGGTTAGAACTGGATTAAATATATGGGTTGAAAGGGGGATGTGAATGTATTAGCCCTGAATTCGTTCTAGCTAATTAGAGTACTCACTCGTTTTGCGATCCAGCCAACGTCACATTGGCTCTTCCTACATCAAAAGCTGGGTGCAGCACATTTGGCAGGCTGTAGGGATTATTTTTCTCTTTGTATTGAAATAGAGGCTATTTGTGGAGGATATCTTTGTATTAGGGAACCTAGAGGTGCGTTTTGTTGTAGTGTTCTTATATCATATCACATTATTATCCTGTCGATGAACATCTCGGATCACTCTCTGATTCCAGGGGATTCCGTTTGATAAAGTATATCCTGCGGCGACCTCTGCACTTCTTCTATAGGTTAGCCTTGTTGATGTAGTCGCCGCATCACCGAGATGCCCGTGGAGTTTCTCATATCTTCCCACAAGGTTTTTCTTCCCTCCATCAACAAACACGAAACACGTCCGGTGGTCACCTTTGTTTTCCACAAACACTCACCCTACCTCCTGAACGAATTTGTCTGTCCAAGAGCGAGATATAATGGAGAAAGCACACAAGCTAAATGCTATTCGCAAGGCAGGTAATTGGCGGTTGTCCCGAAAGGAGAAGCCAGCTCCAGACCAAGACTCAGCACCAGCGCCAGTACCAGCCCGTACCAAATCAAAGAGACCAGCCATGCACTTGTATGAAGGCACAGATTCTGAGGATGAGAATGACGACGATATCTCTGGTGGCTGCACTCTCAAGGATGCAGGAGAGAAGAGACTCGCGAAAATGACTGGTATGCTCTTGGACCTTTTCAGATCTACCTCATTACTTCGACAATGCATCTAACCATCCTCCATAGATGAAGTTTCACTTGCAACAATACTCCAGGAGACTCGAGTGGTTGGTACGAAGATCGGTATGCTCTACTACTCTAAGACCCATTTCATCGTCATGGCCGTACATCTAATTCTTTTCCATAGAATCCCACCCGCCTGCGGGAGAGACACCCTGCCCTGCTTACCCGAAGCCGGCCCACACACAGATTGGTAACTTTGTAACCAGTATGATGAATAGTATGTATTTGGCCTAGTTTGATATCTATATCTATAGTGGCGCAGCTGGGCTGATTCACCTCAATAGAAGCTCGACGACCGACTGAGGACCTGGCCAAAAACCCAGCCCGCCCACTACATTGCCCTATCGACCTATACGCCCAGATGAAACCTGGCGCATTAGCGGCCGGCCATGAAGATTTTGTTCCATTTCAAGTGGTCAAGAAGTTTCCTTTTGTTCATGCTAGCAAGGACGACCAGAAGATTGTTAGTACATTTTAATCCACTCTCATTACAACCCACCTGCCATATACCTACAATATCTTTGACGCAAACTGAGCTGTCGAGTTTATCCGCTGTCCACATATTTTCCCCCTTTCCTTCGTTCTATATTGCCTCGAGGTGGTAAGCACCTTGCAAATTAGGCAGTGTTTACTTCCCGACACTTTCATCACTACTTCATAACACTCTCAATCCTTATTACGGGCATCTCCACTAACCCGCTGATAGGTATGCCCGGAATTCTTTGACCAAGGCAAGTTGTATAACCGGACTTGGGATTTGTAAGTTATCAGGGATTTCATTATAACCCCCGAGTGTCACTGGAAGATCTTTGAATTAACAATATCATTGTTTCTATAGCTTCTATGTTTACCGTCTTGAATCCCATCCAAATCTTAACCCGATTATTCTGGTGCCCACCAAGCAGTTTAAGGGGTTCCTACACATCATCAATGAGGCTCTTGCTACTCAACTTCACATACCAACTGGCAGTAAAAGTGCCGCATTTGCCGTCACCTTCTGCACGCCCGGCCTCCCTCGTGCTCGCTACTTGGGCCGTTCTACCAATCAAGACATGGCAGAATCGCTGAGGCAGAACGTTCCACCGGCGTATTTGACACTCCCTGGCGAGGAAGTCCCTCAGATGCCCTCCGACCGTGCCCTCGCCGATTTCCAGGCGCAACTGGATATAATTAATGAAGCCCAGAAGGGACAGAAATCCTTGAAAGCAAGCAAAGATCGCGCGGCGAACCGAACGGCTTGGGGCGAGAACCTTAAGCGCATTCAAGGGTATTTGGGGCTCGATGTCAATTATCCGCCGAAGGACGTCGTTTTCATATCTGTTGATGTTGAAGCCTACGAGGGCAATCAAAATATCATTACGGAGATTGGTATTGCGACTCTTGATACGAAATGCATCCGACAAATGCGACCTGGAGCAAACGGCGAGATCTGGGCATCTGCCATCCGGGCCAGGCACTTTAGGATCCAAGAGCATCTCCGGTATCGAAACCACAATTATGTTCGGGGCTGTCCCGAATCCTTCGAGTTTGGGTAAGTTACCCTACTATTTTTGGATAAGCATAGTACTAACCAAATCCAACACAGGGCCAGCGAGTTCATCAAATTGAGTGAAGCCGCCGAAGTGGTCTCCAGCTGCTTCAAGGAACCATTTTCCAATCCTCAGGGCTCTGGTGTATATGATAAAAATCCGTCTCAGCGCCAGGTTGTCCTAGTTGGACACAACTTGCCTGCCGATGTTGAATACCTTCGCAAGATAGGCTATGATCTTACGAACACCTCTGCCGTAATGGATCGTGCTGACACAGATAAGCTGTGGCAATACATTTCAAATGAGACTCAATCTCGAAAGCTTACCGCCATTCTTTCCGATGTTGGCCAACTTGCCTGGAACCCTCACAATGCGGGCAACGATGCTGTGTATACCCTTCAAGCCATGATTGGTCTTGTGGTCAAGAATTCTAACGGCACCATGCCGGTTCAAGAGACTTCTGACAAGCGTACTGATGTCGAAGGGTAAGTCTGCAAAACACGTGTATTAGGTCTCCAACTTACTTACTATTAGACTCACTATGGGTATTGGAAACTCTGCTATTAAGTCTGGGGATAGGTCATTGGTTAACAGCGGCGGCGGTGAAGCATCTGTTCCTCGTGTACAGTCGACTGCTACACCTACACCTTCAAATGGCCAAGCTCCTAGGCCTATCGCCACAACTCGGATTCATGGAACGAAACCAGGATGGCGGCCGCCTCCAGCATATACAGAACATGGTTCTCGGCCGCCCCCATTGACAGTTTCCCCGTTGTATGTTCGGAAGGAAACCAACCCACCGCCCCCCTTCAATGCCGCTCAGGTCCGGCTTCAAGCCCCTGATACTACTCCCACCATGAGACCACGCCTTGTTTCCGACCCCTTCAGAGAAGGTCACTATTTGCCAGCTCAAGGAAACTTCAGCATGCTTGTTCCTGCCGGGTATGGTGATGAGCTTCTTGACTCTCCACCACCTGCGGCTGCAAAGCCTCAGTCTTTCAAGTCACCACTGCGTCCTGCAAAGCCTCATTTCCCTCACCACGACCGTCTTACGGCTCGGGCTCGGGTCACTGAGAATAATCCTCAGTCTGCCAGCTCAACCTCGCAACCCCGCGAACCCAAGACCGCGGCCCAGCTAGAGGAGGAGCGATTGATGGAACTTCGTGTGTTTCTGGAGCAGTTGGAAGATCTGAAACCGCATTCAAGTGGATATGATTTGCCAGGGCGCGATGCCTAATTTCAACAGTGCGAACTTTGAAGACCTCTTTGGTGTCCTAAGTTGTTAGCAACACCGGAATATTACTGCATTGCGTGGCTGTTCAAGGCGTTATGTGTTTGCTCTAATTGAGCACATCGTGGAATAAGGCAGGCAGCATAGTTTAACGCTACGAATAAGTTGCAAAATGAAAAACGGGCTTGAATTTGATTTCTCGTGGAATGTGACGTGGGGAGACGCCTGGTAAAAACGCAGAGTTACTCGTCCTTCTCACTTAGGTACCCCTAAACACAGACGAGATATCATTCAATTTCTTTAATTGTTTCATGATTCCAGAGCAGAGAGCGAAATCTGTGGGTATGTGCCTCCATCCATGCGCGCATATAAGCAGCTTTTATACATGTATAGATATACAGCGCATCCAATATAAAGCCGAAAAACCACGGCTATAAAAGCCTGAACGCCTTCGCTATGCTGCTGTCCCCTCTCCTCAGTCGTCGTTCTATCATACATCAATCTTCCTCCCACCAACTTCCCTATCCCCGATAAATAATTGTTCCGGGTGTTTTCAAGCAGATGGCAGAATGGAAAGGAGAGTTCAGCGATTCTTCTCCAAAAATTCCTTCGCCTCGTTGACTTTCGTTGCGAGATAGGGACTCCCGCCTCGATCGGGATGGTTCAACATCATCAGTGTGCGATGGTTTTTGCGGATGCGTTCTTTGGTCATTTGGCGCTCGCTGTTTTCACCACATTATCAGTCAGTGCCGTTCCAACTCCCACTTTGCAAGAAATTCTGTGGCCAGCTAATCTGTAATGGACGAGGGCAAATCTAAGCACTTACCTCAGTTGTAATATCAACTGAGCCTCCCGTTTATTCATCTTCGGCTCGAATCCGCCTTTGTAGAACGCTTTGCCTAGCGCACCGACGGCTTCGCCGCGGGAGCGACGGTATGCTACGAGGCCTGCGCGTCCCTATTGAGAAGAAGATATTATATCAGCTTGTGTTTCTAATGTAACGCAGGAAGGCTGGCGGCGAAAACTAGAGGACATACAAGAAATGCCGCGGTTGCGACGCCAACACCGATTGCGAGGGCTGAGGCCATGGCTCTTATCTTTCTAGATGGGTCGAAGAGTCGAAAGCTGGTGAATGCGCAGGTGCACAAGATTATTATGATTATGGTTGTGAAGAAATGCGTTGTCTTGTTCTTGTTGCACTTAAATTTGACTGGCGATGATGTTCTAAATTTCAGAGGCCTGGGTCATCGGAATTCCCGGGATGTCGCACAAACTTTTATCCGGGTCTAGCGACTAATCAAGCGCCACTGCACCTCTCCACCAAGAATTTTTTATATCTGCAAGCAAGCGATAACGAAGGGCCTGTGAAAAGCAGAAACATCGCGCGCCAACGACAACGTCCAGCACGCATTCACAATGAGGTACGTCAGACGTTAAATGTATCTATGTACAATCTGGGACTTAGCTAATGGACCAATTATTAAAGGATCGAGACTTGTTATTTCTGCTCGCGGCCATGCTACCCCAGCAAAGGCATCACATTCGTGCGAAACGATGCGCGGTTATTTAGATTTTGCAGGAGCAAATGTCACAAGAACGTATGTCTTCCAGCTTCTTCCTTCTAGTACACCACCTTTGTTCGAAGTAGAACACTGCTAACAAGACCTGAAATATAGTTCAAAATGAAGCGTAACCCCCGTAAATTGGCCTGGACAAAAGCCTTCCGCAAAGCCGCCGGCAAGGAAATGGTCGTCGATGGCACCCTCGCCTTCGCAGCCCGCCGCAACGTCCCTGTCCGCTACGACCGCGAGACGGTCGCTATCACCGAGAAAGCCATGGCGCGCTTTGAGGAGGTCAAGCAGAAGAGACAACGTGTGTTCTACAAGAAACGCATGGCGAACAATAAGCAGAGGCAGAGAGATTTGGACAGGAAATTGGTGGCGGAGAATAGCCATCTGTTGCCGAAGATGAGGGCTAGTGAGAGGAAGAGATTGGAAGAGGAGAGAGGCGAGGAGCTGGGTGAGGAGGAGGTTGAGCTGATTGAGAGCACGAAACCGAAGAGTCAGGTATTTGGAAAGATGAAGATCAGGAAGAAGGCTCTTGTGGATGGGGGTGAGGAGGATATCATGGATATGGATTGAGGTGGTTGGCACTGAAGTGTGTCTCCATTGGGGGGTACTATGATGGCGTTCTTGGGATTCGTAAAATGGGAGTTGGGGCTTGGGCTTGCTTTTCTGCAGGGCGCTAGATCAAGTTGCTTGCTAGGGCAGATGTGTCTGGTGGCCGTTACTGCACGAAATTCTGACCACAACGGATTTCGAATATTCTTCCTTTGCGATGATTTACCCCGCTAATCATCGATGCTCTCATTTGGTATTCGCTATAGCCATTGTAGTATCTGGAAATAGTCTGCATTTCGAATCCCATTGGCCACAATTTTCTTGCACTCGCCAAGATAAACTTTGTAAAAGCTCGTCTCATCTTTGTATATACAAGTACATCTCGGTCACGTGCCCGGTCTGACTCAGCAGCACGAACCGATATCCGCGAGAAATATAAGCAGCTTCACACTGAAACAACCGCCTTGCTAAATTCAATTTAAATAGCTCCCGCCAATAGTCTTGTTTATTTCCAAATATTGTTACATTGCAAACTATGTATATATATTCTCATACTTTTGGCACTTTCAGCTTATCCCAACTGACCTGGCCCGGCCAGCCATCTGCATCACTCCCTGAAAATCCAAGTTTCTTCTGCCATTCTGCGTATGATGCTTTGTCGGCACTAGACCATTGGGGGCTAGGTCCTTCCACATACTTGCTACATCCCTCAGCAACAAGTCGTTTGCCCATGGCTGTGATGATAGGACTGTTGGGGTTTGACTTGAAAAAGGCTACACCAGGGAAAGTCGCATACTGCCCCGTTGGCACTGCTAGCTTATCCCAACTAGTCTTTCCTGGCCAGCCATCTGCATCACTTCCTGAGAATCCAAGTTTTTTCTGCCATTCTTTGTATGATGCTAGGTCTGCATCACTCCACTGGGCGCCAGGACCTTCCACATACTTGCTACATCCCTCAGCAACAAGTCGTTTGCCCATTGCTGTGATGATAGGACTATTGGGCTTTGATTTGAACCACGCTGTACCGGGGAAGGGCTCACGATTCGGGGTCGTTGGCGGAGTCGTTGGCGGAGTCGGATCTGTTGGCTTGGACGTTGTAGTTGGTGGAGCACTTCCAAGCGGAACCCCACGAGCTGGAATCTTGAGCTTATCGCCAACTATCAAGGCGTATGGTGCCTTGAGTTTGTTCACATCAATGATGTACCGCTCCGGTACATTGAATTTGAGGCTGATCCCTTTGAGAGTTTCACCAACTCCCACCGTATGCGTTCCGCCATCATATAGCTTCCCTGGATCTAGGGTACCGTCCTTGACGAGATTATAGAGCGCGCCGCCCGGGCAATTCGTGGAATAGCCATCGCGGTGACCTTTGATTTCATTTCCAGCACCCTTGCGACGGAAATATGCAATTGCGTCCTGGATGCCAGTTATCTGGCTCTGACTTGGCTGAGTAACACCGGTGTTTCCAAGGAACGCAAGAACAGCATAATGGTTGGCGTTCAACTCAACATTTCCATTCGCGCCGCTGCGATGTCCTGCTCCTCGGCCATCGAATACGTAGCCGTGCTGGCAAACTGCGACGCTGTACGCAATATCGAAATAGTTCTCGGGAGACTTGTCCATGTGGTAGTCCTGAGTGGACCTCATTTTCTGTGCACACTGACTGTGTTCAATACCAACGAAAAGTTCTCCGAGGTAGTGTACTTTTACACCCTTTGGGTTGGTGATGGGTGTGTAGGCTTCTTTGGGTGGTCTTGCTCCCCAGTCTGAGCGAGATTCGAAATACATACTCGCGCCGCCGGGGAAGAAGGAGGAGAATGAGAGGGCTAGAGTGGTGAGACGAAGCATCGTGCTCGGATTTCCCAAGTTGGTCTTTGGGGAGAGGAAAGAAAATTGCCCCATGGTGGATAGCAATCTAATGCAGATGTTATGACACAAAACAGATGCTCTATTGAAGGTTCAATAGGTAATGAAGTTGTTGGGATATCAGAACACTCTTTCGACGGCCGAAGGATTTCTTTTATACACCTACTGATTCAACCCAAGAAACTGAAAGCCTGTCCCATAAATATTTGATGAGCATCACTATCATCGAGCTGAAAGCCTAATCTCCTCATCTTACTCTCAGTGGGCTTGCCAAGCAACTATTTCCAGATACCAGAATGTGCAAATAGCAACAAGAACCATAACTTTCCAGTTTTGCTGTCACAGCGTGCAGCTGATATGCCAACCTAGTAACCCAAACTTTAGTAGAACAGTAATAAATGCAAGAGCGGGCTAATAAATTGCCGTTAGGGCTGTGGGGTCGGGAGCGGGGTGGCTGTTCTATTTGACACTGATCAACAGTAGTGTCCACGGTACGCAGGTAATGATGGCAAAGGGGTGCAGATCAGTGTGCCTTGTAGCTTAATCGGACGGGATGTCGAATAAGCAATGGGGGCTATGGTAGCGAGAAGCTATCCTACATATCGTTAGCAAAATACAGACGGTCTAATACAGTACGCAGCTAAGTAGGCAACTAATTGGTTTATTCATAGATCGATCCCGGTATCCAAAGGTGGCTTATCCGGGTGGCCGCACACCTCCACCATTAGACTTCCCAATCCCTTGTCCCTTGTTGCTAGCCGTTACTCACCGATGGAAAACAAAAGAGGGGAGTGCACGAAGCTGTTGATATTGAGATATGATTCGAGAGTCTACCCTCCATTATTTCGTCTGTACTCCGTAGGCTGTTTCATCCTTCAGGGATCCTTCAGGAACCCGCGGCCTCCCTTCGTCGCACGTAGTTGCAACCTTAATGCAGACCTGCGCGCAACCAAGTGCTTGTTCATATTTAAAATGTCCAGGTTAGTTTATCTTTCGAGTGTCATTTAATACCATAGTCTTTACTCCATATCTTGTTTATTCTTCTATAACGAGTACTATCACGAGTACAATAACGAGTACTATGACCTTCCTAGTTCGGAGCCACGGTTCTATACTCCACTATCTCATGTTGCCTATCAGCCCAACCTTATTTCTTGGCTTTGCAACTAATCTTATATCGGTAAGGCTACCCGAGAAGATGATCGGCGGTCGGTTTCCATTCTTGTGTAAGATTTCTTAAGTTGGGCTCTAAGAATCCTTCACAGTTCAGCTCGCGACACAGCCACCTCCGGGGTCCTCCTAGGACCGAGGCACCGATTTTATGCTTAACAGCTACCACCCATGTAGAGGAAACACAGCTGGTGCTGCTTCCTGTTAATTATTTGGTTATGCTGTTGCCTTGCGAAGGTTTTGTTTAGTTTGGATCTATGTTGCTGTTTAAGGTCCTGCCTTGAGTCTGTCTATAGTAGCGTGTAATTTCCTGCGCAGTAGAACCTCGATATAAGGGTCATGGAGACAGAAATAATCTAGCTAATAAAAAAGCTTCTAGCTTTGCCCTTGCAAGATAATATTTGTCCCACTTGGATTAAGTTTTGTTTGTTTTAGTCTCGTACACGCTCGTCAGGCATGCTCCTATCACATGGAAACAATTAGATTGCGTGATAAAAAATATATTGGAGCCGGTACTAATTGAACAGGAAATTCGGCAGCGATCCACTAGGAATATACAGCTTTACCAAGTGCAGGTGAAAAGGCCAGGTCATTACACCGGTAGTCATAAACCACCTCCTGCTTTTGAGTGTATCAACGATTCTCAAGGACGTCGTTGAGCACTCTAACCCAGATCTGCTAAGAATAGGATACAAATACCCTGGCACAGGTCATGTCAAGAGCATCTTTGAGGGCGGACTCGACTAGGGGAGCCATTTATGAGTATAAAGCTACCACTAGAACCTCTTGATGGGTGAATCTCAACCAAGAGCCCGTAAAATAGCGGCCAGGGTCGTTGCTTTAGTAGCCATATCGATTAAAACCTGCATGCGCAATTGCGCATATTCAGGTCGTCTCATCTCAAATTGTAGCGCGAGTTCAACCTGCTGGGAGCGTTGATTAAAGTGAAGTTAACTAGAATCGAATAGCCAAATTGAAGGCACTGAAGTAGTGAAGCATTGGTGATATTTGTCGAGTTTCTTGCAATATCTTGGTTTTGGCTACCAGTTTCCGCTACTGGATAGTCTTCGTCCAATAGGGTTGGCTTTGGATGGATGATGAGGTCTGCCCAAGGATGAGGGTAGACGTGGCGACAGTCGAGCGGAGGGATAGCCATTGCTTGTTTGTCAGCGATAGGCATAAAGAATATAAAAGTAGCTATGAGGAGGTCCTCAAGTGCTTTACGGAGCTAGATTGTAGAGACTAACTATTGCTTGCAGTTTCGAATTTCCGGTCAACAATGGGTACAAGAGAGTAAACCCAGCAAAACACTCTGATACGGATACGGGACAGCAAACGAAAGAGGCTTCGATAATGAAACTACCACATAATCCTCATGATCATATATCTGCTACTCATCATCTATACAACCCAAGTCACCACCCAGGTCACCTCGTTAACAACGCCTTCTCAGGGGTATATACCAAATTGAGAGTGGTGCTCGCACAAAAAAGCCTCCTGTTATGCAAAACGAGTTACCGTGGCTCGCAGTCCCGGAGTTTTCATGCAGCAAAGTGTAGCTCCACTAAGACCTCGATTGCTACCCACTCCTAAAGATCTCATCCAACTTCTGCTTCTTACTCCACATAATCTCACCCCTTTCCTCTCCAACCTCCCCTTCCCCACCAGGACTATATCTCTTAAAATACTCAATCCTATGCTCCGGAATAAACTCCTCGGCTGTAGTCTCTCTATCCCAATCACTTGCCGGTTTCTCCAATATCATATCTCTGACACGGTCGATATACCCAATAGCCCATTCGTCAATATTGTAATTGTTGTCGAATTTCAAGCGGTTTAGGACTTCGGAGGCGGTGCGGAAGCGTTTTGCTTTTGTGTCAGAGGAGTGAGGTGTGCTTGTAGAGGATGCAAGAGGGGATTTAGACCGTTTCTTCTTGGGGAATTGTGAGGATTCGCCATCAGAGTCTGAGTGGTTCGTATTCTCTCCAGTTAAAATGACTCTTGGCCATTTTCTCCCGCAAATTTTGAGCCCTGTGGGGATATTGTCAACGACAATCCGGACGAAACATTGGTTTTTAAGCGTGGCTTTATCGTTCTCGACTTGTTTTCTCCAAGTCTCCGCGATCTCTTGAGCTGACTGTAGATCGGCTTGCTTAGTTGCTGGGGAGAGGCGGAGACCGAGTACGAAGTGGCCTTCGTAGACATTGTCTCCCAGCATCGCATCTTCGGAGACCAGACGTTGAGGCCAAATTTGGACGATTGGTGTGTTGGGGATGCGACTTTCAAGACCTATTGCCAGTATGTCAATATACAAGATTCGACTAGATTAGAGCAGACTTTTGTGGGTGACGTGGAAATGAAAACGGAGTGTTCACTTACGGTCTTTGAGCTTGTCTAATCTGCGCTGCACCATCAACAACCATTGCGCCCCCTTCACTGGCGATCTCCCGGAGTATGTAACTGCCACTCGTATGGTGTGAGGGAATGCACATTTCTCATCCAACCGGAGGGAATCCAGCTTTACTAGCAAGTTCTCCCAGTCTTTGGTAATAAACGAGCTGTAACCCGTAGGGGCCGGAATGGAATCAGTTTTAGGGGCATCTTGTTTGAAGAACTCCGTGATCAGTGCAGAAGAGCTTGGATCGCCAACTTGACGTGGAGTAGCCAAATCAGGATTCGTCTTCTGGTATTTCAAGAGACTTTTGAAAATATGATGATCGGGAAAGGCATTGGCGAGGCCCCTTATAGCCGCCCATCTCTTGATGTACGAGTACGCGGTGCGAATCGATGGAAATTCATCTAGATGGTCATGCATATCGGTTCCTCGGCGGATCATTTGCACAGCATCTTGAACCGACTTGTGGATACTATTTTGCGGGTCTTGCAAGAATGAATCAGGTGCATCGGATACCTCTGGATATCTACATCCCATAAATAAGTTATCAATATAAAAATTCTGCTATAGTGAGTGGCTTACTCTCGAACCAAGACATCACATCGAATATATCGAAGTTCAAACAGTTGCGCTTTAAAACACACGAGAAAGCGCGGCTCGGAAGATTGCTCTGCCTCATAAACAGTAAATTTCCCCCATGATAGCTCGTTTTGCTCGTTGGTAATGTCCCAGAACAGGTCAATATAGTTATCGGGAGAGATGTTTCCAAACGCGATGGCTTTTAGTGGCTCTTCTTCGAATGGCTCCAGTTCTAGGGCTAGAGCATGAATTGGCGAAAAGGAGAGGATTGGAAGAGCGGAAGAATGGGCATCTAATGAAGTTTTTAGGGCACTTAGAAACACTGCCTGCAACGCCTTGAGTTTTTGGGTTGCGGCTGAGTCCTCGACTAGTTGGGATCTGGCGTTTTCAGATTGTGATCTGGGAAGGACGTCTGCGGCAGTTGGCCCGGTGGAGTAGGAGAACGTGCCATGGTGTAGGTCCGCCATTACGGATACTAGTATCGGGGGTTGCTATCTTGATACTGTGGTTTGTTTTGGAGACGGGAGAGGCGTTGTGCTGGAAGGACAGACAGCCAATTATCGGGTCATGTGATGGCAGAAGTACGATTTTGGGGAATTGTAATTTGAGATTTGAGTTGGAAGAGACTTGAACGATATAAACTAGAATATCATTGAGTCACTCACCGGTACGCTGCTTCTGGATATCTCGGGGAAGGGCGATGCGCAGTCATAGTTGTTGAGGTTGGAGTCATTGGACTATAAGGGGCGGCGAAGCGCCCTGAGCAGATCCCCGGAATGTCTCAAACCAGGAGAACTTTCAACTTCCAGCGAGGACACTTCGCATGGCTGTGCATATTGGAAAGCCGGACAAAGCTGATAGAAAAGTCATAAGTTATCTTCTCTACATAGCTACAAGTACTTGCATATTAGTAGAGGATGACGGCATCTCTGCAGTCGTTGCCTGGGCACACTGGGCACACGTGTGGAATCTGCACCATTTCTTCTCGAACAGCGGAATGACGTAGGGCAAAGAAAAAACCCGGAGAGCGCGAAATAAGGCGTGGCACGCTGACACTCCTGCCAGACGTATCATTTCATTTTTAGCCACCACGGGGGAAACTATTTACAACTTCTTCGGTATTATTGCCTGACTCGTGCGAGCACTCTATCGGATAGCACTCGGATTCGTAAGCTTCATACGAGGGATGTCTGTAAATGGTTACAAAACGGGCCGAGTGGGGCTGTGCAAGTCACGTCTTCCTCCGCCAAGAAGGAAGCGCAGAGGAATTTCTTGTCCGGCGGCCAAGAGGGTGGAATTTCTTGGAGGCTGCCTAGGCCCGGCGGAGGAGGGAGGAAGGGAGGAGGGAGGGAGCAGGAGAGGAGAGGGTAATCAGCCAAGGGAGGGCCAAGGGCTGGGCGTTCGACGACGACATTTGCCCCGCGCCTGAAGTGATATGACGAAGGGGGCGGGTGCTGGATGGGGCCCAGAGGAAGGAGCATGCTGGCGGAAACGCTTGTTGTTCCGGATGAGGGGAGACGACGCTTGTAGTGCTTGTGAGTGCTTGCGAGTGCTTGTGTGTGCTTGCGTTGCTTGTGCTCCGGGCGGTGATATACACTGTACCAGGTACTGATGCTTGACTGGTTGCTTGACAGAGGCTTGACTAATGCTTGACTGGAGAGCCTCCGAAGACAAGACTTAGTGCTTGGTAGGGAGGCATAGAAAAGGTCTATTATTGCCCTCCTTGTGCCACCTAGACGCCATTGGAAACTCCCATAATAGCAGGCCGCTATTGCCGGGGATCTGGGTTATGAAGTAATAAATATGCAGTCAGGCCAGACGGCGCAAGCTGCTCTCTTGTGATCCCTCTCCCGGCGGGGCTGATACCCTTCTAAGCCAAGGACCTCCGACGCTTGGCCGCGCGGAGCGCAATCTCTTGGTGTCCAGCGAACGCCAAGAGCGCGACAAGCCTTGGCGTGTCGAGTTAACAAGTCTTACTGGGTGGGTCCGAGTCGTTTGGATGGAATGGTTCACTCCTGAGTCGAGTCCTGAGGATGAGAAGCAAAAGCGGCATGGGAAAAGGGAGAGAGGGTACAAAGTACTTTGTGCATACCTTAAGGTAGACACCATTCCACAGTAAGTACGTACTTCTCACAGCGCTACATTTGCATTCTGATAAGCCTTCAAGGACGCATGGTAAAAGGATCAAGGCGAAGGATCTCTGTAGCAGAAGCAAACATATTCCCTCGCATGAGCCATCTCGAAGACCTATAGAGCTGGTGGTTCTTGAGTCGTTTATTGCACTGTCCAATTAGCCAAACAAAGGACATGCCATTCGTTCATTATTGTACAGCATTGAGCACATCTCGGGTAACATCACCCACTCCGGCCCTCGCTGCTTTTCCGCTCCGCACGCGAGCAGAGCAAGGCTAAGCTAATATGCCAAGCAATTGCCAAGACTCTAGTGGCAACAACTAAGATGCGCCAAGAAATCGCGTCCCTCCGCCTCTTGGGTACAAGAGGCCCAGATCGCCTTCCCCGTTGCCTGAGTGTTTCCCTCAAGATTGTAAAAGTGTCCAGTGCCAAACAGATCGGAATCCAGCTCTCTCGCTCTCTGTCGTGACCCTTCTTGTTATCCCAAGTCCTTAGGATATATAAGCTTTAGAAACTTGCCTTCAGCCCTGCCACCTGGTGCGCATGGCGGTCTCTTCTCACCGCCCATAACCCTAACCGAACCACTCAAACAACAATTCTCACTGGTCGCGAACCGAATATTGCCAAGGTCAAGATGGCAGAACAACAGCAACAACAGCAGCAGCAGCAACCTGCTCCGCTGAAGCAGGAGGCTTCGGTCCCGACACAGTCGGACCCTGCTAAGCAGACAATTGCTACTGATGATAGCCTGGCTTGTCAGTGGGATAAGTGTTCTGAAAAGTGCGCCTCTGCAGAGTCTCTTTTTGTAAGTTTTCACTGTCATAAACAGCCAACTTGGCTTCGCGCTACCCCGCCATGCGCATACACATAGAGAGATGGCACAATACTAACTCAATGACAGGAGCACATCTGTGAGAAACATGTTGGACGAAAGAGCACAAACAACTTGAACCTCACCTGTGGCTGGAACCAATGTCGGACCACCACTGTCAAGCGCGATCATATCACCTCCCACATCCGAGTCCATGTCCCCCTCAAGCCGCATAAATGCGACTTCTGCGGAAAGGCCTTTAAGCGCCCTCAAGACTTGAAGAAACACGTCAAGGTTAGTGCAGTCCTCATCGTCGAGCCTCATGCAGATAGCTAACTCAACCTCACAGACTCATGCTGACGACTCCGTCCTCCTCCGATCCCCAGATCAGCCAGGTGGACAGAATTCGGGCTATAGACAAGGCGGCAAAGGTATGTAGGCCTAGTCCGAGCGAGTTTTGGTTGTGCCCCGAACACCACGCCTGACGAATATACAGTCATTGCTAACCTGCAACACCTTGCAGCTACCGGTCCTGGTTACTATGACCATGGTGCCCAGATGCATCCCGGCCCGCCTGCCAACTATGGCAACCCCCATCATGCTCCCCATAATGGGTACTATGCTCCCCCGCAACCTTCTTCCTACGGCCCGGTGTACTACCCGGTAAACCACCCCGGAGGAGGCATGAACCATCACGCGGCATATGACGACCGGAAACGCGGATACGACGCCTTGAATGATTTCTTCGGTGATGCCAAACGACGACAGATTGACCCTACCTCCTATGATCAAGTTGGACAGCGGTTAATGGCCCTGCAAGGCGTTCCCATCCCAGGCGGTGGAATGTCTGAATACATGCCAGCCGGTCCTGCGATGGTCGCTGTCGGTGGTCACGGCGGACACGGTGGCCATGGTGGGCCGGTGTCACAGCATCAATATGCCCTTCCCCCAATGCCCAATCTCCGAACCAAGAACGATCTCATGAATATCGATCAATTCCTGGAGCAGATGCAGTCCACCGTTTATGAGAGCTCGAATGCCGCAGCCGCCGCAGGTGTACAACAGCCGGGCGCCCACTATACCCACCAAGCCATCAACTTCCGCCAGAGTCATTCTCCTCCACACCAAGCCTCCAGCCATGCCATCCCACATGCATCTTCCGCACATGTCACCGCCCCAATGATGGCAACCCACTCCGCTCAGTCCAACGCATCCAACACACCGGCGTTGACTCCACCTTCGAGCTCTGTGTCCCAGGCATCCGGCCACTCTCCAGCTTCTTCCCAGGGAATGTCACCCATCTCTCGGCATCACCCATCCTCTTCAGCCGCCTATCCAAGCTTGCCAGCCGTCACCGCCGGATACTCTGCTCACTCAACAACGGCACCAGCCTCCACTCTCGGCACAAACTTCGATAGCGATCCTCGGCGACGCTACTCCGGAGGCATGCTCCAACGCAGCGCCAACCCCCGCGATGCCCTGAGCATGATGGATGTAGCTTCTGATAGCTCGCGCAGCCCTACGCCGAAATCGGCCACACCACGTCCAGAAACCCTGGTCAGGTCCCCCCTCGCTAGCAACATTGACCCGGCACTCGCAGGCAGCCTCTCCCCGAGTCCTCGCTCCGAGAGCGGCGAAAGCGCTCGTGACCGCGCCGAGGAACTCTGGATCGAGAACATCCGCGTCATCGAAGCCCTCCGCAAATTCGTCAATGACCGTCTTGACCGACGAGAGTATATCGAAGAGGAGAACGCAGACACTGTAATGACCGACTCGAAATCTCCATCACCCACCTCCGAGAAGGCTCCCGAGAGCTTATACCCAGTTCTTCGAACTGACTAAGCCTTCATGTTTTAATTGAAATGCGGGATCGGAAATTCATGTGGCGTTTATAGGAATTGCGGGGATGAAACCAAAACGGGGATTGCATGTATTTTGCGTTCGTGGGATGGGAATTTTATGACTTGATTGACCTGGCTTGAGTTTTTCATGTTACTTGTATTTAAATAATTCCATCGCTCCTCTCCAGGGATGCGCTTGTTGCGCGCCCCTACAAACTAAATTCCCCATCTTAGAACTTGGCTTTCCATGTATGAAATCGCAATGAAATGAAAATGACAATCCCATTATCAAATCGAAGACTTGACGTGACGTGACGCATTTATATGATTCAAACTTATCTTGTGAAGGATGCTCGCCTCTTACGCAGCCCCTTAGTGAGTAGGTAGACTAATACTACTACCATCTCATCCCTCATGACTATTGACATTCCGGAGCCGTAAAGCTTTCGCAGTAACAGTAGACGACTCTTTTATAAATCGCCCTCTTACTTTTTCCTTTAAAATTTTACATTATAGAAACCCCCTCATGTATTTGATTTCATAGGAGCGCACCTCTTCGTGTACACGCCAACACCTGATTGGAATAACATCTCATTTCCCTCCTAGAACACACGGGCATACTCATACAACGCCACGCCCCCTCAATCAATCTACCAACCCCGCCCTGCCAAGTTTCAAGCTTCCAATTCCAACTCCCCCATCCCCGCCCCCCCTTTAAATCAACCCCCTATACACATAAAAGTACACTACCAGCAGTAGTAGGTTTGTTTGTACGCCATGTATGTTAACGCCCCTCCATTTCCCCTTTCCCGTGCATCAAAGCAAAATACAAGAAGAGCTAGCGCATTGCTCTTCATTTCTTCTTACCCCTCGCATTAACCTCCCCTTTCTCGCCGATCCTAAGGGTGATCCGGCATTCTGGACAATACCACTTGGTAGTTCTGGGCGGGATTTCAGTGAGACCCACGCATTCGAGATGGAACCATTCCTTCTCGCACTGTTGTTCACTTTATTAGCTTTCTCGTCCTTTGCTTCAGAATGAAAAGCCCACAAAAGGGGGGATGGGAATAAGATATGGTAGTAAGGGGAAAGGGATAAGCTACTCACATCATGGCTCTCACACCCGATCATAGTCCCAAAGCTAACCCGGTTGCAAAGACAGTACCTCGGCTCGTCAGGGTCAATAATATTCCCCTCATCGTCAACCTCATCGAATATCTCCTGCGCTGCACTCCCTTCCCTGCCATCCTTCTTCTCCTTCTTCGGCCCGGCCTTCTTGCGTGTAGCGGCACTGCGCTTTCCCACGCTCACAGCCGTGGAGTCCCCGGAGTTCTTGGTCACTATTCCGGGGGCAGGACGCTTAGTGCGTTTGCTGGGTTGCCGCTGGGGTTCCGGGGCGGGCGTGTTGCGAGCGGTGCTTGTGCGACGGGGCCGGTCAGTTGTTGCTGTGGCTACCTCGCGCTCGACGCTTGCTGCTTTGCTGCGGGACGAGGTTGGGCGTTTTGCGGGAAGGGCTTCAGGTGTTGGAGTTGCGATCGGTGGTGGAACAGGTAGGGGGACGGTTATTGGGGCTACCGGAGTAACTGGAATAGCTGCTGCTGCACCTCGATGCGGTCGTTCGGAGGTTGCTGTTGGGGTCTCAATTTTCTTGAGCTCACTCCGGACGTTCTTCTTTGACGCTCTGACTGGTGGTAGGATCGGGGTTATAGATTTCTTTGGTGATGGCGCCGGAACAGGTAAAGGGGTAGCTGCCGGCTCGGCTGGTGCTTCGATAGGGGTTGCTGCTGGGGTTGACACTTGTATCGTAGCTTGGGTAGTCTCGCTGACGACGGACGGAGTGGCTTCAGAAGCTGGGGTTGCCTGTTTAGCAGCAATTGACTGTGGCACAGGGACAGGAGTCTCCGTCTTGCTTCGTTTCAACAGTGGTCTCGCCGGTTTTACTGAACTGGCCCCAGCAGCCTTGTCAGCATCGCCTTCTGCATCAGCTTCAGGCTCCCTCTTTCGCTTCCTAGCCGGAGTTCTACTGGGCGTCTTCACGGTGCCTTTCTTCTCCTTGGCTGGAAACTTATCACCAGCACTAAATAGATTCTCTATTGTAGTCTTTGCATTTTCCACTTTCCGCATAGCTTCCTCAAACCCATCCTCTGCCGCCTCGAGCTCCTTTTTCTGGTTCTCCCTCTTGAGCTTTTTGGCCTCGTTTAGCTTCATGCCGCGGTTCATCAACGGAGCTTCCTCCTCCAAGCTCTTGTTTGCCGCTTCGGCACTGAGTGCCCCTTTATCGGTAACATTTTGGCCAGAGAGCTGCGGCGGCACCTCAATTGTCTCGCCTTTCGCTGCCGCCTCTGCCACCGCCGCTCGATAAGCCTCGAGACCCCGGCCCCTGACTTTGAGTTCTCGATTAATCATGGTATCACTCGGAGACCAAACGGCATTCTTCTTCATCTTCTTCCGTAGGTGACCAAGCTCGTACTCGCTCAAGGCTAGCCATGGCAGGTGTTCACTTCCTGGCTTGGCATCGGGAGGTGGTGGTTGAAGCAATTTCAGAGCATTACTCGTAGAGATACCAGCAATCATGCTATGTACGTTCGTGCCAAATCCTGGAGGACGGTTATCTCTCGGAGGCTTTGGCGCCCTGTCCTTTCTCTGCTTCGGAACCTTCAGCCTTATTTTATTGCCAGCAAGTGTCCTCGACGGGGTTTCTCTCGGAGTGACGAATTGGTCATCGGAAGACTCATCGCTATCGGATCCCCAGGACTCGTAATCTAGTTCATACGGCGCAAGAACCTCCCCAGGCACCGTGATCCTCGGCGGGCGATGTTTGCGGACCTTATTCGCTCCGCCATCTGCTGCTCCTCCGCCTACACGCAATGTAATCTTCGGTGGTCGGTTCACTGCAGGAGATCGGTTCTTTAGAGGGGTGGGACTTGGGTCTCGAGAAGGTGGGTATGTATCAGCTATCAATTGTAGCTTGGCATGGATGTTCTTAATGCGACTATAATGGCGCTCGACATTCTCCAGCATGCGGCACGCCTCCGCATAAGAAGCAGTACGGGCCCCAATAGCCTCGCCCAAGTTCTGTGAAATCGCCGCCCGGAGGCTCGTGGGATCCGGTTTTGTCTCTGCCGGCAGACTCGGAAGCTGTCCGTACATCTTGGTAAGGTCATGGACTTCGATGGAAGCTTCGGAGTATTGATGATCGAGGTTGCCGATGAGGGTTAGGGACCTGATCATGTCGGAGGGGAGGTACTCGGTGAAATCGAGGAAATCCGTCACCGTGGCCTGGGCATCCGGATCGGAGGGTAGACGCAGCGTATCCAGACCATGATTGAGTTTCTGCATATTCTGCATCTGTATCGCAGCATCGGCGAACTCGCCCTCGTTGTTGCGCCGGGCGTTGGGGCTGGTGCTCTGCAGCGGGACATCCATCGATCTGAAGTCTGTCGAGGAGGCCATGTCGAGAGCGAACTGCGACCTGGCGATGTTTTCCGCGACAGCTCTCGCGTTGTCTGCTTGCGCTTGCGCCAGGGCGTGCGATTGTGCGAGCGATTGGGGGAGCTTAATGCGACAACTCAAGATGCCACTATCGTCGAGCCATCTGTTTGGGGGAGGGGTGGAGAGTTAGTGAGGTTGATGATGGATTCTGCCAACGTTTGGTTCCGTAGGCCCTTTACACTTTTCTCCAGCATTGCCTTCCTTGCCTTGCCTTGCCTTTGCCTTGCCTTGCCCTCCCGGCCCCGGACGCGAGATCGGCAACGGCAACGCGACAGTCTAGCGCTCCACTGGCCCCAGACGCGCCGGATGGTAGCGCCCGACTGCAGCTCTGGGGACTGGAGAGAGCGCGAGAGATGCGCGGAGAGTGACAAAGAGACAGAGTGACATGAGCGCGAGTGAGAAGCGCAATAGGGGGGCAATAGTGAATGCTTACCGTCGTGATGCATCTGACGCCATGGCGACGGCCATGTCCCGTGCCGCGTGGTTCAAAGGGGTGCGAATATGATGCGCGATGCGCTGCGCTGCGAATGGGGGGGGGGGAAAGGCAATAGTGTAAATAAGTAAAGGTAAAGGTAAAGAAAAGGTATAACGGTACGCGGTTGGAAGTTGATGTTTATGTCGCCGCCGTCTCAATCTTAAACTCGCGCTTGTTTGGGGTCACCTGCACCTGCTCCTGCTGGTAGAGGATCAATCAATATCCGGTCTTGGTGCCAACTTGTCGGCTTCAGAGATGTGTTTCAGGTTTCGGGGTTTCAGGGTCTCTGTCACGATCGTTGCAGTTTTGTCCAGGACACAGCCTAGTACCTAGGATATGTACGTATGTAACCTATATAAGGCGAGAGCTAGAAGAGCCAGAAACGCCTCACTCCTCCCAGATTCACTGCCTTCCGAGTAACTATAGGTATGTGGTGGATTTATATCGAATCGTACTCAGGTATTATCGCTTGCCGCCTTTGCCTACCAAAACCCCGCCAATAACGACAACAAAACCACCGTTATGGCGCATTATTGGGCGAATTTGGTGCAAACCTCGTTTCGCCAGTATTACAACGCCTAACGGCCATTGCCCAGATATAAGTCGGATTATTCGAATATCTGGCCTGTCACAAAGGAAAGCTATTCCTAGATCTCTGACCGAAATTGAGGTATTCGAGTCGTGTGCAATATCCTAATTTCGGTCAGATATGTAGGCCTGGGCTGCGGGGTATAATAGCGTGGAGAAGGCACCAAGATAGGTGGGACTGGCTGTTATCCCGCTTTAAATACCTGCGCCGCTACGTTAGTCGGCGGAGCTGGGTCTCTAGGCTGTAGCTACAGCAGGTAAGGGCCTGGTTCTACTGTAGGAATAGTCTCGCTTTGCGATCTACTAGATACTCGAATAATACAGCAAGTAACTATAGAACTAGCGCCCTGTAACGGGTATCATCAACATCATCAACACATGACATACCTCATAATAGACGGTATAAGTATAAGCACAAGTACAGGCAAGCTATACCCTCATACAGCACACACAAGCCCCAACGCAGCTCCAGTGGTCAACGCCGCAACAACCCAAACCGTCGAGTACGCCGCCGCACCGGCAACCTCCACGCCCGCAATAGGCATCCACGTCCTCAGCAGCGTATTCACCCCACTAACCAACATCAGCGTTGCCGTCCTCCGTATCACTGTCTTTGTCCTGGTTTGATATCCCCAGACATTATACCAGAACGTCTCTCCTAGGGTAGCCGTTGCGGGGTTGAAGGCGGAATTCTTAGCATCGGCCGCTGAAGGCGCAGAAGCCGCCGCGGGTGTAAATATGAAAGTTTTGGCCGCGTATCCAAGTGGGAGGACGAGCGGGATGAGCGTTATGGGTACGGAAGCGTGAGCTGCTTCCACGCTGGGGATGTCGGAGAAGTAGGTTACGAGGTAGACGGGGAGGCCGAAGGCGTAAGCGCAGTATAGGACCGTACCGTATATAGATGCCGCGAGGACGGTGGTGAGCGTTTGTATGGAAGAATCTGTGAGGATATCTGTATTTGGGACTGCGTCGGTGCCCGAGGAGGTGGCAGATGCAAATGCCGAGTGCATTGGGGAGGGGAGGCGGAGAAGGCGGAGGGGAATGGACATCGTGAGGACATCGATGATGAGCGCTGATAATACCGTGGCAGGTCTGACGCCGTAGAAGGTGCCTAGTAGATACATCTATTCCATTTCAATCCAAGGTCAGCATCTCATTCTTCTTTGCGTGGGCAGATTGTACTCACGGGAGGAGCGTGTGAGAGCAGTGTCAACGCAGCAACATCATACGAATCATAACCCTCAAACCAGGCCAATGCTACCTCGAACCTATCCAAGACGACGCCCATTAGAACTTCCTCGCGTACAATACAATAAATACCATGCAAGAACAGGAGAAGAACTTACATCCTCCACCCCACCAACGTCCCCGCCATAGCGAGCCCGTCCCACCAGTCCTCGCTCTCCATGCTGCGAGATATAACCGCGAAATCCATATCAGTATCCAAATACATCGCACTGAGCGAATAAAGCACCGCCGAAAGATTCAAGCTAAGCACCATGAGAAGCGGCAGCTTGAGTAGCTGCGGAAGCCTGCTGATGCCATTACGGCGCGGCGCTCCATCTCTATCAACACGCCGTATCACAGCCAATGCTGGATCGGGATCGGACGATTTCTCTTTGATAGAGCGCGAGGACATTATGCTTCGCTGGTTTGGAATGGGCGATGGGGGAGGGTTTGTAGAAATGGAGCTTGGGCATCGAGTGAGCGCTGAGGCTGCGTGAAAGGATTATGATGGGGGTACTTGGTACAGAGTACCGCTGTAAACGGAATGTTCGCGACGTTCGTGTTTCCCTCATTCGGAGCTTGCTTCACGGCGGCGGTGACGTAGCCCGCGAGACAGGGTGACATCTAAATAAGCACTGCAAGGGTCAAGTTCGACTTTTCCCCCCTTCTTTTTTCTCTTCTGAAACATTTTAGGTTCAATTGAAAATTACAAAAGTACATGTACGCAGCCATTTCACGTCAATTAGTTGTTTATCGTAGGAGGTATATTTTCTTATCGTTCGATCACTCCCACAAACCGGGAATGTACCAAGTCGACACAAAGAACCATCCGAATGCTACAGCTACAAATCATACACCATTACACGCCGTAACACCGAGGTAAGCTACAGTATGCATCCGTTCATCAAATACATTTCAGGTGTCGTACTATATGACATTGTCCAATGACATCCGGAAAAAACAAAAGAGTAATCCCCAGTCCAAAAATGCTTTCTGGTGTTTGCGTTTGCTCGACGCTCAGGAACAACTATCACTTTAACCTCGTGGACATACGGCCTACTGCCAAGCCCACTCTTCGGTGCTGAAAGTCGCCTGCGGAGGCATCGCTCGCCACCTGTATACATAAGTTGTAACAAAAGAAATCGTGGCCAACCAAGGGCTGTTCTGTTGGTGGTCCACTGAGGACCAATTACTCCTCCATACGACCGAAAACACCATCGTCATCTTCGTCGCTACGGCCCCTCGACCGACGGTCATAGTCATCGTCATCTACGACGCTCTCCTCGCTCTCGTCCATCTTTACATCTCCATCGAGGTGGACACGGTGACGGGTGTAGCTCTCAGGCTGTCGAGGGTGTTGATTCGGGGTCAATGCGGATCCCGAGAACGCATCTTGACTGAGGTATTGTGCCGGGATATGAGGCACAGGTGGAGCATCCTCCGGAAGCGTAACGGGAATAGACCGAGGGGTTCCAGCGCTTCCGAAGCTGCAAGACAGGAGTTCGACAGCAGCCGCCAACCCATCATCCTCCATATTACGGCTGATGCCAGACGATGGTGGGCGGCGCTCGTGGCTTGGTTGGCGATAATGCCCGAAGCCAGATCCTATGGGCACACTTCCGCCTTGTTGAGGATTGGCCGAAGGTGCAGATTGGTATGAGCGAGAGAAGCCAATCCCGCTACCGTATCTCTTGTGTCTACCGGTGTATGATCCATTGGCATAGACATTGGACATGTCTGCGTGGGGAGGGGGCGTCGTATCTGCCGAGCTGGCCCGGTCGTTGGGTTCGGACGAACCCGAGGCTGCTGGGGATGCCGAGTCCTGATCGCTCTGGAAATCCTTAGCGGAATCCGGAGGGGTAGTGCCATCCTGGTTCATGGCTACCAGGACGGAGGCGGCTTCCAAAAGCTGCACCTGCTGGTGCTTTGAGATGAGCAATTTGGAAGTGTAAGACCATTCTGGTGTATGCTCCCATCTGCAAATCAACACGTTAACGATTGTCCTGTTCAAAAAGCCCGAGACGGGCGCTCCATAGATTCAGGTTGGGACGACCAGAAGGGGCATGTAGGAAAGGAAGGTGGGCACAAACAAATGCTTGGTCAAGCAACTGCTGTGCTTGTATCCCTTTCCACACTTGTCACACTTGAGATCACCGCCACTAGATTTCTTGCCATCCTTCATGAGGTGTTGGCCCTCGCTGGCCCTTCTCATCCGCGATTGTTTGAAGCCCGATGTTTCCTCGTCCTCCATGTCGTCGTTCTGGTCGTCGTCAATCGCACTCTCGCCCCGGTCCGATTTCCCGCTCGATGCCATCCGCATTCTGTGGCTCGGCAGGCTGGCAGGCGGCGAGGGGGGGCTGCCCAGGGCGGCCGACCTCGTCGACGCACTCTTGGACATTGTGTTTCGCCGGCTGGCGATGGGCATCCCCAATGAAGCGTCTCCTCCCGCCTCTCTCACTGCGGCCACCATTGCGGCGACATTGCTGACGGTATTCGTAGAGACGCTCTTCCGACGTGTCACCCGGTGGCTTGGGATGAGCGAGCCGGAGGACACCGAATTGGAATGATTGCGCGTATGGGATTTCGGGAGCGACCCTGCATTTGTAGACATCGATAGACGGTGTTGGCTCAAAGGCCGTGAAGAATGTTGGATTTCCTGGAAACGTAGATGATCAGCAGCGTTTCTATAAATACATTGGCCCGCACGCGGAGTCACCAGTCGGCAGTACCTTTGAAGAGGCCATGCTGGGCGACGGAAGCAGTTGTCGGTGGCGAAGGCGGCCCTCAATCCTCGAAGCCCGTGAAAGCTACAATATGAGGGCCGAGAGAATATTGCGACTTCAACGTTGTGGTGTGGTTGGGGGGGTTGAGGGTTCCAGCTCAAAGTACCTGCATGTAACACCGGGAGCGAGAGCTTTCTTTGGTGTGTGGTGTGCGTGGTCACTGTGGTGTTGGCGCCTGGGGGGCTGCTCGCTGGGATGAGCCTCGGGGGAAGGGGTCAGGAGCGGTAGCTGTCGATCGCGGAGGGAGCGAGCTGGACTGGGCGATTGAAGGTGTCTCGGGCTGAAGAGTGACGGGCGATGGGCGATGCGAGATGTGGGAATGTGTTGATGTTGGAAGCTCGAAGCAAGGTGAGGCCAGACTGCGAAACCAAAAAAAAAAGATGGAAATCAATTGTTGCGGGTTTTGGAATGTAATAATGAATGGGATCAGGGCAGGGCACAGCAGGGGGATGGGGGGTGTGTAGTGTGTAGTGTGTGGTGTGTGGTGGAGGGAGGAGGGGAGCGAGCAGGGCGCGGACTGGACT